CAGCCGCCGCAGTGGCCGCCGCCGGGGCACCTCGGCCCACCGGGCCACCCGTCCTCGATGCGGCCGTGGGGCCGCGCCTCCCCGGTGCCCTTCCGACCCGCCTCGCCCTACTGCCCTTCGCCGCCCCCGATGAGACTGCCGCCCTCGCCCGCTCCCTTCCACCCTGGCTACGGCTCCGTGGCCCGTTCGCCGGCGCCCATGTTTGGCTGCCCCTCGCCCAGACCCTTCATCCCCTGCCCGAGACCGAGATGGCCCGTGGGTGCAGGACCGGTGCCCATGCCGCTCGGACCTCGGCCCTTCAGGCTGCCGCCACACCAGGTAAGGAATTTTAAAATTTCTGTCTATATTTTATCAAATTATTTTTTACAGGTGCAATTTAGTTAATTAAAACAATTTTCAGTTTCAATAGTTGTTTAACTAGTTTAAAATTGTACCCGCTAACAGAAAATATTTAGATAATATATTATGAAATTACAAAATGATAACAACCATTTCAAAAATCGATTAAAACTGAATAATTTAGAACTTAAAAAGTGAACAATTAATTTAAACACTTTCCTCAATTATTATTATTATTTTTTTAAATTTAAAACAAAAGAAAGTGGAATTCAAACAAAGGCTGACAAGACTACAAGACTAATTGTAACTTTTGCTTTTATTTTATGACCTTATTCCAGTAAGCGCCATGTATTTATGCAGCCTGTAGAACAAGGCTGTTCACCGCGTTGCATAACTTTTACTTCAAACTGTTGCGTTTTGTTTTAAAGCGTCCGAAATCATACGATTTCAAATTCTAGTTCATTTTTCTTTCCTTTAATGTTTCTCATTTAAAGCTGTTATTTACTATTTATTTGATATATTTCATAATTTATTAACAGTGTCAAAACCTTCAAATAATCAGGAAAAAAATTATTTAATTTTTATGTGTGCTATTATTTTGTTTAAATTCAAATAAATAAATTAACAGAAATTTGTAATGTCGAAGGAGACTTGGCCCTTTTAATGTTTTGGTTTCAACTTCAACTAAATTATCTGAACTTTCTCATTCATCATGGCTGAACTTAACTAAAAAAAAAATTATAGATGAAAATCCACTTTAAAATAAAAATTTATTTATTGTTATTTGTTCGATTTGTTTAAACTGTTACATAAAATTTACATTGAAAGAATTGAAAAAATTCTAGCAAGGAAACATTACATGTTTGAAAAGAAAGGCACTATCACTAGCAAAGACTGCTAAAATTTCTAAGAAAACCTCATCAATGGTTGAATACTTAAATTTTATTGCAAAGAAATTAATTTATTTGAATATTCATTCCGTTCTGGAAATAAAAAATTGTCACTTTGTACACTTAAATACGCTTAAATAAAATTTAATGCAGATCAAATTGACGGAATGTGTGTGTTTAAATTAGCAAATTCGCACGCGCTTCCAAAGTTACACATTAATTGAAATTAAAATTTTAACAGACGCAGTCTCCGGTGCGTTGCGCGTCGCCGGCCGACTACTGCTTCACGCCGCCGCACCACCAGATGATGGGTTCACCGTATGCGATGCCGCAGGAGTATGTCGGGGTGCAGCCCGAATACGTGGGGGTGCCCCTTGAACCGCCTCCGCTGCAACCCTACGGCTACCAGCAGGGCGACGGGTACGAGGGCGAGGCCGAAAACACGACCGCCGACGCCATCGCCAGCCAGTCGCAGGATTACGTGGACGAAAAGTTGGCCGAGTACCAGGCCACCATCCACCAGCTCCAAAGTGAGTACCAACTTAATCTCTTTAATTAGGCAGCAGCAAGTTTTGCAATTCGCGAATAGGAGAGACGATTCAAAATAATTCAAATCAGAATTCTTTTTTAATTTTGTTTGCATTCATTCTCCATTCGTTTTAAAATTACGTCTTATCAAATTTAAAAAAAATGAATATAAAAAAAGCATAAAAAACAATATTAAACAATTGAATGGTAACAGATATAAATAAAAATAATAAAAAAAAATAAAAACCAGGCAGACCGCAGGTCACATTTTGAGAAAATCAGTTGTCGTTTAAATATTACACTTTTTCAACGCCGGGTAAAAGCGTGGTTTTAAACAGTTTAAAATTAACACGAAATCCTCCTAGAGTTTGAAATTTCAATTTAGAAATTAAAAGTTGTTTATTCCTGAATTTTTAACAATTTTATAAAAACCCTAAATATTGTCTACAGTTTTTTTTCAAAAGCACAAAAATCTATTTCATAAAAAAAAATATTTTTTATGTATGCATATCAAAATTGCAATAATTATAGGCAACTAAATGGATGCAGAATAGATGACTAGTAAGGTTATAACATTTGATTTATGACTTTCCTTGTCTTTTTAATTCACTCGTTTTATGGCCACAATTAATTTATTCTGATCATTAATGCTTATGGTTACAACATTCTTGGCTACCAACACAACTTGTCGTGTCGCCCTTTTTCCTTTTCTAAGGAAATTCATTGACATCATCAATTGAAAAGGATCGTTCCATTTTTATAAAATTAAAACAATTCGTCACCACGATTACTTGAATGTCAGCTGCATTATAATTTTTCTGTAAATGTGGAGTGTTATGGCGTATTTTTTGCAAGGGTGGAGTCCACAATTGAATAATGCAAATCCGATTGAAAATAAATCCCATTGTCGCGAAAAGCAGTGGGTGGCGATCAGATCAGATCACTCTTTATTATTTTCTCTCTAATGTGACCGTCGTCGCTAGTTATCCTTTGGTGATTTATTGACACATGTTTGCTCTCGCATCCTCTATAACCTTGTGAGTCAGAATTCGAAGTAGTACCTAGATTTATATCAAAACATGTGATGATCGTTTTTGTGTATGCGGTGATGATGCAATCGGAAAGCAAACATAAACCAACGAACAAGAGTTTGCCTCTCAAGGAAACGAATCAAAGATGTCATAAAAGCAGTTTGGCTCAACAGCATCAAGAGCCAAGTAAGCCTATGTTTTGCGATAGAATTAGCTAGAAACTTTTTATAGAGGTATATTAATTTAAACTCTCTCAATTGAGAAACAAAAATGCACAATACAATTTGGAGGAAGAAATTTGATAAATCGTTAAAATAAACTTGCGAATGAATAATAGAGACGATAATTATTTAAAAAGCTTAACACAAATATTTTGTATTAAGTGCTTTTTAGCTACATACAAAATATAGTGCTGAAAATTGTGAAGTTTGATAATTATGTTTTATTCTTTAAATAAGTATTTGTAAAAAATAAAAATATTTGAAAAATAATCAAACAAGGTTGCAAAATATTTACCTCATTTTGGTAAAATTTCAAAAATATCTTGAGTGATGTGAAGTATTATTAAATTGTCTACCACCAACAGAAAATTTGAAAGGGTCTAGGTCGCTCGCAAGTCAAAACAGAACGTTCACTTCCTTCGCTCTCCTCCTTCTCCTCCTCCACCACGCAACAAAGAACTGCGCTTTTTAGTATTTTTTCGGCTGCATGCGAGTGCATTTAGGCGCAGTAGGAGGTTCCAATTAGATGCACTCCCGTGACCCACTTATTTGTGCCGCCGCCGCCGAGCCAGCCGCGACCATAACTATAAATTAGAATATTTATATTTTGCCGCACGCTCGCTTTGCTAGGTACTCGCTGCATTTATCGGGACAAATGTACGATAATTATATTGGAGAGAGAAGCTGCAAAGGGCCATTGATCACGAGAGAGTTGCACTTACTGAGAACGGGTCACGGCGACTGTTGACAGGTGCCCCCTGCGCCTGCGGGTCATATGCAACTTAGGCTGAATGCACAAGAGTACGTTTGAATCAATGAGGGTTTCTGATACACTGCGTGCTTAAATATTACTGCAAAATACACATATTTGCAAATCATTATAGTAAAATCTAACATGCAAATAAAGAAGTATCACTGCACCATGGTCGTCTCTGCATTCAATAGTCGTTTCTATTTTAAACATATATTTTATATTTAGTTCTTGGGTTAAAGAATTGCCTTTGTGATAGATCAATAAACACAAGTTGCAACTAAAGGAACTACAAAATAATTTTAAAATAATAATATTAATACAAATTATAAATAACTATTAAGTTTTCTATTATTTTTTTCTATTTAAATTTAAATATTTTACATTTTACATTATACTTAAAATTTACTTTTTTCAGTCTTTAATATACTATTCATATTTTAAAAGCTATTAAGATTCAAAATAACTTATATTATATATTAAATGGGTGATATTTGGAAAACTTAAAAGCCTAAAATACATAAGTAATTTAAAAGTCACTAAAGACAGCATCAAAAGCTGAACAAGCCACTTTTTCTCGGATCTTGAATTATTGTATTAAAATTAAAATATAAATCACAAAAACAAACGACCAATGAAAATTATACAATAGAAAATACTAGAACGAATAGGTAAAGATTAAAGATACAAATTTATAACAATATTTGACGTTAAAAAAAGACAAATTATAAACCACAATCAGTATTTAAAAATAAAAATCAATCTCGTATGAAAAGAATGTAAAGAGATAGACAGTTGTTAATAAATTTTAGAATTTAGAATGCTGGATTCTCAGTAATCGAACAATAAATTGATCAATTTAAAGTAATTTTTGAAACAATATAGCAACGAGCAGCAACGAGTAAAGAACGATTAATCAGACCCCCACCACTCGCAAGCAAACCCGTTTCGTTCTCCCGACAAAAACAGGAACACTTGGTTGAAAAAAAGGACGACGCATATAAATCGGCGCGGGTTCCCCCGTTTTTTGGCCGCTGCATGGCAACTGCACTAGGACTAAAAAGACAAAGAGCGTGCGCGCGCTCCGAATTATTTCCCACACTATGTAGTTGCCGGCGCTGATATCAAAGTGATTACGTAGTGCGCAGAAACTCGATTCCAGCCAATGTTAAGGTCACGTGGTCGCGCAGAGGCAAAGTGAAAGTGGGTTTGAAAAACGTAGTGCAAAACAATGTGCATTGCTGTCGCGAGCGTGAAGCAGTGAGGAGCACACGGAGCCGCTCGGGGCCGGCAACGTGTTTTTTAAGTGCAGAGTGAGTGATTGGGACATGTTTGTGCAGCGGTCGGACACATGAGCGACCCGTCCAAGGGGCCGCCGAGGCGCGGCGCCCAGCTGCACTCGCCGCCGCCCCCGACTGACACGGACGTGAGTCCAAGACCATTTTCGCACAAGGTGTCCACACCCGTCCGGGACAGTCCCGTTCGAGAAAGGGTGTCCTTCTTCGAGCAGGTGGACCGCCAGAAATCGGTCACGCCCGGCTCGTCGAGGAATGCCTTCGAGACGGTGGAGGAGACCCGTAGACGGAACTTCCAGGAAACCGGACACCCTCGGACGCCCGGTACGCTTTTCCGCGAGAGCTACGAGAGCATCACCGAGGAGGGCGTGGATGAAAATGGAGATAAAGTGGTTCGCGTAGACAGAGTGATTCTGACTAAGAGTGTCCGGGAAGTGTCCAGGAATTCCGCCCACTCGTCCAGCAGCAGCATCGCCTCTCCGGCGAAGGAACAGTCGCCCGGGCCGGACGAACAGGACTCGGCCTACCGCACACGCGGCATGTCAAAGTCTTCGTCAATCAGCTCGCTGGTGTCCAGCTGGGGCACCGGCAGGTTCACCTCGCAGGAGAGTCTGCTGGGCAGTGCGGCGGCGGACAACAGCTACTCGGACAGGACGACGCCGAGTCGCACGACCGACTCGTCCGACTACAAACACCAGCCGTTCCAAACGATCGCGGCCAGAATGAAGCAAATACGCAGCAGGGCCGAGTACGACTCGCACATTGCGGAAATCAAGGGTGAGCGTCATAATTTAGAGACTTTATCTTTACGCACAATTAACAATTTTGAAGGAACACGGCCCGAATTAATTAATTTAATTTGATTTTCTAACATTATTTGCAAACAAAAGTCAATAATAATTTGAATAAATCGTGAATTTGAAAATAAATTAGTTTATATTTACATTTAAGGCACTGGCAAATCCTTTGGAAAATATTTTAAAATTCTGATCAATCACTTCCATGGAGGTGTCTTTAGATTTACATCAAATTTTTAATAGCATAAATATTTCAATAAATTTTAACATTATTAAGGTAAAAAATAATTATAAGAAGTAATATTTAAAAGAATTAAGAATTTTTTTAAATTATTAAATAAAAAATTTAATTATATTATAAATAAAATAATACTGATAAATTCATTTTTTAACACTAATTTATTAAATTTATTAATTTTTAAATCTAGTTAAATTACACTAAACTACATAAATGAAATGCTATGTTTAATTTAAATTTTGTTACATTATTTATACACAGCAATAATTAAATATTGATTTAAAACGTAAGTTCAATTTATGCTCCTAATTTCACAAAAATATCCCGCAAAAATAAGTTTCATTTATAGTTAAAACTGTGCAAAAAAAACTCGTCATCACTTTCGACAAAAGACAAACATTCTCTCAATTAGTGCAGACGCGATAATTGACTCGGCGGCGTCGAAATTAAACATTAGGGCAGACTGAGGGCGCGTCACGCCGCTCTTTGATTGAATTAAAAGTGAGCTAAGCTGCTGCTCAACAACAGAAACAAACCAACTTATTCTGCCCACGGAAGCCGTGCAAGAAAATAACGAAAAAAATAGTCAAAAAGTTGGAAATAATGCGGGGTGCTAGCAGGTGCCATGCCGGCTGGCGAGATTCATTCACCCCACGGGCGGAAAGACGTTTTCATCCCTGGCAATAAAAGTGGAAAACTTCTTTGACCAATGGAAAAAATGAAAATACGTATACATGTCTGCGAGTTTATATAACATACAAGCCTTCCTCCTTCGACCACATTAATATAAAACGGGCGTGCACGCAACGAACCCCCCAAAGCAGGCGAATCGATATTTAGACTATTGTGCACGAGGATGACGACGACCATGGTTGTCTAGCAAACGAAGCAAAGAGGGTGGGACGCCCTCTTGGCACGCAATTATTTATTTCATAAAACTCGGTTTAGAATTTTGAAATTGTACTAAATTCTCTTGTAACTTCATAATATAATTAATTGAAATTTGGTTCTATTTTATCCGTTTTAATTAAGGATATAACCTGGGGACCCCCTTTAATCTTATTGCCAGCGCATTATCGGTACATGTGGCTGCAAATCCTGTGATGGATAAGGGGTAAAAAATTGATAAATTCCAGGAAATTTTTAATCTTAATTAAGCCTAGAGGTCCAAATGTGCCAATCTGTTATTAAAGCACATGAATTAATACAATAATATGCAGTTGATTTACAAATGTAAGGAAAATTAGTTTTTGTTCTTCTTTTATTTAATAACAGTTGAACAGTACCAACAAATTTTTATGAATTAGTCCACGGCTCAAAATAAGGCCGCTGAAAAAAATTAATATTCAATTCAGTTCAATTCAATATTGTATTTTATGGAATTTATCTGCACATTTTTTAAATCCTTGAAATTAATGAAAGACAATAGAAAGGATCTAAACTTTGAGAACAATTTAATAATAGAATAATTAAGAAAATCACCAATATATAATATTTAAAGGTAAAGCTGATCAACAGGGACCTATTTAAAATTTTCCTTCTTTCGGAACCAAACAAAAATTTAAAAGCATTTCCCGTAGCCACAAATTTGGAAATAATAAAAATAATAAATTTGTATGTTCACTAAATTTTTTCCCCAAATTTAATAAACAAGTTTATTTCTCTTCTTCAGTTTGATTCAGGGTACAATATATTTGTCAAGATTTGTTGATCCAAAATTAAGATTGAAAATTAATTAAAAAAAAATACAAATTAATGCAAAACTTCATAGGTTACTTAAAACTTAATTTTTTCCATAAAAAAAGAGATGTGTAGGGACGAAATCCATTATCAGAAATAAATACATGCCCCTTATGGATATGAACATATAAATTAGGTTTATCTTATCTGGTAATGCCCTCCGTGTATTAAATAAGAGTTTCTTTTTTTATGGAGTTGCGTAAGGATTGTGATTAATGATGAGCAAGCAAGCTAGGAGCGAGAAGTACAGTCGGCGCCTAGAGTTCGGACCGGCCTTGTTGAATAAATGACTATCAAAAACTCGTTTGCCAATAAAATCGATTTAAAAGTACCTGCTCGCGCGAGCCAAGGAAAGAGCGGCGGCCGTGGAATTTGTTTGTATTTATTTTCTACTTCGTCGGCGACCACCGCCGACGTGCATTGTGCGTAGCTCGTCTGCCAAGTTTTTACAATAAAAGCAGAGGAGCGCAGCAGAGCCAGTTTCATGATTTACTTCTTAAAAGGCAAAGTCTGCAGCTAAATATGGGCCGCCGTTTGCAGAAAGGCAGATTTAATCCTTTGCTTGTTTGTTGCCTTTGTTTGGCTGCTCGCATTTCTTCCTCGCCGCGCATAAATATCAGGATTTTCAAATTTAATTATACGCTACGTCGACTGAACACAATCGGGAAGGAGTTTTATTTTTTTTTCGCGAGAGAGTTGGTTGGTCGAGGTCAGGCACGCTGTATAAAAATAAAATAATTTAAGCTCTCTCGCTCAAAATGATAATTGACGCCTGCTATTTTTACGTCCTTATCGTTTCAGCTTCCTATATTCACACTCGAATGACTGAACAGGTGTAATCAGTTCATAGGTTTGTTTACTTGTTAAGTGATAGGGACACTTATAATCTGATATATAATACCTCCGATGAAGAAAACTTATTATTTTTTTGTATCATCACAAGTGAATTTTCGAAATCATAACACGAGCCAATTTTGTTTCATCTTGGATAATTTATTAAATTACGCTTTAAAATATCAGAATACAATCTCTTGCATAAAGAGAGACGACAGTTACTTGCTGATTTCAGATCTTTACTCAATATTGCACCATCCACATAGAAAATTTGGGGTTTTGAAGGAAATTGTACATTTATTTGACCTCGTACTCGTAGCAAAATTCGTAATTGCTCGGAGGGGGTGGAATTGGCGGCGGGTCCTGTGGAATGTCCACCCCTTCAGCGTCGAGTAGGCGCAATTTGATTTCCATTCCGAGTAGAGTGTCCAGATCTTTTTCCATTTCCTTGCTCACCATCGGCTTACCTAAAATAAAAAATTAGAAATATTTTTCATAAAGAATTTTAATTAGTTTCAAATTTGAACATAATAAGGATAGTTTAGATAATCATTAATCCAATTTATTATCTTTCGTTTAAAAAAAAAATAAGCCTCTTATAGGACAGAAATTTAGCAACTCTATTAAATGGGGTTTTAAGATTTTTAGGAATTTGAAAAATTTTAACATACCAAGTAGAGAATTGATTCCGTCAGTCCAATAATCAAAGACTAGCTCATCAGGTGCGAGAAAATCGAGGGTGGTTGGCTCCACTGACTGAGATTCCAAAATTAACGAAAATGCCAGCTGGGACGCAGCCTTTTTTCTGTAAATTTTAATCAATTAGTATTTTTCCAGCAATTATTTTTTTTTAAATTAAACATACTTGAGGTCTTTGTTGGGCCTGCAGTCTTTGCCGGTGACCAGATCCTTAATATCAACAACCGCCAGCTTGTTGGGCAGCTCCTCAAGCGCGGGGGCGCTTTTCTCGTCGCAGTCACCGTAATGCAGTACTTTGTGGTTCGGTGAGAGTCGCACATACCAAAATTTGAACTTGGACCTCTGAAATCAAAATAACAGGCACAAAATTAAAAAAAAAATATATATAATATACATCATTTATAGGAACTCTTAACATTAAGCTTAATATTTCTTTCTATATAAATGAAATTTTTAGTTAATCGTTTAAAAGCAATAATTTCAAAAGCCCAACAAAAACGATTTGATAATTTTAGTTCTAACAATATTAATTACATTGTTTAGATCACCGGATTAAAATAAATAAAATTAAAAAATATCTGTTTAACAATGTATTTAAGACTGATTATCTGAATAAAGAAATTTTTTTTTTTTTTTTTTTTTTTTTTTAATTGTTTATCCCTCTTGGGAAAGGCACCAGCGGTAGCAGACAGGCTGCTAAATCGCAGGGGCCGATAACTCGGATTCTCCCCTTTCGAGGCCGATAACACGGTGACCTTGCGACCCACTGGGCCAGGGAGAAGGGAGTGTAGGATGGGTTTGTATGTTGGGAATTTGAAGGATGAGGAAGGTGAGCGGCTGCGGCCTATGAATGGGAACTATGCCGGCATTCGCCTGGAATGTCTGATGGAAACCGCAGAAAACACCAGACAGCATAGCCGAAATTGCAGACGAAATGCCTGCAATTCCTCCCGAATCTGCCTGTCGCAGTGATTAATGCACCTCCTATGATTTTCTGTAGTCCTGTGAACTAGCTGGTCAGAATCAGAACTTTTTCAAGCCCTGACCCTAGCCAGGATAGAACCCAAGGCCTCCAGACTATCAGCCAAGCGCACTAACCACTTTGCCACACATTAATTTAATTTAATTAAATTAAGTGAAATTTAAAAATATATGATATTATTAAAATATTATTATATTTCAAGAAAAACTATCAAAAATATACTTTAAATAAATGAAGTTATAATTTTATTTTTTTATTTTTTTTTTTTACCTGTCCTTTGGACTGTTTTGTGAAACGTGTTCCTTCAACCAAAAAGCCAAGCCTCTGCTGCTTGATGAGGTCCATGATCTCGGGCATAATCTGCTCCTTGAGCTCGACCACAGGTCTGGCGTGTGATTCCCACTCCTCGCGGTTGATTTGCTCCTGCTGCCAGAGCTGCGTGATGTCCGAGTAGGTCAGCGTCTGCAGCTGCAGTTTGAACTTTTCCATGTTTGACGGCTGCGCGTCCAGGGCGCGTTTGATCTGCTCGCGGACGACGCTCATCACCTTGACGAAATCCTCGGCCGTGGCGCGCATCTCCTTCCACGTCTTGTTCAACAAGACGATTCCAATGCAGAAGAACTCCTCAAAGGGGTGGTCGTGCGTGAAGAACAGGGGGTGGTACGTCTGTCCCTGCTCCGAGGGCGGTTCGCCGATTTGCAAGACGCTGCACAATAATTTCGTCAGCTCAATGCTCGTCCTTCCGAAGGGACACTCGTGCTCGTCGGCCCGACACGAATTTTCCAGGACGATTTTCATGTAGTTGTCCTGCTGGTTGCGCGCGAAGTAGTACATGCAGTCCAACGCCAGAAGTCCAGGGGGTGTTTCTGTAAAGTCCAAGACCGGGTTAATGTCACACTTGAAGCCCAACTTCTTGTAGTCCTTGTTAAAGGTGGCGGTCTTTTTGGCGGCCGAGTCTCTATTGTCCTGGTCGGTATCGAACGCAATCCGTCGCAACTCCTTGATTTTGCTCAACGCATCCTGATCCTGCGGGTCCATCTTGGTCTGCATTCGCGGCTCCAGAAGGTTGAACAGCAGCGTCTGCTGGACGTACAGTTGGTGTGCCATGTCGGAGTCAACCGCGCCCCCCTGGAGAATGTGGCTTTCGATGACGTGCCGCACCTGCTTGGAGGTCAGAGTGCCCGCCAGCGACTTTTTCTTCAGCTCGTCCGCCTTCATGAAGAGGGCGTTGATCAACGCCATCGCGTTCTGCCTGATCGCGGGAACCGAACTTTGAAGGTGGCGCACCAAATTGGTAATTGTGATTTCCTTCTCCACCAGCAGGTACTTGTCGCTGTTCAAAATCACGTTTTCCACGATGGACAACGCCGACTGCTTGACCATGTTGTCCTGGATGCTGGCGTCGTTGATGTACGCCGACACTTTGCACACAAACGGCGCCTCCAACACCACCCAGGAAACAATTCCATGGTCCATCAGCTCGACGAAGGACGTGAGCAGGTGGGCCAGCATGACGTTTTGGAATTTGCCACTTTCAATAAGGGTGGTCACCAGTTTCAAACCCTGCTTGTTGATGAACTCCTCGGCGAAAGTGTTGTCCGTGCTGAGTTGAGACAGTTTCTCCAGAGCGGACAGTTTGTCCGCCTCGGACTCGCCGTTGATCTTGTGCAGGATCTCGGAGGTGGTCTTGGCCGCCGAAAGGGTTAGCCGAAGAATGCATCCGTTGCGAATGTCCACCCTGTTTTTTTCCGTGATGTAATTGTTGTGCGGGCCGTCCGTCTGCAGGGCGTAATTTTCGGCGTCCTCGATGCTCCAGTGGTTGCACAATTCCTGGATGATGCAGTTGAGGGGCTGCTTCTGGTTGAACTCGATCAGCCGCGGCGTGTGGTTGTTCATCTGCACCGCGATCTTGACGATGTTCGAGTCCTTGGCGGCAGGCATCGTCGCTGTTTTCTTACTTTTCAGATGGGAATTATTTTAATAAACAAAGCAGTGTTTACGTTTGCGCATCTGTCGAACGGAGCGATTTTTCGGCGCCGGACGCTCGCACGGGTGTCCGAAGTTGAGCGGAAGTGCTGTGGGCGCTTTCGGACGCGATCCTCGGCCCCCTTCAAAGCGAAAAGGGCATTTCCTGCTCGCCGACCCAGCCCTCCTCACCGATGTTTGCGACTGAATGAGAATTAATGGAGGAGTCGCGAGCTAGTGCGCATGTTTGCGTGGAAACGCGACGAGCGAGCCCTCCTTGAGCGAGCCGTTCTTTTATTCCGCATCCTCGCAGCCGGCAGCAGCTGCTTGCAGAGCTCCCAGCCCATATTAAACATAGAGACTGCCTCTGCATGAATATTAACATAATATGTTTAATTCTTAAAATGATGCGAACGGCAGCGTTGTCGCCAAATAAGATTTTCGAAGCTACGTAAAATAACATTTATTTATCATTTGAAAATATTTTTTTATCATTATTCAATTATTTTTTTATTATATTTTATTATAAAATTCAATTCTCATTTCTTATCAATACTAAATAAAAAAAATTTTAAAAAGGACAGAAAATGTTTTGAAATTTGAATATTGTTGTATTATTTTTGTTGCATGAAATAAATTCTGTATTTTTTAATATCAGAAATAATACATTGTAAGGTGCATAAATATTTTTTATGAAAAATAATTTATTAAGTTTTTTAAACTTTTGAATATCCTGAAAAAAAAACACATATTTTTTGGTAAATTGTAACTGGTCATCCTTGATGAGACATAACAACAAAAGACTTTTTTAGGATATCGTAAAAATTTTAATTGAGCGTACTAAAACACTTGTTATTTTTAAAGATATTATTTTAAAACTTATTCGCTTCATTTTAAAACAATATTTGTTACCATGCAGTCACAATTAAGAATGTGTTTACGGAAGACTTATTTAAGTTTTGATTTTGGGCGCAATGCATGAAGGCGGATGAGGAGAAACTTTATTTTTAGGTTTTTTTTATATAATTGTTCGTCCCCATAGCTCCAGTCCTTATTTAATTATTATTGAAAATAAAATAATTTTCTAATTAATGTGCATATTCTGTAACTGTTCGGTAATGCATGGATATTAATCTGCACCTTCATTTTTATAATAAATAATCGATAAAACTTCAATCCCGTCCAAACTAAAAATATTTCACGAAAAGAGTAAACTTTGGTTGTTGGCGATTCGAAAAAAGTTGTATAGAGCGGAATTGGGTCACCGTCAACCAACAAAACAGGTGCTGCTCGGCAAAACTCAAAGGGAATGCGTTGGCTTCCTTTATTTAATTGGCCTGTCGTCCCACATTGACTTCCCTTGTGGTAATAAATTAAAAAGTCAGACTCGACATTTAAAAAATAAGCTGCACCCTCTGCTCATCGAATTTTTAGACAAATGAAACATCTGCGCCAAAAATGGAATAAATGTAGAAGAAATAAAGGCACGCAATCCTGTCATATGATGTCACTGCCTAATAAAAGATAAACCCTCTCAGCGTCTACGAGGAAAAACTTGAGTTAATTCAAAGAGCACCGAGATGCGTGCATGAATTTTTTTGCGGGCGCACCTTTTATTCAATTGAATTTTAAACCGACCGTACTTTTTTATTTTTCTTGGCGGGCGTGATTTATTTAATAAATTAATGTATCATAGTGTCAAAATAACAAGGGACTCTAAAAATGAGCAGGCAAATCGTGCCAAGTTGTTGGTTGAGAAACGAAATTCACGAAGTAGAAAAGAAGAAGCAGCACCTGCTCATCACTTTAATCTTCATCGCCGGCAGCGAACATTTTTTTACTTCAAATCTCCTTGCACTTTTCGCGGCACGTACTCGCTTTTTACAAACGTCAGCGTGCTGTGATGAAACGGCAACAAAACATTTTTTTTAACTGATGCCGGATAATTATTGTTGCAACGCTCGTGCCAAGGTGCTTTGCCAAATTAAATTATCTTATTTATCTTGACTAACAATCACTAAAAATTTATTTTTAGTCTGGTTTATTTTCGAATAAAATAAGTTAAAAATTTATTGATAAATAATTAACAAACGTAAAAACAATGAAATAAATAAATAATAAGGTTATAAATTACTCATTTCAATTTCTCCGAGTTCTCGATGAATTTTACCTATTCAGTGTTTTATCGAGAATGTAGTCACATCTTAAGCGTTTGCTGCACTTTCAAGTGTTGTACATTCAAGGTTTCCGCTGTTTTTTTTTTTTTTTTTTTTTTTTTTCATTCAAGTGTAACAAAAACAAAGAAAGAACAATTTCTTGAGTTAAACCCACGTACTGCATAAATAAGGTAAAAATGCAGCCAAGTGAGCCAAGTCACGGCGCCTTTGTGTTTATAAAAAAAAAACTATCGTCACTGCAGAAGAAGGTTACTCGAACTCTCACAGGTGGATTTGCATTTTTTCCAAATAAATAAATAAACGTGATACTCAAATTCAACATATGTTCATACGCGAGTCGTTGAGGCGCTTACGTAATAACTATATTAGGCGATGATGCAAGTGTGTGGGCAGCTCGCGCTAGCCGGCCCCGGCGAAAAGGTGAGACGGTCCGTCCGTCCGTCCGCCGCTGGCTCTATAAAATAATAAAAACGAGATGCACCAATTTTGATATACACCCTCACGATTCTGACACCCACGCTCAGTCTGCCTTATAATCTAATTGTTGATGGAAGCGTTTCGCTCTTTGCCCTTGGTCTTATGTTAAAACAGACTTTTGTTGTTTCGGAGAGGCACTTTTGCGACGGCCTTGTGCAGGGGGCATGGCCGTCCAGCTCATTATAAATATGAATGGAACGTGTTTAATAGGCGACAATAAAATCATTTAAAAGGGTAAAATTTAGAGCCGGCGTAAAAATGAAATAAAAAAGGGATTGTTTTTAAAGGAAGCGGATTATTCGAATTGACAAAACTGGTTTTGTGAAGAAATCCTTTTAAATATTTTGTAGAGGTTATTTCTTCAGTTGAGAGGTAAGGTGGAAACATATAAATTTCATGGGTTTCCCAATCTTCTGAATCATATAATACTAAGTTGAATTAATTTTAAATGAATAAATTTTTATACAAAAATTAGCATTTAGTTTCAGGAATATCCTTTGAAAAATAACAGTCACGGAGAGGCAGAAAATGGCAAAAATTGAAAATGTAATGAATTGCAAATAGGAGAAATTTATTTATTTGAAAATTACACCCAGGAATTGACTTTGCATTTGTGTAGAAATCATAGAAAATTAATGACACATAATTTAACTATTGTATTGTTTGACAATATAGTGGGTATTATTATTTTATGAATGTAACAAAGCTCCAATATTAATAAATGGATAAATATATGTTACATTAAAATTCGTATTTATTGTTTTTAAATACAAATTAAACTTGTTTAAATTTTTTAATATCTTTTCGGATTTTATATTGAATTAATAAATTTAAAGTTAATTTACTTTTATTTCAAACGAAGACGGGACTGGCCAAACTCTTGTTATTTCTTTAATGCATTTACACAAAATCAAATAAAAGCAATACCTCTTTTCCATGTAAAATTTAACTGCAAAAATAAATTTATTTCCACTGTGGTTCTTCGGTTGACGTTGATTCTACGATTTAATATTTTATTGCATTATATTTTAAATAAAATAAACTTAAATTAGTGGCAAATAAGAAACTAATCTCTTTGATCAATCTCCTCTGAAAAAAGAGCAAAAGAATAGTAAAAGTTAACTAATGAGAAAAAAGTCGCAGCAACTTAGTCTATGACTTTCATCTCGCTATTATTTATGATTTTGAATAGGTTCTTTTCATATGATTTTTTTATCAGTAAATTGTGTGTAAGTAAAAGAGATGTAAGTGTTGAAATTGTTGAATGTATTTAGTATTTATGATGTATTATTGGGAAAGAATGCCTGGTGAGCAATAAACAACAATTTAAAAAAATGTCTCTCTGTGAATGGAGAATATTGAATTAATGGTTATATATTAACGAAATTAACCAAATAAAATCTTTTTTTCAAAACGCTATTAATTGAATCGTAATTGCAAGTTCAAACACTTATATGATAGCAATACTATAAATCGCCTTTCAAGAGCTAACTCGAGGCGAAATTAATTTTATTGCGTGCCACAAACAAATAAAAAAGTGCAGACGCGAGCAGATTCATCCAGTCGATCGTTTCACCACCGTAAAACATTTTCCATAATATTATTTTCGAGCGAGAGTCTGGATGTTTTATGGCGCCGCGCCTCGCAGCGATTTTCTGCAAAAGAAACCCACTCTTGATCTCTCTGTGAAATTTAATAATAATAACACACACGAGACCGAAACCAGAATATATTTAGTAAAAAAGGGATTTGAACAGTCAGCACGTGCATAAATTTGCCTTTGTGCGTCACAAACTTGATCGATAATTCGCTAAAAGGAACGAGTTTGGCGCGGCAATTTCACTCATAAGCCTGTTTGCTGAAATTTCGCATAAGGATAATTTTTAAGTGTTGGGCGCAGGCGGCGGTTCTTTGTCCAAATTGCATTCAACGACCCACACAGACACGTACTTGGAACGCCAAGCAAATATTTTTTATTCTGTTTGCATGGCGTATCATTGGAAACAAACTGGGCGTTGGAAGAAAAGAAATACTGGCTTGGAAGAAGTAATTTTAGTAATTTAATTGCAACACTGTAAATATAATGTATGCCATGAAGATTAAAAATTACACAAAGGAAAAAAACTGAATATCTGATAGGTATAGATTTGAAATTTTATTTTCAAGAGCTTTCTCATTTTTAATTTAAATTTACATTTTTGAAGAGAAATTTAACACGAACTTTTAAATCTAGTCGTGAAATCCCTAAATTTTGGAAACGAATTTAAATTAAAAAATATCTATTTAATTGGAAATTTATATTCTGTAAAAAAATATCAGCGTTTTTACTATGACAGAAATTATTTTGTAAAAAATTAAATAACTTCTAACAGTAAATTGCTTAAGTTAATTATTGAAAGAGAAATTTTCTAGTTGCTTAAGTTTATCGAGGGCTGACATGAGATCATCGACGAAATACAGCAATAATTAATGCAAGGAGTCAACATGACGCACGCTCAATTTCGGCTCATTATTATTACAAACTAAGTGCAAAGCGCCGCCGTAATTTGCAAAGAAAATGAGCACTGACCTTAAAGTGAAGCAATTAAATTCTTTCCTAACTACGTCAGCCCAAAACTTCATTCAATGACGAAAGAGAAAAAACAAAATGCCCAAAATCGACATGCAATAAAAAAATCCTTTCCGAGCCATAGGTGATAATAAATAACAAACGCGCTTTGTCTCTTCGTGACAGAGTTATCTGGTGGTTTAGTCTCGCGAATGATTGATGAGTTGCGAGGTTAATACTTTATTATTAGCACCGCGCCGTTTGTTCGGCAAATAACAAACATCCGAATACGAGGAGCTCACGTTTTACTACTTGTATGATTACAGATGAGCAAGAGCGCGTTCAAAAGAAGACCTTTGTCAACTGGATCAACTCTTATCTCTCCAAGGTAAATATTTTGGAAGCAATAAAAATTACTTAACACCGCCCGAGTGTTTGCATAAATATAAATTTAACACCTAATTAATAGCAAATTATATTTTATATCCATTCAGAATAAATATTTACTATTTCATTTATTTCCAGATTTTCAACACATTTAAACATATATTTCATTAAATTTGAAAAATTGTCGCCTGTAACTTTTACAAACAGCTGATCGTATTTTGTTAAATAAATTTCCTCCCTATATACATACATATTTCCTCCTGATCTTCGCAATGGAACCTCTGTCATTTTTTTTTTTTTTAAATTTCCAAAACTTGAACCTCTTACAAACAGTTTTTTTTTTATAAATGTTGATATTTATTTATTAAACCATGCAATATTCATTTTTTTAATGTAAATAAGAATTGACCATCCTGTTGCTTCTTTGTTCTGGCTTAAAAGTTTTCCATTTGCATATTAATTTAATTATTTATCACCATTATAAAGGTTGAAATAAATTTTGCAGAGAATTCCACCGATGCGAGTCGATGACTTAATTGACGACTTGAAAGATGGAACGAGACTGCTCGCTCTGTTAGAAGTGCTTTCGGGAGAGAGACTGGTAATTAAAATAAAATTTTACGTCTCGTCAGGTGAAAACATTCTAATAATTCTCAAATTCCAGCCGGTTGAAAAAGGTCGTAACCTGAAGCGGCCTCATTTTCTTAGCAACGCCAATACTGCCTTAACATTTTTAACTAACAAAAAGGTGAGAATTTATTGCTTTTTACCAGAGTAAAAATAAAATTAACCAACCTCGTCCCCAGATTAAATTGGTCAACATCAACGCGACTGACTTGGTTGATGGAAGACCTCCTGTGGTTCTTGGTCTCATCTGGACCATCATTCTGTACTTCCAAGTATGAGATTTAAAAATAAAATAAATAAATACTCAGATTCAAATATAATTGTATTCAGATTGAGGAAAACACAAGAGTTTTGGAGTCTCTTGGGCACAACTATGCTGGTAGTCTCGAGAGTCTCAGGGGTGACGCCTCCAGCCCTGAGACCTTCGGACACAGGAAGACTCCGGACAAGAGAAACGCTGGCGCTAAAAAGGCTATGCTTACATGGGTGCAGAATGCGATGCCACCGTAAGTTTGATTTTTTCACATTGGTGTAAATTTTTAATACATTAAATTGTTTTGCGTAATTTTATTTAAAATTTTACATTAATAAATTTGTAATAAATTTATTTTTATAATTTTTTATATACAAAATTTTTAATAATTATAAATAAGCAAATTATAATACGTCATGAAATAGTTGTTTTGAAAGCTTCAATTCGTATTTTTTTTTTATATTTTTTTTTAATAAGTTAAAATAGCTGTGGGTCAATCTTTTAAAACCATTAAACTTCGAAAAAAAAACTCATGAGTCGCTTCCATTAGATGTTTTATTAGTGCTATGTTTGAGCAAAATGATTTACAAACTGTCGATAATTAGTTAATGATATTAACAAACAACTATAGCAATAATTATTTTTAATAAGAACTAAGAAGATAAATAATTAAAATTAATAGAGTTTATTAATTTACTTAATTTACTAAATCAATGTACTGAAAAGTAAGCAACGCAATTACTTTAGTATTGAGTTTAAATTCTATATTGAAAGAGTTCACACCAATTTTTCCCTTGCCCTATTTACCGTTTGGACCAAGTTCAAGTAACGCCACCTTTAATTGTAAAAAACACACGTGCGGTCCATTGTCATGCAAAGATTGACCTTTCTCATTCTTTTCACAGCTCGTTTAACGTTGTCGTCAAAGACTTTGGACCGAGTTGGAGAGACGGCAACGCTTTCCTGGGCATCATCGAAGCCATCAAGGCCAACCTACTGGACTTGGCCAGTCTGAACCGCGGCACCAACCGGGACCGCCTCGAGACGGCCTTCCACGTGGCCGAGAGTGAATTGGGCATCGCCCGACTGCTCGACCCCGAGGACGTGGACGTTGACCGTCCCGACGAGAAGTCCATCATGACTTACGTCGCGCAGTTCCTGCACAAATACCCCGCACCAAGCGTGAGCTTAAATTTTTTATTAATGGAGTTGTTGCAAATAGTTTGAGAAAAAAAAGGAAAGGAAAAAATAAAAAAAACCTGCTGAAAAGCTTTTCATGAAATTTTTTTGTTTTTATTTTTGAAAAATATTCAATCTTGAATCTTTGGAGAGAAAAATAAGCGCCGTTAAAAATTTAATCTTTACTTCAAAATTTGGAAAATTAAATGGGAAATAAACTTTGGAAATTCAAATGTATTATTGATGTTGGATTTAAATTTGGTTAAATTAGAAAAAAAACTTGGTTGGGGTGATTGAGAGTAAAAATGTTCTTATTTACAGAAAAATATTTTTTTATTCAATATTATGCAAACACATACTTTGGAAAAAATGAATTATTTCTTATTTTAATTGTAATTTAAATTTATTAAATTAACAGGTTGACAAAGAGAATAAAAAAAATCTTGTATTTACAAAAATTGCAAAGTGAACAAAATAAATCTTGATTTTGCTTCTATTTTCCTCTTAGGCCGGGGCGAGTACTTTGTCAGAAATTCAGGAAGAGTACAGTGAGCTGGTGGAATGGCTGATGCAGAAAACACAATATTTGGAGCACCACGTCCAGACTAAGACTTTGTCCAAAAATTACTCTGTAAGATTTTTCATATTAAAATTTTCATCCAATTAAAATTTTTGGAATTTCTGTAGGATTTTGTGACGTTTAAGGACAATTTCAAGCTCAAACAAGTGGTGTTTGAAAAACTGAAGAAACTTGTTGACACCCAAAGCATGGTCGCCATCACCCTCGAGTCTTGGAGGGAGATTGAGCGACTGTGGGCCAAACTCGAATCACAAGTAAATAAAAAATCCAAAATTTAAGATTTTTTTAATTTGCATAAAATTAATTTTTATTTTAGATCCGCTACTGGCAGTGGTTCTTGGATAGCAACCTGCCAGGCGCCCTCGGAGAAGTGGGCAAGTGGTTGGGCGACGCCGAAAATTTGATTTTCAACGACGACATCCCCCAATTGATGAACGAAGAGACGGCCACCATCATCAGCCGCAAACTGGAGGAGCACAAAGCCTTCTTTGCGGAATTGCCAAACGTGCAGAGCAAGTTCGAGTCGGCACTGAGGAGCACGTTGACGCAGAGCGTTCCTCAGGTGCAGCTTGACGACATTGCAAGCAGACTGGACGCCGTCGGCCCCATGGCCGCCGAACGCCGCGTCAAACTGAAGTTCCTGGAGCACAAGGTGAGTGACCCCAATTCAAGTGGAGCAATTGTTTTTTTCTGCACTTACAAATAATTTATTAATTTCAAATCCATTGAGACATTTAAAGGTTGCTATGATTAATTTAGATAAATAAATTTTTGTTTAATAGATAATTCTATTTAAATCTTATTTTGTGAATCTTAAAAAAAAAACTAAAATTTTAACTGGTTAAAAAATTTATCTTTTTGAATCGTGATATCGTTTTAAACAAAAGGCATGGGTGCAATTTAAAATTTAATTTTTAAAGCTCAAACGACTTTCAAATTTAATTATTAAATAATTTTATTAAAAAAGGAACAAAATTTACATCTGGGGTTGCCTCATTTCCTTACAATTTTCTGACGAGGGCTGTTGAGAAAATTTAAAACTGTAACGTGGACCTTTTTTTCCATTTTGAGAAGCTATAAAAATTTAAATTTTGCATTCAGATTTATTTTCAAAAAGAATCGTTTTCCTACTGCATTGGATTCGAATTTGAAAATAAATCTTTATCATAGCTATTTTTTTCTCCATTTTTTCTAAGTGCTGTCTGATCGCCTTCCTACACCTGACCGAGAACAAGCTGCGAGCCTGGACGGTCAAGTATGGATATGAGGACAGAGTGCAAGTGCTGCTGGACCAGTACAAGAACTTCGTCTCGCGGAATCGCATCTTCCAGGAATTCAACAAAGCCTACCAAGACATGCAACAAGTTGTCGAAGAGTACATTACTGAAGGAAAAGTTGGTAAGTAAAATCAACTTGATTTAAATTTAGTTCTTTACCTAAAAAAATCATCTATTAGATCAAAAAGAGAAAAACAATATTGACCGATTCATGCGCGACACTGGCGAGAGATGGAAAAACGTTTCAATGGAGCTGCGCTGCGTGCAAAGCATGTTGGAAGAGGTCATCAACTACTGGCGCAAGTGGAACTCGGGATCTGTCGAGTTCGAAGCCTGGGTGGAACAGGCCTATAACGTTTTGCGTCTCTCTGAAGTTGAGAAGATGGAATACTTCCAAGTGAGGAAATATATTAAAATATTAAAAATTTCATAATTATTCTTTTCAAATTATTTTATTGATTTTTGCATTTATTTCCATCAATTTATTGCGGGTGTGTTTTCTTTGTGGGTTTCTTTAAAAATTAAATTATAAGAAACATTTAAAATTCTTATTTTTAAATGGTAAATTAACTATTTTTAGGAGCTGAGTGTGTGGAAGGACAAGTTCCAGGCCATTTCGGACGCTGTTCAATTTCTGATCGCGACTTGCGATGATCCCATCGCCTTTGACCTTAGAGACAAGTTTAATTACCTGTCCACAAGATGGGAGGAACTCTTCCCCGTAAGTCACATATAAAAATTAATTAATTTTAAAAAGGAAAATAAATATTTTAAAATTTAGATGGTGAAGCAATACATGCACGCTGGAGACATTTTACGAAACCGAAAAGAGTACCAAGCCGGAGTGGACAAACTGCAGGCGTGGCTGCGCAATGCAGAGTCCATTCTCGCCTCTTCCCAACTGGGCTCGACTCAGAACATCAAGGCCTACGGTGAAAAACTGCAACAGCTGCAGCATGAGATGGAAAGCACAGAGGACCTGTTCAAGTCAGTCAGCAAGAAGTTCCAGGAATTGATTTCTGAACTTTCCAGGGAGGAGGTGGACCGCATCATGATTACTTTAAAGAAAGAAAAAGGTAACAAAATAACCTTATTATTAAAAAGGTCAGACTTAATCTCTTGAATTTCTAAAGCTAGTTTCTGTTTAAACATGGGATATCTGAAATTATTATGATTTATCTAAAAAATTCATTTATAAAAAAAAATTGTTTGTATGGAATTACTTCAATAATTTGGCTCTCAAAATCTACTGGATTTTAAACTTTTGACAATTTTGCAAAATAATTTTTTTTTTCAAGAAAAAAAAGCATAAATCCTTAGAATTTAATTAATACAAATTTCAGAATCTTTGGTTAGAGTCCGAGCACTGATTCCGACCCAACTGCATCTTTTCCACCAAATTTTGGTGCAGTACGAGTCTCTTGAAACTGGACAGGCGGAGATTTCGCAGTGGTTGGACGAAGCCGAATCATTGCTGAACAGCTTCAGTCCTGTCGGTGATCGCGAATTCTTCCAGGAGCAGTTGGAGAAGCACAAAGCGTTCTTCCTAAGGACTTTCTACTACAAGTCAATGCTCGAGAGCAAAAACAAGGTTCACCAGAGCATCATCAAGTCGTTGCACAACACTGAAGGAATCGACACCAGCGCCTTCAAATCAAAGATGAGCCAACTGAACCAGAGATTCACAGAAGTTGTTCAACTTTCCCAATCTTGGGAACAGGTATAATATTAAGATTTATAAAAAGAATAATCTACAGAAAAAATATTTACCTATCCAATAATTAAAAATGATTAATTTTTCAAGACTATTCTGTCTGTTTATTTTCTCCAGAACCTGATCTGTGTTTAGTTTTATTCATTTTAAAATAATTGTTTTATCATTGTTTTTGTGGTTTTAATTTGAATAAACTATTGTTTTTAATTGGTTTAAGAATTTATAGGGCAACAAAAAAAATTTAAATTTTACTTTTTTCGAATGGTTATTATATTTAAAAAATAACAATAAAAAACTTTCAGCGTCTGAATGAACTGCTACGGTGCCATGAACGCTTTGCCGAGTCAGAAACGCTTGTTTCAAACTGGCTTAGCCAGGCAGAGCAAATGATGGGAGACAAATTGCTGGACAATAAACAAACTGTGGAAGCACACAAGGTTCATTTTATTATATATTTTTTAAATATTCGTTAATACAATTTTATCTTTACAGCGCTTCTTTGAGAAAGTCAATGAAAAGTGGCTGCATGATTTTGAAAATGCTGCTCGCGATTTGAAAAATTGCCAGCCTCCAGAAGAGAAAGCAGTTTTGGAGAAACATGTTGAGGATTTAAAACAGAAGTGGAAGGTTTGAGATATAAAAATATAATTAGTATGTAAAACATTAAAATATTTATACAGGATGTTTTGTCAAATGCGCCTTTGCACCTAATGAGACTGGAATTCCGACTGGACGAAAGTGCCTTCAAGACGTTCTTGAAAGACGTTGAAATTGAGCTTGGCAACGAACAACAGGCGCTTAACAAGCATGACGACATTGGGAAAATCATTAACAGACACAATGTAAATTATTTTATTTGTATTTTACTTTTTTCTGACAATACTTTTGGTCTAGGATTTCTTTGCTCGGCAAGACGTGGAAGGAAAAGCAAAGCAGGGACTGGAATCGCTCAAAAAGATATGCACCAGCTACTCGTCCTGGAAGCCAAATGAAAGGGACTTGTTTGACAGTTTTTTGACTGTGCAGAATGAGTGGAAGGCCGTGAACGAGAAAATCGAAGCATTCCGACAACAATTACAAGAGATTCCAGCCCAGTGGCAGAAATACCATTCAAAGTAATGGAAATCATTATTTAATGAACCTAATTTTCTAAATTAATATTTTTCGTATCAGATTCAATGAACTCTCAAAATGGATGGACTCTGTGGACAGGAGTATTGAAAGTATAAACAGGGAAGTCAACTCATTGGAAGAGTTTGAGAATGAAAGACGCCACTTCCAGGTAAACATTCCTTTTTTAATTATTAAAAAATGCTTAAAATTTTTAATAAATACAAAAATATTTGTTATTTTTTAAAAGTTTTGAAATAATTTTTTTTAAGTGAAAATAAACTTCAATTAGTACATAATTAAGTATATTTTCAATAGGAAATTTGCCACGGGGTAGATGCCAGACGTGAGGACGTCAAATGGCTTGTCCAGACCCTTGAACTTCTCACTTCTAACTGTGATGACGAAAACAGCCAACAAGAGCACAACAATTTGGAAGCGCTAGTGACCAGATATAAGGGGCTAGTGCCCAATATTGAACTGACCATTGTCAAAACCGACGTGTACTCCCGCTGTTACAACTACAGGCGAGAAGTCAGAGAGGTAAAATAGAATATAAACCATCAAAATTCGTTTTGATAACAATCCAGTTTTTAATTGAAACAATTGTGAAAAGTACTGAAAATATTTTTTATTTTCTTTAATTATATTTATTTTAATTAAAGATTTTAATGAATGTAAAAAAGTAAAAGACCTTCAATTGAATTTCTGTTTGTTGCATTTTGACTCCCAACGGGATCACAATTTTAGCCTTTTTTAAGTCAGGGTAGAAATCAATTTTATTATTGGTTTATATATTTAATTAACTGTTTATCTGGGGAATTTTAAAACTTAGAATGAAGAAATAATATGAAACAGATTAGAGATGAAACAAATTCTGAAGTTAAATTTTGTGACAGGTGTGCAACTTGCTCAAGAAGGTGAAGGACACATCTTCGTCGTCCAACTTCCCGGATGGTCTAGAGAGTGCGGCCAACCTGATCAAAAAGCAGGAGGCCGCGATCAAGCAGTTGGACGACCAGAGGGCCAACATCATGAGCATGATGCACAAAGGCAAGGACTTGGCCAAGGACGCCAACGCGCCCGCCTTTATCAAGGACGAAGTGGACAGTCTGGGTGCCGCGTGGAACGACGCATACTCGCAGACCACCGAGAAACTCAAGGCGCTGCGGAGCACGCAGAAAATCTGGAACCAGTATCAGGAGCAAAAGGACGAGATCCTCAAGCTGATCGAGCAGGCCGAAGCTGAACTCAGTAGATTAACGGGCGGAATCGACCCGAGGAAAATCGTGGCCGACCTGCAGGCCAAGCAGGAAATTGGCATCGCCCTCAGGGAGGCCACGGAAGACATGCTCAGGAAGCTGAGAGACATTTGTGCCGCCCTTTGCAAGGTGACGGCGCCTGAGAAGAAGCCTGCTTTGCAGAAAGAGGCAAGTTTCCTTTATTAAATTTATTTTTTATGATCCATTTTGTGACAAAAATTTAATTTAAATTCATTTATATAGATACAAATTTTAATCTTCTTTTATGAATTTTTTGATGAGAGGGCATGTGTATTGTTTTAACTTGGTTAATTATTAAATAAATTAGATTTATGAAAATAATAAGATAAAAATAATCTGCAGGTGGAACACTGAAAAATTATAAGTTTCCAAATTGACAGTTTTGAACCCCAATTTTTACTTTAAAAAGTTCAATTTCCAGATTAATTTTGTAATTTCAATGACTTTTACAATAAATTATGAGCCTTCTTTAATTGTAACATTTTTTTTAGGTTGCTGATATTGAAAAACGTTTGCACATTGTGCTTGAGTCTGCTCAGGAGCAGGCAATCTATCTGGAACAATTCCAAGAACGGTGGAACTGGTGCAAAAATCAGGTTCGCGAACTGAAAAACTGGACGCAGCAAGCGCCTTCCTATTTGCAGCACATTGCAGCGCCTGACTGCCATCCTGAGGAAAAGCAAATCCGCGCTCAAAAATTGCAAGCGCAGTTCGCGGAAAATATCGATCTTTTGCAAAACTTAGCGGAGGAAGTCAACAAACTACTTAAAGGTACAGCTATAAACAGTTTCAATTTGTTATTTTAAAATTTTCAGGATAAGTTATTTATATTGGGCAACTTGCTTTACTTGCCAGTTATGAAGATTGCATAATTCTATGCGAGGAGACAGAAACATAAACATTTGGTTTACCTGAAACAAAATTAATTCATTGTTAAACGGTCATGTATTTTATTAACAAATAAAATTAAACTCAGGTGACTGTGATAAAGAGGAGGCAGCTATTTTAAAAGATGAGGTGCAAGACTTGGAAAGAGAGTTGGCGCAGTTGAAGCGAATGTTCGACAACCAGCTCAGCACTGTCAACCAAGACTTGGCCCTTTGGAACGAGTACCAGAACGGACTTCAGCAAATTAAGCCTTGGCTCGAGAAGGCAGAAATGAAAATTGCCGTTTCTTCTGTTAAGCCAGAAACCCTTCCAGAGGCCATTCAACTTCTCCAGGCAGCTAAAGTAATTTCTAAATATATAATTCTAGATTTAATAATAATATATGTAAATTTTAAAGGAATTTGAGGCTGAATGTGAAAAGAAACTTGGGCAGCTACAGGCTATTCTGACCAAGAGTCAAACCATCACGTGCCATACAAATGCCTCAGATGAGGTTGACGCCGTCCGTTCCAGGTGGACTTCACTCCACGACCAGGTGACCCAACGACACGCCAAGCTGCAGAAGTTGGTCAACACCTGGCAGGAATTCAACGCACTTGCTCATGAGCTTTGTGACTGGATTGGCAGCAAAGAGCGAGAAATTGCTGCTATCAAAGAACACAGAGACAACAGAGGAGAAAAACTGGAAGACGACCAAGCCAAACTCAAAGTAAAATTTTATTTATTTTTTTTTTTTAATTTATGAATAATAATGTTAATAATAATTGTTAAAATTTCAGGCTTTTGCAAATGAGTTGTCTGAAAAACAATTTGTCTTGAGTGCTTTGACGCAAAATGCAGACAAGATTTGCCAGAATTTGTCTCTCGATGGTGCTGCAGCTTTGAAAAACACGCTCGGAGAAATCAAATCTCGGTACGCAGCGCTCGGAGCTAATTTGAGAGACACTTCTAACGCCATAACTGACACTATTTTGACCAGGTAATAAATTTAATAAAATTATTCTTTAAATTGCAAAATTTAATTATTTTTCAGACAAGAGTTTGACACTACAATGGCAACTTTCAACGCATGGCTGGACAAGCAAGTCCCTGAATCGCAGCACATCGACAATATCCCCACAGAAAAAGTGCACTCCACCCTTCTTTCCGTCCATTCGATGCTGCAGGAGGTGGCTGAAAAGCAGCCTGCTTTGGGCACCATGCATGAGGAAATGAAAACAATCGCCAAAAATGCCAGCCCCAATGAAATTGCTCGGCTGAATGACCAGTTCTCCAAGATCACAAAGAACTTCCAGGTAATTTTAATAATTTTTTTTTAATTTTTAATTTTGATTCTACAAAACATTTTAATTAAAAATTTCAGGCGGTTGAGCAAAATCTACAAGACAAAAAGAGTGCCCTGGAAAAATGGTCAGAGTTGGTCAATTGGAATAAGGAGAGCATGGAGTTCATCAACCACACCAAATTCCAAATTGCCCAAAAGTCAAAACCACAGGAGCTCGAAGCTCTTTACGTTGAGCTCGGCAACATTAAAAACAATCTACATCCAAGAGAGAAGTTTGCCGCCGAGATCGACAACGCCCAGTTTAACCTGACGGTGACTGATTCTGCGTCAGGTAAGCCAATCAGGGCTAAACAATTAGTGGACGAAGTGAAGGTTGCTTGTTCAGACGTTCACTCTCAAATTGATGCAAAGAAAGAAACCCAGCATGAAATTCAGAATCACTGGATTCAGTTGCAAAACATGCAACAGTCTCTTTGCCAAATCATTCTGAGGCTCCAGGGCCAGATTCAGGACGCAGTGTCTGACATTCCCTCCACCGAAAAACTGGAGGAGGCGCTGACCGCCCTAACCAGAATTCAGCAAGACCTGTTCCTAACCCGCCCTGAAAAAGACGCGTTGAACAATTTGGGAAAGAAAATCATGCAGGAGGACCACTCCAACCTGTTGACGGTGCAGAACATTCTTACTTCCATTGACTCCAACTGGGAGAAAACCAACCAAACGCTGAACGACTACACGGCAAAGTACGCTGACATTCAGCAAACCTGGCTCCAGTTCGAGGAGTGCAACAATAAGGCGGTCGCTGCCATCCAAGTGGGAAAAAATACTATCACCGAGGTGGGAGAGGAGCCCGTGGACTCAACGCAACTGACCATTGCCCAGGACAAGATCAAACACGCTCTTGAACATCTGGCCAGGGCGAAAACCTCGCTGGACGTCATGGACGCCAAGGGCAAGTTCCTGGTGCAGGAAGGAGCCCCTCTTGGACTGAACGTCACCAGCATTAAGACGGCTTACGCCGAAGCCCTCCAAGGAGTTCACCAGACAACTGAAAAGATCAACAAGATCACGCAGAATTTGGCCGCGCAGGCCATGATCTGGAAGCACATTGAAGAGTGCAAGGGCATCGTTCAGGATTGGTTGAGGGAAACGTGCGAGGGCTTGACCAACGCGGTGCAAAATCCATCCAATATCGAACTTGGCGTAAACCAACTCAATAAATACAAGGATGAACTGGGAAATAATTACAATATCAAAACAAGCATAGTAACGAAAACTGGGCAGCTTTTGAAGCTTACGGAGGGAAGACCGATTCCAACTCTGGAGACTTTGAATAAGTTGCTTGATGAAGAGTTTGCCCACATAAAGAGCATTGCTGACAATCTTGACTCATTAACCTCAACGATTGGAGAGAAGGAAAAAGAGTTCAAAGTTGACTCAAAGAAAATTAGTGACGATTTGGAGAAATTGCGCGAGGCTCTGATGTCATGCGATGACCTTTCAGGGGACAATGCAAAGGTTCTTGAGCGTCTGAGAAAATGCAAAATTGTTAAAAATGATTTGGAAAATCTCGACGGTAAAGTCAAAGACCTGCGGGATAAAATTAGTGATGTTACAAGGAGTTACTCTGCCTTTGCTGATTCTTCGGCGGCCAAGGACCTGAACGCTTTGCATAAACGTTTCGAAACAGTCAGGAGTCAAGCTGACAAAACCGATGGAACTTTGTCTACTTTCCTCTCTAAATTCAACAATGAAAAATTTGGCACTCTTCAGCGTGCTGTGGGGCTCATCAAGGAGAAGCTCCAATGGTGCACTCCAGAGGCGAGCAGCGACAAATACAATTTGGAGGTGAAACTTTCAACTCTGAAGGATGTCGAAGGCGCAATCACCGAGTGCGAGAGCAAGAAAAACGAGCTGGAAAACTCGTTTGGCATGTTGATGGACGTTTTGTCTGCGGACAAAGTGGCCGAGTTCGAGAACGAGAAGTCAAAGCTCATGAGAGAATTTGCCGCTGTTAAAAACTCATATACTGAAACGAGGGACGTTCTTCAGCATAACATCGAGCTATGGACGCAGTACGAGCAAGTTTCTGAAATTGTCACCTCCTGGCTCAGGGACGTGGAAGGCCGCGTCAGGTCTGAAAGTGTCAATCAAGTTAATTTGCCTGAATTGCGAGAAAACATTAGAAACAATCTACATTTCAAAACGGAGGTTGAAAACTTCAAAACCACCATCGACAAATTGGATAGCTGCGGGAAAGAAATCACTGCGAGACAGCCAGAGTCCCGCATCGGCCAGTATGTCCAACACCTAACCAGTCGGTATGATGCAGTAGTCAAATTCATCAACGGCCACATCGATCGTCTGCAAGAAATTGAGACCAATCAAGCTAATTATAATGCGGCAGTGCAGGATGTAAAGAACTGGATCGATGATTCAAAGAAAAAGCTTGATTCGTTTAATTCCCTGCCAGCTGTCGGTCCTAAGACCATTTTGACCTATCAGTCAAAGTTGAAGGATTTGAAGTCCTTCTTGGACGGAAAGGAAGCTGGCCAGACTTTGCTCAACACGGCCGTTCAGAGAGGTGATTGCCTGTTTTCCGGAATCACTCCGGACAACAGAGAGGCCATCAGAACAGAGCTGCGAAGCTTGAGAGACATTTCTGAAGCATTGATTGACGATGCCAACGCCATCGGCAAGCGAATGGAGGCCATCATGATCCAGAGGTCGTCGTTCGATGATAGCTACAACCAGGTAACTCAGTGGATAGAAGAGATGAGACGTAAAGCTGGCGAGGAGAATGTGGAATTGAGGGCAACCCTTCAAGAAAAGAAGGCTCTGATGCACGTTTTTAAGTCAACGGCGCAGGACATTGACACGCACAGCAACATTTTCTCCCAAATGGAGGCCAAAATCGAAGCTCTCTCGGACAATGAGGCCAGAGACAAATTCGACGAAATCCTGGCCGAATACAAAACGCTGGCTGAAAGAATCAACAGGAAAATAGGCACGGCTGAAAAGTACGTGGACCAGCACGAGTTGCTGCAGCAGCACTTTGAGAAAATCCAGGACTGGTTGACATCTTGCAAGGCTGAAGCCGGCGTGGTCACTGAAACAGCCATTGAGAAAGAGGGTGCGGACGCCAAACTGATGGTCGTCGAGAGTCTCATTCAGCAAAAGCCAGAAGGAGATAGACTGATTGGAATTTGCCAGGAGCAGCTCCAGGTTGTTCTCCAGCAGACTGAAATCTCCGGCCACCCAGCTTTGCACAATGAGTTTGAGGAGCACCGGAACGCATGGGAGAATTTCCTACAGCACTGCTTGCAAATTCAAGCTCAGCTTAACCAGCTATGCAGCAAATGGTCACAGTTTGAGGCCACCGTTGATGCTCTACTCATGTGGGTGAAGCAAAAGGAGACGCAGGTGCGTGACCAGAGTCTCAAAAACTCCCTTGAAGCAAAGCAAACGCAGCTGGACAAGTTGCGTCTGATCGAAGAGGAGGTCTGGGCTAAAGCAGACCAGTTCACCGATTTGGCAGAGCAGAGTTCTGGAATCGAAGGCGAGACTGAATTGACAGTCAAAGTTTCCCAACTTGTAACCCGATACCAAGGCTTGAAGAACGCAGTTAAGGAAGCTGTTGGCAGATACGAGACTTTTGTTCAAGAGCATAGGTCGTTCAACGACCAAGAAGCTAAATTCCTTGATTGGATCGCGATGGTTGAGGAGCAGCTGAAGCTTCTGAGCGTTGTGGTTGGAGACCTTGCTATTTTACAAGTAAATTTTAATTTCATTATTAATTTTTCACTAAAATTAAGTAATGCTCTAATTTCTTTAGGATCGTCAAAGGAAGATCAGAGATTTGGTTGAGGTTAAAAATACGGAGAGCAGTAAATATGAATCATTGATTGAGCTTGGAGAAAAGTTGTATGCTCACACCTCTCCTGATGGTCGTGAAGTTATAAGACAACAACTGAAGTAAGTGAATAATGAAAAATAATAATTTAATTCATAAATCAATAAAATATTAAAATTAAAAAAAAATCACTAAAGCAACAAAATCACATTATTAATAAAATTTTACTTTTAGGACGCTGAGAACACTCTGGGACAGCTTCTGTGAAGATCTTCAAGCCTCGTCTAACAAATTGGAGCAATGCCTGATGCAATATGTTGAATTCTCCATGGCCCAAGAGCAGCTCACCAAGTGGCTGCGGGACATCGAGAGGGCCATGCAGCAGCACACAGAGCTCAAAGCCTCTCTGCAAGAGAAACGCGCCCAGCTGCAGAACCACAAAATCATGCACCAGGAAATCATGTCGCATCAGTTGCTGGTGGAGTCGGTGTGCAACACCGCCCAGCACCTGGTCGACCAGACGCAGGACACCTCGCTCAACGGCTACCTTGATTCAATCAAACAGCTCTTCAAAAACATCGTGATCAAGTCACAGAATTTGCACGACAAGCTGGAAAAGTGCATTCAGGAGCACAACAACTACAACTCGCACTGCAAGGTTGTGCACGACTGGATTGTTGTTGAAATTGAAAAACAAGGCGAGTGCGACACTGTGAGCGGAGAGAAGTCTGACATCGCCAGACGCCTTTCTTCTGTGAAGGTAGTTTTCGATTTGATTAAAATTTTAAAATTTATTTATAATCCAAAATTTTGTATGAAACTTTCAGTCTTTGAGACAAAACGAGGAGGTAGGCCAGAGGTACTTGTCGGAACTGAGGGAAATGTGCAATGATGTGTGCGCCAACACTGCCTCAAAGGGAGTTGAAGCACTGGAAAAGGAAATAATTGACTTGGAGACAATGCTGAAGGAACACATTAGCTCTCTAGGTAAAAGCTATTTGATTTATCACTTGACAATAATTATAAATTAATATATAAAAACAAAAGTTTGATTTTTATATTATTTAAAAAAAATTTATAAATTACAAATGAAGATTTTTATATAAATCATTAAGCACCTTTTTACTAATTTTTCTGCGTGCTAATTTTGCCTTATATTTCCCATCAATAATTGTTATTCTTGTCAAAAAAAACTTGATTGTTAAGAGAAAATCAAAGTATATAAAAAAAAAATTGAAAATAAAATGTTCTTTTAATAGACGTGATTGAGGCCAAACTGAAGAGTGGTCTGAAGCAGTGGCACGAATTTGAAGTAAAACTGGACGAGCACACTAAGTGGTTCCGACACACCGAGGCCATTTTCCGTGAGCAGCCCTTGCAAGAGTCGGCCAACAAGAAGGAGGAGGTGCTCAGCCACATCAAAGACATCCGAGAAACAATTCTGACCAAAGAAAAGGAGATCGATGAATTCACCGACGCCTCTCATTCCTTGCTGCACTCGAGCGGCGTTGAGAGGATCAAGCCTCTGATTTCGCAAATCAGCAACCGGTACCAGTTGCTGCACGTCCTCAGCAAGGAGGTCATCAACAACTGGCAGACTCTGGTGGACGAGCACAACTCGTACGACGAGAAGTACGCTAGTGTGGACGCGTGGCTCGGCGATTTGGAGGGAAAGTACGACAACATAAAGAGCAAGAGCAACATCAACGAAAAGGCCATGTTGTTGCAACAACTATCCCTCGAAAGGGACAACGCCAACCACAGGTTGTCCACCCTGACCGCGTTAGGTGAGCGTCTATTTGCAGACACGGCCTCTCAGGGCAGAGAGAAAATCAGACAAGACCTGAGGGTATTGCGCGAGAGGTGGGACAAACTGGAGGAACAAATCGCCGACCAGCAGAAAAAGCACGAGGCTGAGACCATGCAGTGGAGCAGCTACAATGAAATGCTCCAACAGACCCTGGCTTGGCTGGACAACATGGAAAAGTCCCTGCAAAACGAGCCCACTGCCTGGTCCACCTCGACGCAAGAGCTCAGGTCAAAGTTGTTGAAGCAGAAGGCCGTTCTGCAAGACGTCCTGAGTCACAAGAGGATCATCGAGACCGTCTGCGATAAAGCCAAGGCGTTGTCTCAAAGTTCCAATTTTGGCAACAGTGAGACTCTCAAAGCTGGGCAGCAGATAAATGATAGATATGAGAAGTTAGTCAACAACTTCCTGATGAATATTGCGGCACTTGAAGAGTCACTGGACGCGTTCACGGTTTTCCACGATTTGCAAAAGTCGCACCAGGATTATCAAAAGCAGCTCTGGGAACGGTCGTCTGCACTTGCAGGTTTGATTTTATTTTTATTAAATATATATAATTTTTTTTCCTAATTTTAAATATATTTTCTATCATTTAACAAGTAAAAGTAAATTACATTTTATTGGAATTTATTTGAATTGATTTGAATTTAATAATAATTACAATTTTTAACTTTAACGTTGAAATAAATCTATTTAAGAGTTAAAATGAAATTGAAAAAGAGAAGAAATTTTAAAATTTATTTATTCTCAATTCCCCAGCCTTTTACAAACTAAATTATTTGAAAAACACTCTGAAAATCCAATTTCCCAAAATGTAGTACATATGACTAAGTTCCTTTTATTTCAAATTAAAACTTACTTTAAATTTTTGAAATGATTTTAACGCTTGAAAATTTAATATTTTGGTCAAAACAGATTACAGTGGTAACAAATCAGCCCTGCAATCACGCCTAGCCAAAGTTGTCGACATTGAGAATTCCCTGACTGAGGGTACCACCACTCTCAAATTGCTTGCCGAGCACATTGAGAGAAATCAATCAAAACTGCCCCCGAGAGCCAAAGAAGCTATGGAACGAGACCTGTCCACTTTGAAGTATGGATTTATTTAAAAACAATAATTTAATTTCTAAATTATCTACAAAAGATTTGAGTTTGACAAATTCGTTACCTCTCTGAGCGATATGAAGCACGGCTTGGAGGAGCGAATTCAGCAGTGGTCCGAGTACGAGTTGTCGTTCGAGCGCCTTTTGGCGTGGCTCAGCGAAACCGAGGCCGCGCTCAAAAACTACGCACACAAGTCCACCCTTGAGGAAAAGGAGGAGCAACTGGAAAAATACAAGGTAATAAAAATTAATCAAGATGCATTTATAGTGATTTTAAAACTATATTCATGTATGACAAATAACACAAATTATTGTTGAAAAATAAATTGAGAATGAGTTTTTGTGCAAAATTTATAGGAACTAGTTAAAGCGACCAATAGCAGGTACAGGGATATGAAGGAGACAGTTGTTCTCGCAGAACATCTGCAACAAGTAAGAAGACAAAACGCTCCTCATAACGCGCACTTTTCTCGCTCACTGCACCACTGTATTTTTCTTATCTAATTTTGAGTAGATTAGAATGACAACAAGTAACTAGAAGACTCTCTCAACTCAACCTTAATCCTTATTTTTGCACACACAATTTTTCTTCCTCATTTTTAGCAGCACTTCATTTTTGGGACAAAATGCTGTAAAATATAATATCTTCACAGGCAACAATCCTTCGATTGCACTCAACTGTCTTTCTCTATATCAAGCTAGATGTGCCAAATTTAAAAATTTTTCAAAGTGCAAAATTAATTTTGGAAATAACATTTTTAGACCATGCTCCTGACGCTCAAACAGAATGAGTTGGAATTTGACAAAATGAGTGATGACGCAACCGAGCTGGCCCATGTGACTGGAGAATCGAGGATTTCGGTCAACATCCAGCAAATCACCTCTCGATTCCAAGGAATCCAATCAACGGCTAAAGTAAAATTTTTTTTTGTTATTATTTTTAAAATATCTAGTTAATTTTTGAGGAATAAACAATAAATTTAATTTAATATTTTAAAGGAAATTTTGAAGAAATGTGAGCAAGCTGCGAGTGACCACCAGGCGTACCTGGAGAAGTACAAACAGGCCTCAACGTGGCTTGCAAACGCACAAAACAAATACTACCGTAGCATAGACGCCAAAAGTCTGAGCACCAAAAACGATGTTGAGAAGCAGCTGGCCAGTCTGCGCGAGTTGCTCGGTGAACAGGGCGCTTCCATGCAGTTGATCAACACCACGGTCGAGCTGGGAGAGAAACTTTACCCCTTCACTGCTGTCGAGGGCAGGGAGGCCATCCGCCTGCAACTGGAGGAACTCCAGCAGGCCTTGGAGACTTTGTTCGATGAAGTTTCCGGAACTGAAAAGAAACTGCAGGAGAAACTCTCAAGGTTTGTATTTATCTTTTATTAAATAACCGAATTATAAATTAATTTTTTTAATCAGGTGGACAAACTTCGAGGAATTGAGTGACCACATGAAGAAGTGGCTGAAAGATGTTGAACCGCAGTTGCCTGAGGAAATCGTCCTCTGGACCACCTTGGATGAAAAGAGAGCTCAACTGCAGTCCTACAGACTGGCCCATAATGACGTCATCAATCATCAGCAGGACTTTGGCCTGTTGAAGGACAGAGCTGAAGGCTTACCAGAGAGGAGTGCTAAAATCGACCAGCTGCTCAATCAGCTTGTCAGGCAATATGACACTTTATACAAGAGAGCTCAGGTATTTAATATCATTTTGAATTATTTTAATTGTATCTAATTTAAATTATCAGATTTATGAATATATTTATTTAAAAAACGGGTTTTTAATTAATTGCATTATTATTCTGCACAAAATATTAAAATGATTGAACAAAAAAAAACGCCTGCCGTTAAAAGATTATGCAACCAGAGTTGCAGCAAATTTGTGCAAGTTGCATACCTTCAAAAATAAATTACTTTCAGCTGCAAGTTTTTAATAATTTCTCTGGACACTTCACCAAATTTTAATTTACAATTAAATAAAATGTCATTTCTAGACTTATGTGGAGTCTTATGAGGCCATTGTAAGTGACCATCAGCAGTACAGCAAAGCTGTGATGGAAACTCAAGAGTGGCTCGAAGCCACCAACAGCACAATGATGCTTTGGGGCGACAGCGACCTGGAAAGAATTTCCCTCCACAGCAATATTGAGCGTCTAAAGGTAAATTTCAATTAATGTGTTTCAATATTTCTTTGAAAACTGGTATTTTATATAGAATTTACTGCTGTCACTGCCCGAGGAGGAGTACAGAATCCACGCGATTCGAAATTTGGGCGAAAAAGTGGTGCCGAGCACCGTCGAAAGTGGCCAAGTTAACATTCGCTCGCAAATTTTGGCCTCCCAGCAGGAATGGGAAGGATTAATCAGCACTGCAAAGTAAGGAACTATAGAAATATTTAAAGATAAATATAATTACAAAATTTTTTAAGGTCTACAATTGAATCACTGGAGTCAAAACTGGGCCAGTGGAATGAATATGAAAAAATGAAGGACGAGTGTCTTGCTTGGATTAGACTGACTGACTCAAAACTGCACTCCGTTGACTTAAAAGCAAATTTGCAGGAGAAAATCGACCAATTGGAAGCTCTCAAGGTATATTGATTTTTTTAAATTAATTAACCAAAAATTTGTTTTATTTATCTCACTACAAACTATTTTTGAATCAAATTATTTTTTTCTAAAGTGTCTACAAGCTGAAGTTCGAGCCAAGGAACTAGAAATGGATGCTGTGACCGAGCGAGCGCAGCAACTCTACAAGGGTTCGTTGAGCGCGAGGAGTTCGCAGATTTCCGAGCTGGGTCTGAAATACCAGCAGGTGTCCCACAAGGCCAAGGACCTGACCAGTCGCTGGCACGGCTACGTGACCAGCCACCAGAACTTTGACAGCAACAACAGCGAGTGCCTCAAGTGGCTGGAAGAGGTGAAGCGGAAACTGGACTACTGCTCCGACTCCAGCACAAAGTCCCAGAAGGATCTCGAGCAAAAACTGGAAATCATTCAGGGGCTGATTTTGTGCAAGGAGGAGGGATTCGCCAAGGTGCAGTGCACAGTCGAGCTGGCGCAAAACGTTTTGGCCAACACCGCCACCAGTGGCCACGCGCAAATCAACCAGGCTGTCAACAAACTGCAAGAGGAGTGGAGCAGTCTTGCCTCAAGAATGATTGACACAAAGGTAAGTTTTTTAAGAAGAAAAAAATCAATTTTAATTAATACAAAATTCATAAAAGAAAAATCCTTTGAGAAACTCCAACATAGAAGTTGTAATTATTTCATTAATTCTGGTTTAAATCATACAACAAAAGTGGAAAAATTAAAATTATACTTTGAAATTATTTCAGAACCAACTGGACGACTCAATCCACCGTTGGTCTGGATTTTTGGAGCAGATTGCTCAGTTGGACAAAGTTCTCGATCCAATCGAAACTTCCTTCAATGAGCTGTCCGAGTTCCAGACCACAATGTCCGAAAAGAGGGCACAACTAGAACGCCTCAGGGTATTTATATTTTTTAAATTAACCTACATCTAGTTTTAAAATGTTCTTGAAAAAAGACTTTGGAAGAAAAAGTGCGTTGTGAGAAAATTGAGGTTGACGGACACAGAGCAAAGGCTCAAGAAATGATGGCCAGCGGCCAGCAGAGCCAGGCGGCCTTGAAAGCTCAGACGACCCTTCAAAGATTCGACAGTATGGCCGAGAAGGTCAAGGTGAGCAAATTCCTCATAATTTAAAATTTGCAAAAATAAATGCTAGTCATTTTTTTTCACTAAAAATTAGATTTGTTATACATTATTTTTTTTTAATTTTAATTATAAAAGCATAAAATATGCAAAATGTTAATAATTTAATCTTCTATTTATTCATTCTTCCCTCAAAAAATATAAATTTAATAAAATTAATAGTTGTTATGTAATTATTTTGGGCGTCATATTTTAACAAGCAGCAAAAAATGGACAAAAATTTGAAATTAAATACATTATTTTGTGTGCACAGAAATTACTTGCGGAGCGAGAAGACCAATATCGCGACCACCGACTGTACAAAGAGGCGCACGACGACCTCATCGGTTGGTTGAGCCGCGCTCGCGAAAAGGTGCCTTGCATCAAGCAACAGTCACTCAGTGACAAGCTCGCGATTGAAAACGCCGTCGCGCCTCTGGAGGTAAGCGGATACCCAGTTATTCCCACGTGGTATATACTTAAGTTTTTAATTTTCTCGACAGTCTCTGCTGAACAAGCAGGCGCAGGGCGAGCTGCTGGTTGAACATCTCACGCACACCGGCGAGGTGGCGATTGCCAGCACGTCCAAACAGGGCCAGGACCAAATCAGAAACGAAATCAGGGCTCTGAGGGAAGGATTTGAGTCGCTCTTTAGAGGTAAGTTTCAAATTTGCAAAATCTTCTTTATTGAAATTTAAAAAAGAATTAATTCATATATAAAAATACTGTGGAATTACAAGTTCATCATTGCAATTTTTTAAATGAAATTATTTTTTATTATTAATGATTTTTTTTTTGTCAGACATACGGCAACAAAAGCACCAGCTTGAAAGCACTGTCGGACAGTGGCGAGATTACAAGGAGGAATACGAACGACTTTCAGACTGGTTGCAACAGATTGAGATTCACATCAAGGCACAAAAGACCGCGCTTCTCTCCAATGTGCAGGAGAAGCGCAAGCAGGTCAATGAAGTTACGGTTAGTATTTTCAGAGTAAAAATTCGGAAGCTTTTATTAAAATTATGTTTCGGCAGGAACTGTTGCAAAAGCTTGAGAAAGGTCAAGAGCAGATTGATCGTTTCAATCAAGCGTATGGTTCTTTGATGGCATCGCACCTTGACACCTACATTCAGACGCAAATGAAGCACCTGAATTCCAGATATCAGGTAGGAAAAAAATTTAAAACCGTCAATAAAAAAATTATAATAATCAATTTTAAATTCCTTTTTGTCCATTAATTATACTAAAATTGAAAGCGCATCAAATATTCATGATATCCTCTTGTCATATTTTTACTGTTTTGATTCCCTAAATTTGATCAAGAAATTGTTATAACCAGTTTTTACTTTGGAAATGTCAAAAAATTGTTCTACCTCAAAATTTTTGAATAAAAGAAATTGAACAGTTAAATTCTAATTTTGAGAGAGAAAAAAACTTGTTGGCTGATTTTTATTGAATGAATCGAATGCTTATTAGTTTTTTTTTTTTTTATCTACTATGAGTACAATTTTTGATAACAATTGAATTCTTTTTTAAATTTTTTTCATCTTCGATGAATAAAAAAAGCAAATTAAATTATTTTCTGTAACGTAATTCAGGTTCTGGTCAACATGGCCAAGGACGTGATGAAAAAGGTAGAAACCAACTTGGATCAGCACGAGCAGTACGAGACGAATCATGCGAAGGCGCAGAAGTGGATTGAGAACGCAAAGCAAATAATTTGGGACAGCAGCTCAGGCGCGTCGAGCAGCAGCCGCGAGGTGCTGCAGTCGCGCCTCAACCAAGTCCAGGACTTGATGAAGCAGCGAGAAATGGCGCAGAACTTGGTCCACTCCACTGTCGGCTGGGGCGAGAAGACCTTGAGGAACACGCGGTCTGACGGCAGGGACGCCATCAACAACCAGCTCAGAGACCTGCAGGCCGACTGGGACAGACTGGTCAAGAAGTTGTCCACCACCAAGGTCAATCTGGAGACCAGTCTGCTGCAATGGGCCGACTACAACTCGTCTTACACCAACTTGCAGCAGTGGATCTCCGAGAGGGAGGCCAAATTGCAGCAAGTTTGTGAGCAAAGGGTGAGTTTAACCACAAAATGCTTAAAATTTAAATACATTGATGTGAATTAAAAGGTAATTAACTTTATTATTATTTCTATTATTATTTTAACATTTTAAACGCAACTTTAATATTTTTGTAATTATTTAGCTTTAAAATCAAATAATAATTTTATTTAGTCATTGAAAAGCCATTTATGAAAATTTTAATTTTTAACCTCAACAACATATTAATAACATTCTTTAGTATGTGTTATTAACATGCAAAGTAATTTAAACAAAATAATTGTCGTTTTGTGAATTTCAGGATAATTATTAGAGGCTAAAATGATCAAACACTAAATGTGGTACTAAAAATGATGAAGTTGATTAAATTAATCATTGTTTGAATAGTTTGATAAAAAATTTACTTTATTCCACAAATAATACAATATGACACATTTTATGAGTTTTTAATAAAAAAAATTCAGAAGATAAAAATAAAGCAATGAATTTGGAAACGACTCAAAAATATATTTCTTGCTGAATGATTGGCCTTTTCTTATTGCTATTTTTACTTATGTTGTAGCTTCCAAAGACGAGGAAAACGGTGACAACCTCAGGAATGAGTTCTTTGAGCATGGGCGAGCGCAAAGCAACGCTGCGCCAGACCAACAGCATTGTTCAGGACATTGTGTCCTTCGAGCCCATGATCCAGTCTGTCGCTTCGAAGGCATCCGACCTGCAGCAGCCGGCCGCAGAAATCGCTAGCAAATACGAAACCCTGACCAAACAGGCCAAAGAACTCTACGCCAAACAGAAGGAAACTGTGGAGCAACACCAGGCGTTCATCGACTCCGGAAACGATTTTGTTCAGTGGATCAGAGCCGCAAAGGAGAGGCTGAGCAAGTGCTCGGAACCCACAGGAGACAAGGACTCGCTCAGCAGCAAAGTTTCACAACTCAAAGTATGGCAGTTAAAGAAATTTAATTACGGTAAAAATTAATTGAAATGAATCCAGGTTCTGCAAAGTGAGCAGCCGGAAGGCCAGAAAAAGCTTGAAAAGGCACTGGAGCAGGGAGAAGTTGCCTACCAGGTTGCAGACAAAGAGGACAAGGAAGTGATTGAAGAGGAAGTTGCACTTCTGCAGGAGGAATTCGACAATTATGTGTAAGCAATTAACGCTTAGAATAAATGTATTACAGTGTCTGGCAAATCCGACAGCACTTACTCAGAAATCAAAATTCTAAAATTGGAGATTTGATAAATCTTTGAAAAAAGATTATAAATTATTTTAAGGAAATTAAATTTCAATAAATTAAAATTTAAAAAAAAAATGGCTTCCTTCCACGTAGTTTAATATTTTTTTAACGTTCAGCTATAAAATATGATTTTCATTATATCATTTTAAATTGTAATTTTCTATTCTAGTGATTCTCTCACGCACACCAAATTCCTGCTCGAGGAGGGAATTGTCAAATGGACTGAATACGAAGACCAGTACCAGGAGGCCACGGATTGGCTGAGCCAGACCGAGGGCCATGTGCAGGGCTTCAATAAACTCTTCAACACTCTTGAGGAGAAGAAAACCATTCTTGAGCAGTTCCAGATGCACCTTCAGACCGTCTTTGACTGGCAGAAGGAGCTCGACAGACTCAATATGAAAGCGCAAAGCCTGTTGGAAACCTGTGCTGACTCGAGGATTTCCAACGCTGTGACCCAAATGACCACCAAGTACAATGCTCTTCTCTCGCTGGCCAAGGAAGTCATGAGAAGGCTGGAACTTCACTACCAGGTAAATTCAAATTTTCTGTTTTGTCAAATATTGATTTTGATTATTCAAAAGATTTTTTGATTGACCCATAATTGAGTGCTTTTGAACTTTTTTAATAAATTTGTCAACTATCATTCTGATAGCTAGCAAGCGCTTCATTTTGTGCTTGCTTTTTTGGAAAAGTATTGTGAAAATGGGCAGACAGACGTATTGAAAGAATCAATTAATTTTAGACAAGTATTTTACCAAAAATCAAGCAAGCGCTATATTTTGTTCCTCACTTTTTGTATTTTAAGTTTTAAGTACTGAGGAAACTTTGGTTTTGTATTTTTGCGTTAATTTTGCTCTTTAAACATATATTTTCTTTTTGTTTTGAATTAAAAATTACCTCTTTGAATCTATCAATATTAGATACAATAGTAATTTTTCATCTAAAATAACATTTTAGGAGCACCAGCAGCACTACACTTTGTACCAAGAACTGGAAGACTGGATAGACCGCACCAAAGAAAAGGTGAAGGAATGCCAGGAAAGCCCGACTTCTCTCTCCGACGCGAACAACAAGTTGCAAATGGTCAAAACCATCAGACAGTCCCTCGAACAGGGTCAAAATAAACTGCGTTACGCCATTGAGCTCAAGGAAAAGGTGATTCTGAACACCGAGCAGGTTGGCGCCGCCAAAATTCAGGAGGACACTGAGAACCTGAAGGCTGAGTTTGAAAAGTTGATGGCCATCGTCCAAGATCTCAGGACTAAACTGACCGCCAAGATTTCCCAGCTCGAAGACTCAAACAAAGTATACAAATTTATTTTAAAATAAAATTTGAGTTCATAATTTTTTTTAGGATTTGAAAATGTTGAATGAATGGATTGAGGAGGTGGAGCAAAAAATGCAGCAGATCGAGAGCAGCGTCCAGACTGGAGACTTTAGCGAAAAAAGGGCCGCTTTGGAAAAAGTGCGAATCATCAACAAGGACGTGGCGTCGCATGACGAAATGATCGACCGCGCCAAAGCTAAGTTACAGGAGAACAACACGCAGCCGACGACTGAATTCGAAGCTAGTCTGTCCAAGTTTGAGGATCTCAAGGAGAAAATTAAGAAGAACATTACGGTAAATATTGTAAAAAATGTCATCTTCAATAAAAATAATAATGCATTTTATTTAGGATCTCGAGGACATTGTGAACAAACACGACTTGTACAGGCGTAGTTATAATGACGCGTTTGACTGGATGCGGAAAAAGCGCATCGATGTGCAGCATTGCAACGATACCCATGGCGAAAAGGAGAAAATCCTTGAAAAGGACACTGTCATGAAGGGCGTTTCTGCCATCATGCCTGAAGGCAAGTAGAGACTATTTTATCTAAAAAAAATTTTGTCTATTAATTTCATTTCATACTTAAAAAAAGGTTTCTTTTTCCTAATTTAATATTTTCCTTGTTCTTATGATCCAATTTTCAGGTGATAAATTGATTATTTTTCGATAGTTTGTTTTGGTCGTTTAAAAAATTAATTTCTAGTTTTTAAAATTCATGAAATTTTTACATTTTTTGCAGGTGAGGCATTGGTGCAGAAGGCTGTAGAGTTGTACAATGACCTGAAGAGCAGTGTAACCGGTCAGGAGGGCCAGGACATGCTCAATCAGGAAATTTCGGCGCTCAAATCCGACCTGGAGTCGTTGAAAGGCATGTTCAAGGACACGCAGAAGGTGATCACCAAGTGCATCACTGCGTGGGATGACTTCCACTCTAGCTACGACTCAATGAAGAGCTGGCTCGATGATTTCCAAACCAGAATTCACGTTGACAATGAGGACGAAAAGGTCACTCCGGAGGACCTCCAGAAGTGTCATGTAATTTAAAATAATAATATGAAATTAAATTAACTTTTAATTATTTGGGAAAACTCAGGCCCTGTTGAAAGAGGCTAACCAGCACAAGATGCAGATGGAGGAGCTGAATGACAGGTGCGAACTTTTGGTCGAGCTGAGTGCTTGTGAAAGAATCAGGGATCAAACCGTCCACCTCCAAGGAACCTATACCAATATTGTCACCCTTCTTCAGGTTAATTTAATTAATAAAAAAATATAATATAATTTAATGACAAAAAATTTACAGGGTTTGGTTTCCAAAGTGCAAAAGAATTTGTCAGATCACACTGAATTCATAAACGCCAAAGAGGAGTTTGATGTTTGGCTGAAGAGAGCTCAGGGCACTGTCCAGTCCTGCGAAGGTGTTGGCGACGAGGCTGCCACCAAGGACAAACTTGAAACTATCAGAGTAATATACTTATTTTCATATTTTGAGTTCAAATTAAAATTGAATTTTTTCAGTTGGTTGCAAACAGAATGACGGAGGGTCAGCACATGATGAGTGCAGTCCAGGTCATTTTCTCCAAGGCCATCAGCAATACTCCCGAGGAGCAGCAAGAGATCCTGAGGGAGACCATGGGCTACTTGCAGAAGAGCTGGGAACAACTCAGCATGGACCTCAATAATGTCATGTCCAATCTGAAGTCGTACACCAATCGCTGGGAGGATTTCAACGATTCAAAATCTCGGTTCATTGTTTGGATCGGTGAGATGGAGGAAAACCTGCGAGAAGTTCCAGAAACCAAGGCTGAACTTGGAGAAATGAAGAAGCTGATTGAACGATACAAAGTGAGATTGCTTACGAAAATAGTTATTTTATTAATTTATTACACCTATTTTTTTTTTAATTTCATTTAAATTGAAAAAAGAAACTAAAAAGCTCATAAAAAAGAGCCAATATATTGCCTAAAAATGAAACATTAAATTTGCCTATTAGAATTTTATTAAAAACAAAAATTATTTTTTAGCACTTGCAAGACGAGGTAAAGAGGCGAAGGACAGAGTTGGACCATCTGCTGACTGAGGCGACGGAATTGTCCACCTGGGCCGGCAACCAGCTGCTGCTGGACGAGATGAAGAACGTCCAGTCTCGCTACGATCACCTCTTCATCAAATGCAACGCCAGGATGACCAGTCTGCAGGACGAGATGCAGGATTACTCGCAGTACCACCAGTCCCTGCAAGAGGCTGAGAAGTGGCTTCTGCAGATCTCATTCCAACTGATGGCGCACAACTCTCTTTACATCACCAACCGGACACAGACACAGGATCAAATCACCGATCATGAGGTTGAAATTAAAATGATTTTTTTTATTCTTTCTTTCAAATTTAATAATTTTTTTTTTAGAATTTGCTGTCTGAGATTCAGAGGTACCAGGCTGTGTTGGACGATGTCAAGTCCAAGGGCTACACGCAAATCGAGCGATATGTGGTCAGTGTGCCCAGTCTGCAGGCTGCCATTGAGAAACAACTGCAAAATGTGCAGGACAGTTACAACTCACTTTTGAACACCGCAATCCAGATAAAGGTAAGCAAAATTAATTTTGTTCTTTTAATTCTCTATTTTACTAAAAATTTCCATGCAAACTTGTTAGTTCAATCAACTTGGTGAGCAGGTAAAATTAAAAAGAAAAACTGCAAGCTAGTCTCACCATGTCACATAAATTATGAAAAAATCCATTCATAATCTTAGAGCTTTTTATAAAAAGAAATTATTTCTGGATATTAATATCATAATTTTAATGAAGAATCGCCTGCTGGAGTCGCTTTCAAAATTCCAAGAGTACGAAGATACAGTTGAAAGCATTATGCGAAATTTGGACGTTTTGGAGCCGCAAATCACTACCGAGGTTGACACTCACGCAGCTAGCTTGGCAGACTCACAGCATCAAGTTGAAAGAGTTCGAGTAAGTACAAAAGTTTCCTTTTTTCTTTTTTAAGATAAAATTATCTTCAATGGTTTTTTATTGAATATGAAGTTGTTTCTTGAGAATTTAAACCCCAAATAAACCACTCGAAACGGAAAATAATTAAATTAGTATGTTTAGTCAAAAGTTACTTATTTAATGAAGTAGTTATTTATTTATAAGAGTTTTAAGACATTTTGAATATTCCACTTATCAGTTTAAACGTTTGTTTTCATATTTTCAAATTATATTGATTAATTAATTGTAAATTCCTTCACCTTCAAGTCATTGCACAACAAACTGCAGACGGAGAAGTCGCGTCTGGCGATTGCGGTACAGGCGTGCGAAGCGGCCGCCGCGTGTATTTCCAGGCCAAGCAGCCCCCAGGATGTGACGCCGACACCCATTCCAGACCGCGAACTGGAGGTCAGGGCCAAAATGGAGGACCTGATCGACCAGGTGCAGAACAAACTGTCCTCGCTCAACTCAGCGGTTGGCGAACTGGAGGAATGGTCGCGCCAGCAAGGCCTGATGAAGATTTGGGCGCAGGAACAGCGCGCCTTTGTGACCGAGTGGAACGCCAGACCTTCAAAACTGAGGAGCGAGGCGGCGAGACAGGAATTCGCCCAAGCCGAAGATTTGCTGCAAAACGTGGACGTTCGCAGAAGGCAGTTGGCAGAATTAAAAACTGAGCCTGACGAGGCGCTGCAAAATGAACTGAGCCAACTTGAGTTGGATGTAAGCTCATTTAAACTCAATTATTTATGTTTTATCGTATTTTCTAGTTATTTTCTTACATATTCCAAATTTTCTTGTTTTCTAATAAAATAAAATTGATAATAAGCATTTTTACGCGAATTTAATGAGTTATCAATTATTGAATGTTTCATTTTTAATTTTAGAGAAGATTCCACTCTACATTTACATCATCTTTCTTTGCTTTATCACTTTTTAATCTTCAACAATTTCAACAAATTTAGGTTCTCCATTTCTAAAATTTTTATTCAAGATGTTGCCAACTATATTTCTTTTTAACAGGCTTATTTTCAATCATTGTTTTGTACATATTTTTACTTAAGCATTAAATTCCTTTCTTTTCTCTTCTCAGGTTCACAATTTGATAGCAAAGAAACAGGCGTCGCAAAATGTAATCGAGGACTACAGAAGCGCCGTCCAGGAGGCGCAAACGTGGATGGACCAGGTGTGCAAAAGCATGGAGGTGCTGGACAAAGGCAGCGGCCTGTTGTGCTACCAGAAACTTTCCTCCGTTGGCGATATTCTGCGTGACTTTGACGCCAACAAGTACAAGTTGGACGAGCTGAAGGCCAAAGGTAGCGCCGTCATTGACCAGGTCAGCAACCTTGAGACCCAGCAGGTCGAGGAGCAGCTCAAAGCCATCGAACGCCGCCATGGCGACATTGGAAAGAAAATCCAGCGGAAGGCGCAGATTTTGGAAATGACAAAAACTGGTTACGACACGGCCATCGAGGAAATTGAACTGGCGCGCAAATGGGCCAAGGAGAAGGTCAAGGGCGTCGAGAAACAGACCCCACTCGGCTTTGAAAGTAAATCGGTCGAGGAGAAATTGCAAGACCTGAAGTCTCTGCTGAAAGAGGCCGAGGGAAAGGAAATCCTGCTCGAGACTTTGGAGAAACGCGTCGGCTCAATGCAGGCTGAACTGGAGCCGAGCGAGCACTCCCTTCTGGAGGGAAATCTGCGCTCACTGGCTCTGGACCACGACGAGTTGTGCGCCCTTTTGCGACGCGAAATGACCAAACTGGCCGCCGCTATTGAGCAAAGGCGCAAATTCGAGGCGGACGTTGACAAGGCGTTGGCCTGGATCAAGACCAAAGACAACGAAATCAAGCCTGGCGGATGGACGCCTCTCAACACTGCCTGCATTGAAAAAGATCTGCAAACCTACAAGGTATATTATAAAAATAAACAATAACAAACGAGGAATTGAAATGATTAAATTTAGCAAATTTAAGATTGTATCAGTTGCCCTGGAAAAGATTATTTCACATTTGAACAATTAACAGTGGTGGATGAACTTTCAAGTTTTCCAAGGTTTTTTTTCAATTATGATTCTAGTTAAAATCTGAAATTTAATGAACCCTTCATTTTATTTAATTCTGCAATTTTAAAAAAAACTTAAAAAATTGCCTTTTTTTATAAAAAAGATATTTGAAGCTAATAACATAAGACTTTCAATGAAGTCCGGTTCAACTCCTGAACTGCAAAATTATTCTATGTATTTCAAATGTTTAACCTTAATTTCTGATAGAATTTGGAGACTGCCGTTAAAAATTACAACGGCACCACCCTGGCAGACATTCAGAGACAGAGCAACAACCTGGCCAAAGAATGTGATGATGAAAACAAAGCGAAACTGCAAGAAATCATGGATGGTAACTTTTTTGTTTATAATTAATTTAAATAATAAATAATTTTTATATAGATCTGAGTGAAAGGTACATCATCTTGACTAAAAAACTGGCGGCCAAAATTGAATGTCTGGGAGAATTGAACGTCGGACGCAAGGAGTTTGAAACCGACTTGGAAAACTGCTGGCACTGGCTTAAGCAGGCGGCCGTGTCTGTTTCCGCTGACATTCACACAACCAACATTGACCTGATGCAAGACCATCTTGAAAAAGTAATTTTAAATAAAAAAAATATTTATAAATATTTGTAAAATTAAAATAAAAAATTATTTCAGTACGTCAAACTTGAGGGAGAAGCTGTCGAGAACGGCAAGTTGGTGGAAAGGGTTTTCACCCTGGGCTCATCGATTTTGCCGAGCGTGAGTGAGGCAGACCGCGTGTCCCTCACCGAACAGCTCAGCAGTCTGAAGAAAGAGCACTATAGCATGTCCGCCATCATTAGGGAGCGATTGGAGTCCCTGAAGAAGGCGATCGGCGCGAGTCAACAGGCTGCCGAGCAACTGCAGGAGACCATCAATTTCATGACCACAATCCGCCAGGAAATCATGGAGCTCAACAAGCCGATTGGCAGCAAAGTTGAGGACGTGCAAGGAGTACTCAGTTCATACGAGGTAAATAAAAAGCAATAATTAATTGTTCATAAGTTTCCCTTGCTATTGCATGTAGAACAATAATTTTACATTAAAATAAAATTTATTAAAATGAAAAAAAAAATAGATGAACTTGTAGATAATTTTTAAAATTAGATTTCTGCTAATCTTTGGCATGGAATAATTGAAAAATATTTTTGTCGATTTTATAATTAGTTAAAAAAAATAATAATTAATTAACAAATTTAACATTTGTTTTCAATTTTTATTATTTTTTAAAATTTATTTATTGAGATTATTTTAATTATGCGATTTTCATAAATTTTTAGAAAATTTTGGGAGATCTGAAGCAATACAAGCAGAAATTGGGTGAGCTTGACCCATCCAAAACGACAGACCTGAAGGCGGTCCTCAAACAACAGGACGATCTGATCAAAACCATCGAGGACCAAATCTCACGGCTGAAACAACTGCTCCTTTTGCGACAGCAGTTCATATCCATCATAACCGAAATCTTGACTTTCATCACAAAATACACAGGCATTGTCCGCGACATCGAAAAGGGTGGACAGACTGTTGAGGAGAAGATTAAGAAATACGACGACGTAATTAATTTCCACTTTTTCAAATAATTTCCCAATTTAATTAAAACACTTTCAGGTGATCCTGAAGATTCAAGAGTGTGAGGCCATGCTGGCGACGGCCACAGACAAGGGCCAGGCGATCGCCAACGAAGGCACCGCCGCCGATCGAAACAACGTGACGGAGCAACTGCAGTCCCTGAAGCAGCAGCTGCAAGGTCTGCGAAGGGCCGTTGAGTCTCAAAGATCGCAACACGTGCTCACGGCCGAAGCACACAAAAAGTTGGCCGTCGAGTTGGGAGCGGCCCTCGACGGGCTGCACAAAAACGAGGCGGCCGTACGGTCGAGGCCACTGCTTGAGAGGGCCGTCGCCAGTGTCGAAAATGAGATAGTCAAGCACAAAGTAAGCACAGAATTATTTGAAAAAATTAAAAATAATAATAATAAATACTCAAAATAATAAACGAAAATTCTATTTTGATTGAAAAAAATTTTTGGAGCCCATTTTAAATTATTATTAAATCATGTGTTACTTTTCAAATAATTTTTTAATTTTAATAATTTTAATCTTATCATAGTTTTGGTAATATTTTCCTTTACACAAAATTGATACTTCTTAACGATTTTTGTGAGAGTAATTTTCATTTAATAATTTTATTTCTTTAGGCTTTGAGTGCTGAGGTTGAAAAGCAGTTGGATGTGATCCGGAAAGTCCGGGGTGACGTCCAGCACGACGAAGGCCTTCCCTCAGCTTTGGCCGACCAGCTGAGTGAGGCGACAATGCTTCTCAACTCTCTGCCACAAGAATTGACAGACAGGAGCAAGTACCTTGAGTCAAACAAATCCTACCGCACCGAGCACCAACTGCTCAAGGAGAAGCTCAATTTGTGGATAGAAAACGCCAGCAAAATCATGGACGTTGGCCACGAGGGCGTTGACTTTGTGGACATCTTTACCCACCTCGAAAACCACAAGGTTTGTTGTTTTTAAAAATTAATTCATACCCCCAGAAAAGAAAATTTGATGAAGTGGAATCCTGCAACTGAGTGACGAAAATCGATGCTTTTAAGAACAAATTATAATACAAAATCTTTCAGTTAGTATTCTCTATTCTCTGAAAGACAGAATTAAAATGTTTTCAATTCAATGTTGCCAATAAATTTCAAGGCAAAAATCTTTAAAAAAAAAATTGAATTTTCATAAATTTTTTCGTAATAAGTATATTTTGTTGCTAAAAAAAATTAACAAAAATTGTACTTACTATTTTTCTTTTAACTTTACAAACTTCAGCATTTCGTTTGCAGAAGTTTCATGCAAGTTGTATAAATAAAGCACCTACAAGCACCGTGACCATTTTTTTTTAAATAAAATTTGCAGAAGTTCTTCTCCAACGAACCGATGGTGAAGGAGTTGGTGACGCAAATCCAGCAGTCTGGTGACCGCATCTGGCCGTCGCTCTGCACCTCGGAACAGGAGGAGCTGAGCGCCGAGCACCAGTTGGCCACCCAGTCGCTCAAGAATACCCTGAACCTGGCTCGCAGCCGCAAGGCACAACTTGACCAGGACTCGGAACTGTGGAAGGAGTATTTGAAACTGAAGGAAAGGGTGCAGCATATTTCGGGTAGAAACCGGTTTGTCGACGACTCCGTCTCGTCCCTGCCCAGTCTGCACTCCAACATTCAGAGAATCACTTACGCTCTCAATGACATCCAGGTCAGTTAAGATAATTTAAAAAATAAAAGTTTTACACGTTGGATGGAAAAATAATTTCAAATTTGTTAGTTTTTGTTTGTAAAACAACATATTTTGAACATATCCGAAAAAGAGATTATGTATATTGTTACAGGGCCAGTCGCACGAAATTGATCTCCTACTTGAACGCGCCAAAGAAATTTCCAACAAAGCTGATGCTGAGAATAAATTAACAATCGACAGTGACATGTCTGCAATCAGCACTGAATGGAACGGCCTCATATCGGAGTTGGAGAACCGCAAGGAAACCCTGACCAAACTGGCCGAGCACTGGGAGGTAAAGATAAAATGTTTTGAAAACTTAAAAATTTTAATTCAAACTATAGACATTCGAGAGCAAGTGGCAGCAAATTGACTCCAAGCTGCTTGGAATTGAGGTCAAGCTGAAGCATGAGGACCTGGTTGTGAGGAACAAGGCCCAGTTGAAGGAAACCCAAGGCAAAGTTGAGGTAAAGCAATCTTTTTTTACTTTTACACACTCCAAAAACAATTTTATCATAATTGTTGCAGAAAAATTAAAATTCAACCTTTTTTCCTTTATTTTTTGTAGAATATGAGCCAAGAAGCTAATTGTTTGCGGCCGATGTACGATGAGTTGCAAACTTTGTCCAGAACGGTGCACACTTTCCTGTCTGCCAATTCTGAACCAGCGGCGCAGGACTTCAAACAGAAGTTGGACAGCCTTTGGGAGCGCATCGCAAAGTGAGTACCGAAGTAAATTAATTAACTTCAGATTAAAAGATTTACCCTGTTGTAACAATTTCCATATTATTTAAGTCTTTTGGAGGGCTTGTATAACTTAAGCATATATAATGAACTCTTTTTTTTTATCAAATTGTTCTTCTCTTTACTTTTTCTTTTTTCTATTGGGGTAGTTTAGCTCCTGAGGATAAACACCAACAATTCTACAATTTCTAGTGGCACCTGCAATAAGGAGTGATTGATCTTTGGCAACACTTTGACTTATATTATAGACATTGATAGACATTTTTGTGTTCGTTTTTCGTTTTGTTTTGCAAGATTTAATTTTAAGTTCTGTGCACAAACCATACATTTATGTATAAACTATAAATTGATTTGCAATCTCTAAAGGCTGAGAAGATTTAAGATGAATATTTTGTAATTTTGCGGTTTCCAAAATGTATCCTATTTATGTATACAAGCAAAAAAAAACGATTCAGCAGGTCAAAGAAATTAAGTTTCTCTTGATTGCCCCGTATTTATATTTAGTTAGTCAAAAGTTAGAGTCAGTGACGTTCCTTCAAAACCTCCCGACTAGTGAAAAACAGGTAAACCAATAAAACTCTTTAATGGCTCTCTCGCTAAAGACGCTCGCCATCGATTCATTTTAAAATAGAAGTCATTCTCAGCTCAGAGCCAGATCAAAGCAAAAAACACACTCATTGTACTGCCAAACTAATCCGCGGCCTCCAGCGGCGATCAAAAGCGCGCAGGAGGCGAGAACGGACGCGTGCCAGAAAAATACAATTTTTTTTTTCTTATGCAGAGATGAGCTTCTTCAGCTATTTCTAAATACAAAAAATAAATTCATCTCTAGTCCAGTCATACGGCGCCGTTAAAATAAACGCAGCGCATCACGCTTTTTAAAAAAATTCCCCCGTTGTTAAATCTCTCTAGACTCGCAGGAAAAAGCACTTTTGCTAAAAATATAAATCTCAACAGACGTTTAGAGCATACTAGAACATCTGCTTAATTAGAGACACAATAAACTCGTTTGTCGGCACATTTCTAGGTGAGCCCGCTGAAAGCCTCATTGTACATTCCGCACATCTCTTCTTCAAATTAAATTTTTTTTCCACCCTTCACCTAAATAATTGTATTTACGTACGATTTTTTAGAGGGCCACGTGTGCTTCAAGGGGCCCATTTATTAAATATTAACACACACACAATGCAGCATTTGCCGCTTCTCTCGGCAGGGAGGCACGCCACACGTATTTATAGATCCGATTCGGCCCTGTAAAAACAGATTTGACTGCGTGCCAGTGTCACGAATATTTTTAGTTTTCATTTCACTCTGCTGTCCCTGCTGTATATGAACACGAGTATGCCAACTTTAAAATCATGCACTTTGCAGCACCTTTCTTTGTTTCTTATCTTCGGTCAAATTAAAAGCGGCTTGATTAAGTCATAAAGTTGTAATAAAAATCGTAGCAAACTAGAGCCGCCCGATGATGAATCTTCATTTTTATAGCTTTTGGCAAACTCGTCTGAAGCGGAGGATTAATATTAATTAGCACTGCTTCTTCTTCTCCTTCTCCTCACAAAAACAGCTAATTTGCATTTAAAGTAACCACTGTTGACATTTTTAAAACATCAAAGGCTTTTGTTTGCTATTTAAATTTAAAGCAGGATCTAACACAAGTTTTTGCAATTCAAATTTCACAGGCTGCTTGATGCCCTTCGCGACACCGAATCTGACCTCATCAAGAAAAAAGAACTGTTGAAACAGCAGGAGGAGAAGGGAAAAAATTTGTTGCAAGTGCTGCGGGAAATTTTGTCCTCCATTCACGAGTTTTACATCTTTGATGAAGACCAGAGCAAAGTCGAGTCCCAGCTCCAAGTATGAATTATTTTCGACTTTGAAATGAATTTCACTCAAAATTTGTGTCTTAACAGGAGCTCGAAAGAGAAGTAGAGCAGCAGTTGGGAAAATCCAACAGTTTGAATTCCGATATCAAAGAGCACTACACACAGACCCAAGAGTACCTGCCGTCCGATTTGGCACACGAGGTGAGAGTCAATTAATTCAACTGTCATCTGGGAATTAAAAAAAAAAAAAAATACAATTTGCAGCTGTCCGCGTTAGAAATTTTGTCCGAAAACGTCAAGGCGACGATGGAGGAAAAACAACGCGAGTTCAAACGTGCAAAGACGATCAGGTCTGACTACCTGAGAGACGTTGAAGAGGTGCAGAATTGGATTTTGGAGGCCGAGAAAAAGGTGCAGGACCAGTCCGTCGAGCCTCACATTCTGAAGGAGTATCTCCAGGTAAAATAAAGAATAAATTAAATAATTTCGATCCAAAATAATTACGATATTTATACAATTTAATTTTAGTTTTTTAATTATTAAAAGAAATGAAAATAAAAATAAAATAAAGATTCTCTTTTAAATTGCGTGTTCTAAATTTAGTTTAATTTCTTTTATTCAAAATTTCAGCAAATTCAATCCGAGTACGCATCAGCTAATGAGAAATTGGAAAGACTAACCAAAAACGGGCACTTCATTTGCGAAAAGTCCCGTGACGTGTCCGAGCAGGACCTGATAAGGTCAACCATTACCAACCTGACGGAGCAGCTGCTGCAGGTCAAGTCGTGGCTGGAGGAGCGTAAAATGCAAGTGGGCGACTCCATCGACTCGTGGCGCAAGTTCATGCAGCTTTACGAGCACATCAAGAATTGGTCCACCGAGAAAACGGCTTTCTTGGCGCAACCCCTGCACCTGGCCACGCTGGTCGAGGCCCGGCAGAAGGTCAATGACTACGCGTTGGCGGTCAAGAGCTGCAAGCACATTGGCAAGAATTTGGGCGAGATGGCCAAGGAGCTCGAGATCATCGCCAGCACTTCGAATAATACGTCCGACTTGCAGGAAAAGTACGACGAGGTGGACGAGCTCAAGACTGAAGTTGAGGGCAACCTCATTGAAACCGTAAAATAAATGATTTAAATTTAAATAAAAATAAAACAAAAATTTTTAAATTTGTAGAGCGCACTTTTGCAAGACACTGCCGAAGAGTGGGAGCAGTGTGAGAAAAAACTGAAGGACGTGCACGCCTGGATTGAAAAGTCGCGAAACGCACTTGACTCGCCACAAAATAAGAAAAAGGCGCTGAAAGACCAGTTGGCCATGCGCGAAAAAATGACCAACGACATTACCATCCAGAAAACAAAAATCAGCATCTCTGTTGAGAAGCTCCAAGTAAATTTTCTACAATTTTAAAATTTTGAAAATGAATTAATTGTAATTTTTTTAGGTGCACTTTAGGGGTGGAGTTGGTGGCGACGCCAAAGTGTCCGAACAGGCGGCCGAGATCATTCAAGAGCTGGGCCAGTTGTTGGCCGTGGTCAAGGAACAGGCGGCCACTCTAGAGAAGTGCCTCGACCAGATCGAAAAGTACCAGCAGGTAAGTGACAGGGCTACTTTCAGCATGCGTTGGCTCACTTTTCGCTGTGAACAGGAAATCCAGCAGCTCCGCCAGCAGATTATTAACGTGGAGCAGCAGCTCAGGGTAGTTATGGCACCAACCTACTTGCCGCACAACAGAGAAAAGGCGCTTGAAGAGCAGAACGTAAGTAGCGCTTTTGAATTAATTTTTGAACAATTTGGAAATTTTAAATAAATTTTTGATTGAGAGTGCGAGTGGTTTTTTGAGTGGATGGAGCGAGAGAATGCGTTACAGGGCCAATTGGATAAATTACAACTATTTTCTAGATGATTGAAATAATAAAATTTAGAGCGAATTATGTTGATTTATTGTAAATAAGTCTCCCCGTAGAGCACTTAGATTTTCCTTTTTTCATATCACAGCTCATTTTAAAAATTTTTTCCCCTGTTGGAATGAAATTATTCCGACATTCAAATTGAGGCGCACAGCTTACTAAATTGGTACTTTAAATAAATCTTTTCTCTCGACTAATACACAAAATTAAATAATCTGGTCACTGAAATAATATTTTTTAATTTTCACAATCATTTGGTGCTTTTTCAAAATTCTGGTTGGCTGGTATGTCTTTTGCTCGGTCTACCTGGTGCTTTTTTTATATACTTTTACTCTAAAGCTCATTCATGCACATCGCTCACGTGTTGTACATTATTTTATATATTATGCTCTCTCTTATGTACTTGTCATTTTTCATTTCTATTCTTTTGCCTTATTTTTCTTACACTCTTTCTCTTTTTGCACTTTTTCGGCATTACCACAGGCCTTCAGGGAACGTATTAAAGCCTTGCAGATCAAGATAACTGCTCGTAACGGGCGAATCAACCTCCTTATCCAACGAGGAACTCCAGATTTGGAGCCTTTAGATTCGTAGCTTCAAAACCTTTAGGTGCTTTTGTCTGGGCAAAGACTCGCGCAAAATTTCCTTAATGTCCTTGGTGCAATGTTCCTCTCTTGGATCCATCTATCTCTCAAGTGACCATCAGCAACATTTAGAAAGAATAAAAAATTAATAAAAAGAAAATACCATAAAAGCTCAGCTGAATATATCTCACTGAACTACCAAGCCTTGATGTGGGTGTCTGAATAGCTGATGTGATTGTTAGACAGTTTTTTCGTGCAATGAAAAAAAACCAAATCCTCTTCTTCTTCCAACCCAATTTACTGAGCCATTCCTTCTTTCTGGCAAAAATTTGTCACACAGGACCTGCAAATTGCTTTTTCCGAGGGCAGGAAACAGATCAGCTGGCTGACCGACAGGGTCCGCCAGCTTGACCCGTATGAATCAGCCGCCCCCGCACCGGACCGATCTGCATCCTACGCTGACATCACCGCGAGGAGGGTTGGCCCGGCGCCAGCAGCAGCCAAGATCGCGTCAGAACAATCCCAAATTTGCCACACATCTGCGAGCCGAGAGGCGATTTATGCCGAAAACGCCCCACGCGGCGCACAGCGGCAGACGACGGCCGATGAGGTAAATGGAGCAGACTTGGCCGGCGGCCAGACCATTTCGCCAGCGCCACTGCAGCAGAAAAATAAAGATGACGCGCGCGGGCAGCACGTAGTCGAGAGCAAAATAGAAGAGCCTCGTCTTTCTCCGATGGCTACCGCCCCGAGCGGCTGCGGTCCCTCGTATGCCGACGTGCTCCGCGGCCAAAGGGCCCAGCAGCACCAAGATGGCCTTGAGGAGCCGCTGCCGCCCCAGGTGACGGAATTGTCTTCTGCAGAACGACCGGAAACAACAGGTGAGCCAGCTGTTGCCGAGATCGAACAGGAAGGTAAAGAGGAAGTTGTTGAAAATGTGGAAATTTTTATCGAGAGCCACGTGCCCATTACCTTTGAGGAAATCGAAACGCCGCAGCAACAGACGGAACCTTTGCCATCTACCTCGAAAGAAGCAGACTCGAGCTTAAAAGGTGAGACCTACGCCCAGGTTCTGCTGAAGGGAGCCAGGAGACTCCTCCACCGAGAACATAACAAGAGCATTATGAGACAGACGAAGTCAACCGAAAATCTAGAACATAGGAAAGATGGAATTTTTGGGTCGCAGGTATTTGAGAGGAAGGAGGTGCACCGCAGCTCACCCATGCTGGCGCCCAGATTGGTGGCCGCGCGTGACAGGAGCTACGAGAGGAGCGTCAGTCCGCTTGCAAGGAGGTTTAGGAGAGGCAAGTTGGAAAAAACCAACAGCGAGGAGGGCAAAAAGAGCTGGAAAAGCACCGAAGCGCTTCGTAAAGAACGCAGCGTCAGTCCCTTCACCAGGGTGGTGTACAAAGGGAGACCGCATAAAAACCAGGGCGAGGAGCGGTGGAAAAGTTCTGAAGCACTTTCTCCCGTGGAGCCGAAGCCAAAGCCAGAATTTTTACAACGAGAAATTGTGAAAAAAGAAAAGCAGCCTAAGTTGGAAGTTCAGAGTGTAAAATTGGAAATTGTGGAAAAGCAGAAAACACCGGTCAGTTCTTCAGATTCGGACGCGGCCCAAAATTCGCCGCCAAAACCAAAGCCGAGGAAAAAATTAAAGAAGAGTAAGAGCGAGGACAAGCCCGCGCCTCCACCCGAGCCGGTAGAAAAACAAGACGAGAGAGCGTCAGAGACAAAGCAGAGCAAAGTTGGCACGGACGACGCTCAAGCTAATAAATCGTCGGCCGCTATGCCCGTTCCGACCAAAAGAACCAAACAAAAGAGCAAATTTAAAAAAGTCAATAGCGAGGAGAAGGCGGCTAATTCACAACACGTGGAGGTAATCATGCCGTCTGAAGAAGTTCCGGCCGCTGTTTCAGTTTCTGAAGAAAGTGCAGTCCCTGAGGAATATGCTGGTGCCCTGCGAAAACCAAGTGTGGTTGCACCACACGGTGGTGATGATGAGTTTTTCATTCCCCCAGGCATGGATTTTGAATTTTTGTCTAAACCAATTATCACCCACTCAAATTTGTACCTCAACGATGAGCAGAAAACATCCTACTCTATAGAAACGGAGGTCATTCACAAAAAGTTTGACGTGGTTGCTGTCGAAATGATGCCGAGCGACGATGACCTCCTCGATATTTCTCCCCCAAGTTTTCCACCCAGCCTATCTGGACACGAGGTGCTTTCGGACATTCAGGTATGCCACCTTCCTGTCCATACTACGGAAGAAGTGATCTTGGAGGCATCCAAAAATATCAACCAAGTATTCAATTTGGAAAATGCTGATGTCTTGAGCGCTCCTCCGGCACCTCAGATCAAAAGTACGCCGGCCCCGCAAGTTTTGCAACGCTCCTATTTGAGTGAAACATCAAATGCGAGCGAAGAGCTGAAAGATTTGAGCCATGAAGAGCAGCCGATTGCACAGGAGACGGCGGTAGTCACCACCGAGATTATTTTGTCAAGTGCTGAAAGCACACAGAACCAAGTACTGAGTCAACCTGAAATCGTAGATTCAAAATTAGTTTCAGAGGAAGTACTCACTTACGAAGAAAATATTTTGACTGAAAATGCCTCGGTGGTGCCGCTTGAGCCCTTGCAGGGCAAGGTAGAAATACTTCTCGATACCCTGGAAGACAATGACGAATCCGTGGTAAAATTTGAAAGTGCAGAAAGCTGTGAAATCCCGCCTTTGGAAACGGAAATAAAAACTTCCACGGCAAAAGTCATCCAAGTGCTTGAAATTGTGGAACAAATTTCAACAACTGAAGTAAAGAAAGAAAATCAAGCTGAGGAAATAGTTGTGGTAAAAACTGAAGAACCAGATGTAGAGCAAAATGAAATTTTACAGAACGGAAATCACGAAGTAGAAACACAAATTACAGTGCACCGCATCAAGAGCAGAGTGTTGCCTTCGTTTTGGCTCAATTACTTCCTTTATCGGGACGCAGAAAACAAATCCATAAGCCAGTCTTTGCCTAGTCAATCCCAACAAAATGTCACTGAAATAGTGGATCGAAAAGAAATGGATAAAGCACCAGAAAAATCCATTGAAGTTGAGATGAAAATACAATCAGCTCAAAAAAAGCAAATGAACATTGTACCTAGAGACATGATCGGCTTTTCAGAACCAAAATCTCATGCTGATGATCGTCAAAAGGAGCAAACGACCTTAACAATGCAAGATCCCTTGACGAACGAAAAGATAAATCGGGAAAATTACCATCTGGCGCGCGATGCTGAAGCCAAATTCCAATCGCAGCCAACACAGTTTGTTTCACCAGCAAGCGAGGAAATTAAAAAACATGAAAATGTAGAAATTTTACTTCCGAGTGAAAAACAGCACGTCAAGCAGATGGTCGACGCATTTTGGGATAATTATAACGCGTGTCAGGACGCCGAGAGGAATTTCCATATTTTACTTAGCAAGGAAATGGAGGAAAAACCTGCAGTGGAAGTAAAATCTGCTGAAATAAACATTCCAAAAATTGACCAGGCTGAAACACAAGATAAACCAGTTGAAAGTGCAAAAGAAATTCCGCTAAAAGAGCCTGAAACAGCACTTCAAGAAGTTAAGCAAGAAAATTTATCAGAAGAAATCAAAACAATATCTGATAAACTTGTTGACACAAGTGACGAGCTTTCTGCCACCAAATCAATAATAGAGCAAACCACGGAACAACTGAAAAAGGAGTATTCACTGGTAAGAGCAGATTTCTGGGAAAATTATTCAGCCTGTCATGACGCCGAGATGAAAAATGTAAGTGGGATGCCAAATTCCACCACCAAGGTTGACATTCTTCAAGTCACAGAGGCCGAATTATCTCCGGCGCCAGTTGTAAAGAGAGAGCTGATTGAGCGCGTTGCTGAAATCGTGCCAAAAGATGTTGGTGAAAAATCAACAGTAAACACTGATGTGCAAATAGAGCCACCAAAGGAACGTGTAAATGCAAGAAATGGGACTGGAAATTGGGACTGCGATAACAAGCAAAATAACCAGCCTGAAAATGTGCCCATTAAAGCAAATGTGTGTGAAAACGATTCTATCATTCAAAATGATGAAAGTAAAAAATTGGTGGCACTTGTTTCATTTCCTGCAAAAGAAGAAATTTCTATGGCTAGAAAAGACAAAAAAGTCATTGAGGAGAAAGCGAAAAAAATCACAAACGCACCAGAAACAATAAAATCGCAGCAAGGCAATGATGAAATTCAACAAACTACGAGCGAAATAGTAAAATCTGATTTTTGGGAAAATTATTCCAAGTGCCAAGACGCAGAACAGCAGTTACATCTGCACCAAAGTAAACCCACGGCAGAAACCCCAAAAGTGACAGAATTTATTTTGGCCGCCCCGCTGGAGAGTGGCGAGCAAGCAGCTCCTCCCAAGATGAAACTGATCGAAAAAGCGGTGACTGCATCAAAAAGCGCGGCCGAAGAGGTGGCCTCGTGTGAGCCTGTGGCAGAAATTATACCAGAAGTTAGTGCCAAAACAACAGCTCCGCGCCTTGACTTGTTCCACGGTACTTTTAATTATGACCTAATTGCGCTTGAGGATGCCGAAAAGGCGTTCCAAGAAAAAAAGTGCCAAGCTAAAGTTAGCCGTGACGTGGTGGCTCCTCCAGCAGCGCCGAAAGTAGAACAGAATTTGAAAACGAGTCCTGCCGAAGCCCGAGTTACTTTGATCCCTGCAAGTCCTGAGAAGAGCCTGTCGGGTCCAGAAGAAGCGCCAACGGACGAGAAAGAGAAAAGGCTTTCCAACAGCCAGGTGTGGTTTCGTGGTGGATCGCTTTGCCGGCTTTTGTGTTTTGCCCTTAATCGAATGAGATTATTATACTAATACGATGAACATAAATTTCAACGTTCCATCTTAAAAGTATTTTTTACTAATCTCTCCGCAGCATGAATGGGTTTTGTAATTCATTATTATTATAATTTTGACTTAATAATCTAGGCACTGGCGTGAACAGACCTCGTTAGTTTTTTTTTATTACTTTTTATTTTTTTATTTAGTTTTCCAGGCTTTTGATTACTTCAATCCACACTATTTGCATTATTATTTAATTTATCACTCATTAAAGTTTTGGGTAAAAAACGTGATTTAGTTTCAGCCCTTCTGACCTCTGTTTTAACTCCAATCATTCTGTTACAAAAATAAAAAATAAACATGATCGCATCGAATATGCAGCCATTTGATCGAGTGCTACATAGAAACGAAAACCGAAGATAAAGAGCACTCGATCAATAATTAAACATCACCGTTAATCGACCTGCTTGCTTTTTGCTAACCGCGTTTTCAGTGTCGTTTTTAATTAAAAATTAGAATTAACAACACCTTCTAAAAAATTGAATTATTTTTAGGACATTGAAAATCTCTTTGATGAGCTCGCCGGTCTCGTGAGCAAATATGAGAATGACGTGAAAAATCTACCCAGAGAGGAGCTAAAGTCGTCGATTGACTCGCTCGAGGTGAGCTTTTGGTGTATTTCTATTTGGCGTGAAAAAGACGCGTAGCCATGGAAACGAGACGAATTTTGACGCACAAAAATAACACTTTTCTTTTATGTGCCGCGCGATGCAGAGCCTGCTGGACGAATTCATGCGATGGGAAAGAAAGGTGAATGACGTGTTGGCTGATATCAATTCGCACGACTCTGAGGAAGCCCCTGAGGACTTGGCCAACTTGCAACAGATTGTACAAGTTCTCCTTTCATCAGCATCACAAGGCAAAAATGCCATTATTGTAAGTCTTGCACATTAATTAATTTATGAATTTTTTAATATAAGAAATAAAATAATAATTATAAAAAAATCTTGAAAATATTAAATTTGCGATTTTTTCTAATTATTTTAACTCTGATTCATTAATAAGTTAGTATTTAAATGGATTGTTTTTAATTTTGACGAAGCGCTTATTTGGCAAAAAAGAAAAGGAATAGTAAATTCATCATAATAATATTTGTTTATAAATAACAGATATGAAATTTTTTAAGAAATAATATTATGAGAAACATTGAGTAAAAATAAATTAAGATTTTTAATTGCTTTAATACTGGAAGATGATTAAATTTTATACATTTTATTAGGAAATGCTGGCGGCTGCAGCTCAAAACAAATCGCCACCTAGAGAGACAGCTGAAACTGCCCCTCTTGCAGTCGAAAAACAGCCAGAAATATCTGCATATGAAAACGAGCCAGAGAAAAATAATAAAAACCCACCGAAGAAGGAAAAAGAAATCATTGGAGCTGTTTCTACGGAATTGAAAATTACAGAGGTTGTTGAGACTTCGGTTGCTGAAAGCTCTTCAGAGCCACAATCAATATCAGAAACGTCCTCTGAAGTTTCCATACACGTTTCGGCCGATACCGATGCAGACGTTCAGCTGAAAATTGCTGTTGTGGAAGAAGATAAATCTGAACCAAAGGCAAAATCTAGAAACAAGAAGAGAGGCAAAAAGGGAAAGGAGAAACAGCAGCCGGAAACAGAACCAAAAGCAGTACAGGAGGCGGCAAAGAACACCCCCCAGTTAGAACTAAAATTAGAACAAGAAAAATTACCAGAAACAATTCAAAAACTGGAAAAGGCAGTTTCACCAGAACCACCTCCGCAAAAAGAAAAGCAAAAATCACCAGAACCTGTGCTTGAAGTGGAAAAGCAAAAATCGCCGGAACCAATTCAAAAACTGGGAAAGGCGGTTTCACCAGAACCACTTCCACAAGTAGAAAAGCCAAAATCGCCAGAACCCGTGCTTGAAGTAACGGCCACAGTAGAGCCGGTATCACAGGTTTTTGTCGAAATACCAGCAGATCATGCTCCTAAAGAAGCCCCTATCCTTGACATCGAACAGGAACCGCTACATGAGGCCGAGGATTTGGTGCAGATGACTCAGTTCCTTCAGAGATCCACTCCTGAGATGCAATTTGACCCCGATGAAATATATAAAACAGCCACCAGGACGATGATATTGACGCAAAACACGCAGGTAGCGACTGTCACGCGGAGTGTCTTTGTTGGCGACGTGCCAGTGAGTGAGCCTGAAGTTTGCCAAGTTGTGACACACTCCAGAGTTGTCGGCGAGGAAGAGCGGTTGCAGACGGAGGCTAACGGCAAAAAGGAAATGGTTGTTCACCAGAAAATCGTGACCTCCACTTGCACTCCGGAGCAGATGCAGGGAACTTCTGTCGTTGATATTCAGGAGATCACAGACGCCCCACATGAATTGCAAGCTCTGATTGACGATTACGAGCCAAAATCTAGCTCACACGTGACCACTATTCTGCAACAATCCTCTAGAAGAGTTGTCAGAAAAATTAAAAGAATTATCAGGAGAGTTGTGATAATTGATGGTAAGGAGCAGGAGGTGGAGGAAATAGTCGAAGAACCTGAAGAGATGGAAATTTTGGAGTCAAGCGTTCCACAGCTAAGCATTCAGTATACAAAAGAGACACAGCCAGCAGACAAAAAGGACGATGACATCACCTCTACAATCCAGCAGGAAATTTCTACTCAAGACAACACGATTGAGTCTAGTCTGGCCCAGTCGATGTCAGTACCGTTGAGTGAAGCTGATAAAACTTCTGCAGAAACTACTCCTCGTGACTCGGTAGGTCAGCAGTCGTCAACAGGTGCAATTCCAAAAGCGCAGCGCAAGAAGAAAAATAGAGGCCGCAAGGGTAAGGAGCGAACACCTACTGAAAGTCAAGAGACTTCTCAGACTTCGACTGAAGTTTTGGAAGAGGACACGATGCCCAATACACCGGTTGACCTCGAAACGGACAAGTCTGAATCGGAGCAAACGTTGACGGTTGCAGAATCATCTCACGTATCAACACCAGTGCCAGCTCAGGAGATCAAAGCACCATCAGTAAAAATCAGAATCAGTGAAGGTTCTCCCAAGGTTGAGTTAGAAATTTGCACGAATTTGCTTCAAGAGCAGTCGGCACTAGAAAGCGATGTTAAAATTTCCTGCTCCATCGAGGATTTAGAACAAACTTCTTCTGCAACACCAACTGCCGATCTGGAGCCTCTCCAAAAGGGCAGAAAGGGCAAGAAGGGCAAGGGCAAAGTTCTTGTAAAAAGCATTACCTCCACAGTGTCCATTTCAAATGGAAATTCCAATCATGACGAGAAGCCAGCTCCAATTGTTGAAGTTGTTCAGAAGGGCGGAAAGGGTAAAAAGAATAAAGGCAAACAAAAGCAGCCATTGGAGGAACAGCAGGTATCCGGAGGCGATGAATCTAAATCTGAAAGTACTGCTTATGAAATTCACGTGCAGACAACTGTGACGGAAGAAACATTCCAAACAAGACCACCAAAATCTGAGTCACCGATTCAAATTACAGAAATAACTGAAAAGGAGGTCAAACCTCAATTTGAAGGCCATATAAGGGATGAACCATCACAAGTTGAAATTTCTGAAATTATTGACGAGTCCCAAGAAATGAAGGATGAACAAACGGAAATCAAGCAAGACTTCAATGAGTTTATCCAGACCAAAGAAGAACCAGAGGGCAGAATAAAACCAACAGAATCATCAGTCAATGAAGCGAAAACTCAAATTTCCAACATGATCGCCAAAATGGCGTATAAGAAAATGCTTCCAAAGGAAAGCATTGCGCGCAAGAGAACATCTCTGATTCTAGAAGTGCCCGAACAAACTCCAGAAGGCTGCAGAGCAACGGTCGCAGAGAATCTGACTGCTTTGGCATCACAAACTCATGGAGAAAATCGGGAGGTCCGCATCATCACAATTCTCACTACCGTGTCTACCTGGCTGGAAGTCATCGAGTACCAGTTGCACACGATTCGCGAGCTGGGTGACTCCAGAGAGAGAAACACAGCTATTCAAAACATCAGAAGCAACTCTGATCAAATCCGAGTTGCTTTGGCGACGCTCCACGAAAGTGGGCAGAGCACTTTAGAGGGCCAGGATGAGATCCAGAAGTGCCTGGATTCAGTAACTGAACAGCTAGAGGTGGTCGAACATTTGACCCAAGAAAGCGAGTCCGACCTTGAGAACTTCAATTCCAGCTGGCAGGAACTCTTGGAAAGTATTGAACAGGCCAAGGCCAGATACGCCGAAGGAGAGGCTGAGTTGTTCACTCTGCGGAGTATCCCAATTGGAGAAGAGCTCTTGGCCCATCTTGATGGAGCCCAACGTGATAACCAGATTCTTTCCCAGGCGTGCAAGAAAATTATCCAAAGGGGCCGTCTGCTTATGAAGAGATACCCGCAGATCAGCATTCCAGTAGAAATCTTTGAGGTGGCTGAAAATTCTCGGAATTTAAGTCACAATCTGGCTGCCGAGAAAGACAAGGCCTTGCAGAAAATCGCCATCACTGAAGAATACAAGAGGACCATCGAGGAATTGGCGCAGATTATAGAAGTGGCGCAGGTGTTGGTCGAAAGTCCTCTGGTGGTCAACGACCGCGAACAGCTGCAGGAGGAGATGCAGAAGCACCGCAAGTTCTTTGCCAATCTGAGCCACTGCCAGCAATTGCTCGAATCGCTGGACACGAAATTGGACGAGGAGAGCCGGGGTAGCCACGCCGAATTGCACAAAAATCTGCACAGCAAGGCATCGCTTATCTTAGACGATGCTGCATGCAAGGCGCAGAGGATGGCTCTGGCCGCGTCCAGGTGGACTTTCTTGGAGCAGGGACTTAAAGAGGAGGACGCTTGGTTGAAGGTTGCGTTGCAACGGGTGCCAGAGTTGGATCAGGTCACTTCCGCCGACTGCCAAAAATACATTTCACAATATCAGGTATAATACAAAATAATTTCTTTTTTTTTAGAGAAGTAAGGTATTGAATTAAATAAAAAAATTGCTCCAAAAAATTGTAAGATTATAAAGCTAAGCAAAAGCTATTTTTGTACTCATAATTAATTAATATCATTAATTAATTTTTTGGTACTTTTTTCGACGAGAAATTTTATATGCCCAGTTTGAAGTTTGGGCACTGAAAAGAAAAAATTTGTAGTTTGTACAAATTTTCAAAAACATTTTATGATTATTTGATTAATAATTAAGAAGTCTGTAAAATACAAAATAACTTCTCAATTAATTTATGTAAATTTTTTTTTTCTATTTTCCACAACAGGCCCTATTAAGTGACGTAACTGCTCACCACTGCCGAATTCACGAGCTGACCTCAGTGGCACACTCGCTACAAGAACTTGTGACCTGCGGTGGCCTTGAGTCCACATACCACAAGCACGCAGATGCAGTCAGCAAGCTGCAGGAAACAATCCAATCGAATCTGCAGAAGCTGATGGCCTTCAAGCACAACTGGAACCGCTACGAAGACCTAAGTGAAAAGGTCGAGACGTGGGCTAGGGAGACCGAGAGCACTCTGAAGAACCTTTCAAACCAAAACTTGACCACTGCCAACATGAGATACTTTTGGGTAAGATCAAACGCCATACAAAAATGAATATTAAAATTATTCAATTTTCTATAGAGTTGTATTTCATAATTTCATATTCAGATTTATTACTAAAAATTGAATCTTTTTTATCTCTTTAGGAATTGAAAGCTCAGTATGAAGTATACACCCTGTCGAAGAACGAGGCAGCCGCCCAGATGAACCAGGCGTTTGTTTCTCTGCACGTCGCTGACGAAATGCTGCAGCGGCAGTTCCAAGGTCAACTGGAAGACCGCTGGCAGGTCATTGCTGAGAAAATCTCCACAATCCAGGGCAAAATCAGACACAATCTGAGCCTGGACAACTCTGTGCTGGACAAAATCGAGCTGATGGAGACCGAGCTGAAGGACGTCCACACTTCCATGAATGAACTGACACAGAAAATTCAGACTGAGGAGGACATCCTGCTTTACATCCAACGCCTACAAGTAATATGAAAAATATAAAGCTCTAAATAATTTATAATAAAAAATATTTTTTCAGATCCTCCTGCAAAGATGCGAAATCATGGAAGAGGAGCTGAGTGCCTTGGGTCCGGCGTCTCCATCCCAACTGGAGGAGGTGTCCAGGTTGATCAACTCGTCCAGACGATTGAGCCTCCAGCTGGGAGAGGAGAAGGAGATGGCCATCACCCTGAGGGACAAGTTCTCAGCCTTGGTGAAAGGGTTGGCACAGACAGCCCATGTGCAGGAACTCATCGGCAAAAAATTGGATGGCTGCGAGGAAAAGGAGACGCAGACAAGTGGAGCCGTCGAGCAGGCACTTCACGACTGCACGGTAAAAAATCTAAGACAATTTTATGCTAATTCGACCAGTAATAAAAAATCAGATATAATTTTAAACTAATTCAACCAGTAATCAGCATCCAATTTATATTTTAAAAATTATTTGTCAAATAATTAATTAATAACTGCATATAGGAAACTATTTAATATAAGAAGACTAGATCAACTTTAAATGCACAAAAATTTTGTAAAATCATTATCATATTATTACTATGCCAAATTTTAATTGAAAAAATGCATTTTTTTTTGCATCGAATAAATAATTTTCCCTGTCTGTGCAGGTTCATAAACTTTTTCAGAATTCAACTATATATTGAAATAAATTATTATTAAGGAGGATTTAATTTGTTTGCATATCAACAATCGCATCGCCCCAATTTAATTTAGTGAATGAGGAAAATTTGACCTAATTTTTTAAGATTTAAATAAAATAATTATTCAACTCAATATTTAAATTTCATTGGATATAATAATTTAAACTAATTAATTGATTACGTTTTTAATTGTTGTTCCAGGTGATTGAGTCCGACCTGGCCCTGCAATGGCAAAAGTTGATGCAGTTGCGCCAGGCGCTGCACAGCCTGCCCCTGAGTCTGAGGGCGTCCGTCAGCCCTGTCGGGGTGGAACGCGAAATGTCCAGTCTGCAATCGAGTCATCTGCAACTGGAGGACAGGACCAAGGAGGTGTACGGCCGGTTGAGGAGCAAACAGCACGAGTGGCGCGCCTTCGACAAGAAACTCGAGGCCGTCCAGCAAAGTGTTCAGGAGACTGACTACATGATGGACCTGTTGACGGTCAGGGGCGGCCTCGACTACGAACAACTCAAAGTTGCCACTGAGAGGCTTGAGGTTAGTCCAGCTAGATAATTTTTCTTCAATCTTACAAACAAATTAGACTAATTACTAGACTTACTTTTTATCTCAATGGAGTCTGATTTTTTTGGAATGGTTACTTTTTTGTTATTCTAACAAACAAACATTATGTATTCTTTTTTTTTTTTTTCTTATAAATTTCTTTTTAATTCAAAACATAGAAATTCAAATCTAAATTTAAGAATTTAAATTTCTCTGATGTTTATATAAAAGAAAAACTTCACACTTGACAATAATTCTTCTTATCTATATCGCTACGTGTAAATTACCTTTAAAATAATCAATTAAATAACGGAAGGGTTACTCACCTTTCGATGTCACTCGCTGGCTGCATCCATATCAATACCTGGAAATTGAAACCAAAATATAAATTAAAACTGCTGCGCTCATCCATAAAATTAAAACCACAGGCGGAGGTGATAAAAAGCTTCTTATAATAGAATAGATTGGACTTCAAATTTTTGCACACACACTCAGCTGAAATTTCACCTCACGCCTGCGGTTTTGCAGAAAAAGTTAATTAAAGCAAAAAGTGCTCACACAGAGTGAGAGAGTTGCAAATCCACAACGCTCTTCTTCGATCTCCTCTGGATCTCTTCACACGATTGTCACGAATTAAACACTCAAAATGTTCAGTATTGTCATAAAAGTTTGTTCCGTTTGAAATTGACACAGAACACTCGCGAAATTCAGCAATTTCCACGCAAATTGAAAACTTTCCGTATGGCGGGAAAATTCTTGTAAACAGACTGGTTTGTTTTGGTTTGTTTTTTGTTTGCGGCCACGTGAGATTAGGGGGGTGTGCGATCAGGAGAAGGGGAATCTCCAGGGTGGGGAAGCGGGATCGGCCAGCAAAATAAAAATAAACAAATGCACAGGCACAGGGTGATGTTTGCTGTTTTACAAAAACAAGACGAATCGCGAGGAAAGATTTCGTCGAAAATGCACGGGTTTTGCGAATTCTGCGGACTGAATCGAAGACTTAGAAACTTTTGCGCGTTTCTTGGCCATCAAAGAGCCCCCGATCGAAATTCTTGATGTGGTTTTTGCGAAAAGCAGCCAGAAGCTCAAAGGTGAGACAAATTACAAAATGGAATGGACATTTTTGATGAAAAATATTTGCATTGTTGACTTGCAATTTTATTTTTTCTGATCTCATTTCAGTTGATACACTTAATTGATAGATTTATGTTCTATTGCAATTCAAACTCAATTGACATCGAGTTTTTATAAAAGTCAATCCATGACATGGCCGAAATTAATTAATGTTTCAATTTTCTCTCAAACAATTTGAATCCCAAAATGCAAAAAGTTTGTGGAGGAAACGTTTTGTGCTGAGATTATTAATAACGAATTAATAAAACGTGATACGTTTAAAAAATCGTCTCGAAGTAATTTGTCATGCATCCATGTAATTGCGGTGTTTATAAATTAAATTTTCAAACTTAAAAAATAGTCAGGAATGCTAAATTTAAAACAAGCTTTAAAATTGCAATTTGCTGCCTTTGTTTTTTTTTTATTTTAATTTTTTTTAAATAATATCACTTGTTTCAGTTTTTGTCATAAGATATTTAATTTTTGAATACTAAATTTTTTTCTTAAACAGACTTCTACGTTTCACAAAGACGTTGCAAATTTCAAAGAACTTATGTATTTTAAATGGACTGATGTAATTGCAAGCTTACACGCTTTAATCTTGTCCGTGTTTTTAACACATTGAGCCGAGTTATTAATGATTTTCGCGACCTCTGATACTTTTATTGAATTCTATGCTTTGTATTTATTCTCTCGACTGCACGATAGGGATCAGATTACACTCTTTCTGCGAACTCTGCTATTTCCATCGATGAGCAATTGAAAGTAAATCGTATTACGAGTCTTTTGCATGCCATAAATTGATTATGTTTGCTTTTATCTAGAATCGAGAACAATCAGATCATTGCACTCACCAAGTGCATTTCTGGAATTAGCAGTTCACTTCATGAGCTGTGGAATTTTTCTATTTTAATTTAATTTGGACATTTAATTAATTCATCAAATATCAAAAGATTTTTATCAATTTAATACTAACGTAAAATGGAAGGACTATAACAAAGGCCTCTAAATAATATTTTTGTTTTTATGTAACCAAATTTCTGTAGTATAAATAGATATTTTGAAGAAAATAATGAAAGAAATTGAATTTTTAAATAAAATGGCTCCAGAATTTTAAGACAGTTGAAAAAGACGTTTAAGCGTCGGTAGACTTTTGTAAAATAAGTACCTAGAGAAATCTGTTTTTACCTATACCAGGGAAAATCAGACATCCAAATTTATTGTCTTTATCTTAAAATAAACAGCAATTTTTGTCAAGACTAATTTTAATTTCTGATTGTGAATCATATTTCATTTGCTTATTAATTTATTATTGACTTGTTTTGATAAACTGCCATTCACATTCCTGAAACCAGCTTCCCTTGATTCAATGAGAAATTATTATTAAATGCATCATCAATTATGCATTGCATAGCAAATTTTATGTCTACATAATTATTAGTTTTATGATACATCATCTGAAGTGAGAATTCATCAAAATGTAAAACCAATTTATTTGCTGCGAGAAAGCAAAAGGCGTTGCGTCGCAATGGGATGACATCAGCCGCCTTTTCTGGAAACAAAAATTGCTTTCCAGAACAGGCGGCAGTAAAACGGCTGCGATTCACATCGACAGAATTTATTATGTTTGCATAATGTAGCAGACTTGTGCGTTTAAATTGGCAATGCCGAGTAACGTAATAGTTAAATTTAGCTTCTTTGTAAAAATTCAATTCGTTTATTCTCTCACAACAAGTCAAATATTATTTTGGGGGGAAAATTACATTGAAGAGAGAATTGGCAGCCAGCCCTAGTAAACAACTTACTAAAACTCATAAACTCAATTTGAAAGCAAAAGTGTTTCCAAATTGAAAAAATATAAATTCATGCGTAAAAGTTTTCAACAATACGAAAGAAAAAGCACTGACATTTATTAATTAAAAATTATCACCTCTGTTGTTTCATTTCAAATTGAGTTGCTTTAAAATTTAGCACACAAAAAATTGATGCGCTCAAATTTTGTGAGAATAATATTTCAATTATAACCAGAAGAAATGATTTAATTAATTAATTTAAATGGATTTAATTCCATTTTTTGCCTCTTTCATTATGAGAATCAAACGATAATATTATTGTTATAAATTTATGAGAGGCTAGTGCCCTACTTTACTTTGAATGTGCCCAAAAGGAAAGTATTCAATTTCATTATTTGCGAGAGGTGTCATGCCATGTGAGTCCAAGTGTAATTGAATATAAGGTTTTTTGCGAGCACTTGCAAAAAATAATTAAAGTTTGTGTGAATCTTGGGAACTTGCTCCTCTCAAGGGTTCCCAAGCAAACCTAACCACGATTTGGGGGACATACATTAGTAAATTTATAGGATTTGTTTTTTACTACAGATAATTTTCATTGGACTCAACCAAATTTGCATAAATTTTTTTATATTGAGAATTACAAAAATTTACAATTACGAAAAAATGGGTTTTAATTGAGGGAGTAACAGTAAATTGTATTAATTAGTGGCCAATTAATTAATTAATATTTTGGCCGAGTGATTGCACAATGGAAGCGTGACGTTGACTAATGGTGCTTGCAGCGGCTGGTGGGGTCGCTGGGCCCGCGGGAGGAGCTGCTGTCGGAGCTGCAGTGCGCGGCGGTGCCGTTGGCGTCGACGAGCGCGCCAGAAGTCCGAGAGCGGGTCGAGGAGAGCGTCGCCTCGGCGGTCAGTGCGTGGCATTTGACGAGCGGCAAGGTGCGCTCCCTGTGCTCGCGCTATCAGGACGCAGTGCACCTTTGGCAGCGCTACCTCGTCGCCAACGACGCGCTCCGCCGCTGGACCGACCACCACGGAAACCTCGCCGAAGACGCTGAGGACCTCAAGGCGCTCGCCGCCCTTGCCAAGGTATGTCCTGTTTTTTTTTTTCTATTTTTTTCCTTTACATCGCGGTCAAGCTCAAAGGTTTTGTGTACAATTTTTACCTGATTTTTAAATGATTCCAGCTAAGGACAAATTTTTAAAAATTTAATCTAAAAGTAGAGGGAAATTTAAAAAAAGAAATTAAATTATTTTCGTTTTTTACATTCAATTTTTTTTCATAAATGTATTATATAAATATTTAATTTTCTTCTTCAATTATCATAAATTTAAAAATAAAAAAAATTCTTTCAAAACTGTCTAATTAAAAAAATCTATATCTTTGACAAATTCTTATTTTGAAGACTATGACTTAATTAAATAAAATTAATTTATAATGAACTGTTTTAAATGCTGAGAAACTTGCAAAACTTTTTTAGTGGTTTAGCTAAACTTCACAGAGGTGCTAATAAATTCTTCTCAGTGACTCCATCAAAAGTAAATTTGTAATTGTAATTATCAGCAAGCCGTTAATTGTTAGTGAAAATCTCACATTACTATACCATGCACATGCACACACTCAATTATCTTGCGCGTCGGCTTAGTTTTTTGACCAATATCATTTATGGAAGTGCGGTTTCCTCTTGGTTGTTAAGTGTCTAAGTTTTTTTTTATTGTAGAAGTTAAAACAAATTTTCCACAAAACTTTGTTATCTTTTTTTCAATATTTTTATAATTTCAATCTCCTTTCATTGTTTATTAAGTACAATAAAAAAAAAATAATAAACTGACAATGAGTAAAATTTTTAAATTAGGTTCCATTTATTCAATTTCTTGTTTTTATCTGCTTCTTTCAATATTTCTATAATTTTTCAATCTAATTAATATTTATATCAACGTTTGGAATGTTTGCAAGTAAAATTTCCACGAAACAACTCACGAAAATCGTGTCTCTGCTTACCCTTTATTTATGATTATCTTATAATTGAGCCTACAGGCGTATGAAAATCTTTAATTTTTTTACGCTCGGGACCACCACAATTAGGACTCTGACGCGCACAATTGTGATAAATGTGAATCAGGAAGGAGATTTATGAATGGCGTGGGGGTTGGCCCCACAGTGTATTTGTTTCACAAACATCCAAGAGCGGATACGCCGCGCCGATCCGGCACAACAGCCGCGATAAGATAGAGCTACGCGAGAAATAGAGTGTGTGATCCGACCATCTCTAGCCGCGCTCTGATGATCAAAACTTGCAGAAACAAGTCAATTAATATTGGCCGGTCCGAGAAACAAAGGAATCAGAGCTATGCTTATTAAACTTTGGTCGACAAAGAAGAAGTGTGACGTTGGCCGCACATGTGGTCGAGAAACCCGCCAAGGGCCAATTATTTGCTTTGGCCTGATCACTCAAAGTTCATCATCGCCGTGACGTTGGTTGCACAATGACTTGTAGTGAGTTCATGGCGGTACTCCACTTTTCGGCCACACTTCTGAACACAACATGCAAACACGTGAATGTGGCGAGCAAAGAGGTTGAATTCTTTGGGAATAAAAATAAACTCGTACAAAAATAAATCTAGAATTTTTTTAAAAAATGTTAAAATTTATTCAATAAACCATAATTTAAACTGAAATAAATGAAAAATAAATTTAAGAAGGTTTTAATTTGTTTTTGAAGGACTGGCTTTTGCTAACAAAAAAATGTCTTTCCGGTTATTGATGATTACTTTTTTTTCATAATTTTTGTTATATATACAATTGTTTAATTAAAAATCTTTGAAAATTTAATTTCCAAAAATTTGCGATAAGGAAAATTAAAGTACTTTGTTTTAATTGGCATTGCTTTTAGTTGCGGAAAGTAAGTTTAGCAACTCCAAAATTAAAATAATATCAATAACAAGTCCAAAATGCTGATATTTTTATTTCATTAATTTCATACATTGTACCTGAAAAATAAAAATATGACCAATTAAATAAGAGCACAAATAATTTATCTTATTTACTGAATTTGTGAAATCAGCCCAACTTTTATCCAGATATTGATAATTCTTCCGGAATTGGCTCTAAAAATTTTAATAACTTTTTCACATATCGACGCAAACCAACAATAATTTATAATTGCATTGATTTCAAAATTTTGTAAAATTTCTTCAAATGTTGATATTAATTTGGCTAATAATATGATGAGGAGAAAAAAGGCATAGTTTGCATGAGTAGCTATCGGTTTTCGGAGCCAAATTTACTCTGCTCTAAATCTAGATCTTTTGAGGTTTTGTTGTTGAATTGGTGAGGTCATAATATATGATAATAAAAATCTATTCGATATTAACTCGATCTCTCACAGTATGGGATTGTAAATAATGCTTATCTAAAAAAGGTTATTTGTCAACTTGTAAAATTTTGCACAATATATTTCCTAAAAATCAGGAACCTAAATTTTCTGAAAAAACATTTTCATTAATTTTAAAGTCATAAAATTGTACTTGTACTTTTCAGCTTGCAAGCTCAGTGAAAGTAGAAGTGTGCATGCGTTTTATTGGCCCAAAATTCACGCGCAAAAGACCAAAGTTGAGCACTAAAACTGCACCTTTGAAGCCACTTATACACGAAGCCGAAACGTGCGTTTCGAAAAGCCCTGAAGGAGCTCGGGAGTGAATAAATAAATCAGCCAACCAATTTTACGTCAACTTTGCACAATATGCGTTATAAAATGCGGAGGGCTATATTTGCGTGGCCCACTTGTGCCGCCGAGTATGTGTTTCGTTTCATCGCACACAAAATCCAGCGCAGCACCCTTTAGAGTCAGAAAGAGAGTGGCACCGCGCGAAATCCTTCGCGTGATTTTCGGGCGGAACGAAACTTTTCTCTCGGCGTGCGTGAGTGGCACGCGAAAAAGCCAGAATGAAAAGATGCTTCCTCTGGAAAACGACTGAATGGGTTCGTCCGTCCTTGCCCCGAACGGACACTTTGTTGTTTTCTTTCTCTCTCTCTCGAAGTCTCGAAAGGCTAATTTTAGCCGTGAAGTAAGAAGCGATGATCGAACCGTCTCTGTTTCTTACATCACCACTGCTAACTGCCGCCAGGTATATTTATTTCTCGCTCTTCGTTTCTTGTCCAAATAAAAAAAATCAACCGACCGGTCATGGGCGCGTGGGCGGTGGACGCCCTTCGATGCGGGTCATTCCATTATTCGTTTGCATGCGGTGGATATGCAATTACAACGCGTCGATCACAATCAATTAACTCAAAATCGACGGTTGGACAGAGAAGGGAGGTCGAGCCAATTTTAGCGCAGCCGATGCTGCTGATCAATGAATGTACTCGCATTAATTAAAGAAGTGCTGATCGCACCAGCCGAGATAATAACATATTATGGTGCTGGGTTTCACTTTCAATATTCTTTTTGTTCTATACCATGATGTGTGCCACATTTTATCAGATGGAGTGTTCTTTTACAATCTGTACCAATTTAAAATTAATTGAACAAGCTCAAATTTCTTAAACTTATACAATTAATGACGGCATAATATTATGAAATTATTTAGACCCCGGTCATATAAAAACATTTTTCTTGCATTTGTAATTTGATAAACTTTTCATTGAAATTGGTTTAAATGTTGTTTACTTACAATTGAATTAAAGTTCTCATTAAAAATTTAAATGTTCAAATTTTGCTGCATAAAATCTATATTTTGTAATATTTTGTCACCTTGTAGTTACTAAAAACGCATAATAACATTTTCCGGCGAATTCAATTAGCAATCTGCTGTCAAGGTTTTATTTAACTAGGGAAAAATACACCATCGCAAAGTTTGTTTTGGAAGAGCTCTTCGTCAGCAGTTTTCCGCTAATTGTTGTAGATTTTGAGCAGAAACTTGCTTCACTGTTTCGCATGCACACAGAACCCGTTTACAAATTAGGCACCGAGTTAACATTAAATACCAGCTGCAGTAAATTCGATGTTGACATTAATTTTTAAGAGGGAATGCAATTTACATAAGTACTGAATGGTGCAATTCATTAATTTAACTTTCGTGCTGCATAAAATATACAGAAATTGAATTGTTTTAAATTTTAACACCTGAACGTCAACATAAAAGTTGCAACCAATCAAAAATGAAATGATGAAGTATAAAAGTTATGTCTCACATCCATCATTGTTAGCTCATAGCTTCACCAGCTTAAACTGAAGACGAGGAAATGCATCTAAACAAACATCATGTTCCACAAAGAACTTATCAGATAAGACTGTTTTCAAAGCGGTAGATTCCTAAAGAACTCTGAAGATCTTCCTCGTTTTGAAGTCAAAGCTGAAAATAGCAATGAGCAAGAATCGCGAACTGAAACAAGTCCTCCTTTTGTTTCTTTCAAGAGAGTTATTTCATTTCACTTGAACCTATGTGAAGTGGTTAACGAATTTTTGTAAATAAATAACATCTTGTCGCCTGTGCGAAGAAAATGAGGCTTGTTTGTTTTGCCGGCGCGGCGGCTTTATAAATTGCGGCCATTCAGAGGGAAAACATAAAACACGCTCTGAGATAAGCTCGCCCTTTATTTGGCTGAGATCAGCACCGCGTTGAGCTCGTCGAAAAAAAATATCTGAAAAAACTAATTCCACCGTATATGTTAAGCAATCGCACTACGCATGGCAATGTCAATCCTTGAGGTGACTTTTGATTTTTTTCTTTTGTGTATTCGCGCGATGACAGGCACGATTTTTTTTTAATATTTGCATTTTACGGTCGATTCACGATGTTAAAACACAAACAACGACCTTGTTGCGCTCTTCTGAAGGTAGTAGCACTTTATTGTTGGAGAAGGTGTGCGTTACATGGACACATGAAAATATCTGGTGTCTTGAACCACTGAGCTTTCCACTGATGAAATGTTCATTGTCAAAGAGTTGCCGTTTTGCTGATAAAATTTAAAACCAATTATTTTATTTCTTAAGCCAAACAACCAGAATTTTTATCCGAAATAAAAATTATTATTTTATCAGTTAAAACAATTTATATTAAATTTACTATAAATTTGATAATTCTGATATTTCCATTTTGCTGGATCTTGCGGAAAATTCAAAAAGTTTTGATTGTACACCACAAAAGAATTGATCCACGTAACTTCTGCGAAACACATGCCTATTATTTAATTTTATGAACTTGCAAACAAGTTGTACGTGTCACTTGAAGTGCGGCATACGACAATTTGCTACCCGCAATATCATTTCTAGAACTTTTAGCCTCTCTTATTGGCACAATGGAGGATAATTGATTGGTTTGCACCAAAATTGTAAACAATGAGAAATGTGTATGTGTACTTTTTACTTATATTTCAACGTTATTACTAGAAATAATAATTTGAAAAAAGAAATTAAATTTTAATATTTTCTTTAAATTTTTTTAAGCAGTTTTGTTTTATTTTGTATATTTAAACTCAACTTTTGATTCAATTTTCATTGTAGTTTTACTTTTACGTCGCAATTATCCACAGCTTGATCCCTTACAAAGTCAGATTGTCGACCTTTGTGAATTGCAAACGAGGTTTTCTTTTTTTATTAGCATTTTCTCATTATTTGATATGTACGATTTCTCCTTGCTCGCCAACGAAAATAAATTCAGCGCCGTCGGCAACGGCAGACAAGTTCGCATCCATATAGCAACACACAAAGAAAGCAATGACAAAGACCCGCGACTTTTCTCGGTCTCAAGTGTATACGAGAACGTCTGGCTTGAGCGAAATGAGGCGCCGTCTTGTTTGCACTTGCAATTTTCGCCCGGCGCTTCCGCTAATTATTCGCCGTTGAAAATGTTGAAATTCGGTCACCCTCGCATTTGGCAAAAAATTTGAGGCACGCCGAATGTTGCGGATGCCGGTCGGCATTCTCGGGGCGTTTTCCGCAGCCCGACCTTTCCCAATTTGTCGCGCCGGAGCCGCAGCAGCGCCCAGTATCGATTTGCCCCCGACCGGCTGCTCACTCTCATCTGTCTCGACGGCGACGTGGATGAAGCCGCACAGCATCCCTTGCCTCACTCGTCTGCTCCCAGGTGATTTTCTCCGGCGCAACAGTTCTGACCTCGGTGACCTTAAATCGCAACCTTACTGTTAAAATCGCTCGTTCGGATGCTCTTCAAAATCGGTCGAACGGCTTCCTTGGCGTACGTCGCCAACATGTTCTTTTTTTCTTCATATGCTAAAGGTCACCGGCGTGTCTTGCTCTTTCTTTGAATGTCGTGCTTGTGCATTTTGAATGTGCGGCCGCAGTTTCAAAATCAGTCGGAATAAGTCACTTATCTTAATGAACGTCGGTCGATATCAAAGAAAGAAAGAAAGTAGTTTAATATTTTTCAAGGTGCCCGGCATGAATGGAAACCGTGATCAGTTGTATATTTGAGAGTTGATAATTCTTCATTTCATTGAGGAACATTATCTATTCAAACGTAACAAATCACAGATTTTTACAGTATTTCCTTTTTTGACACTGCTATTAAATTTTCAGTTAAAGTAGAATTTTAAGATCTGTATTTCCTTATTGAGTTTCCGTGACATATATGCGTGAAAATTAAAAATTGCTCTAAAAAAATATGGGGAAGCCAAGATAAACCTCCGTACGCTATAAATTTTTGCAACGAAAGTCATAATTTTAACTTAATTAATTTATTTAAAAATTACCAATATTTTTAAAGCATTTAATTGTAATATTCTTATAATTAAATTTTATTTTTGTAGTATATTTGAAATAAATAATTGAAATTAATAACCTCCAATTTAAAAAAAAAATAAATATGCTAAATCATCAAAGAATTTTTCCATTAAAACTTACACTTTGTCGTATAATTTATTATCATTAATTGTTTATAACATTGCTGCTTCTATTGTGAACCCAACGCGTGAGACTATTTCAGGGTTTGCTAATTTTTCCGCGTCTATTTTCTGCCGTGCCCTTTTGTGCTGCGTAATAAGAGTGCGCTTTCTATATAGGTGGCGGATCTTTTTCATTTTTCTATTTTTATTTTAACCTCGACGCCACTTTTTATTTGCACGTTATTTCGCACGCAGCCTCCTAAGAGTCGACTACTCACTGTCCGTCATACAGAGTCGATTTGCGTCAATTTTCATTTTTTTTTTTACTCTCTCGATCAGCCGTCACGCAGAATTTCTCCAAACGTGTCCGATGGAGGTATAAATAATATTGCTCTTTTCGCCGTGATTCCCTCGAACGGCAGTTTTCCCGATCAACTTCTTTTCGCCCACATATACAGCCGTTGAGACGTGTGTATTGAATTGTCACGGCAGATCGCGTGCGAAGCTATTCTTCGTTGTTTACACCCCAGCTCATCAAACTTTTGATAAGACCCTTCACACAATCAAACTTCTTACTCCCTGCATTGGATTTCGCCGTTTTAACCCACCCGACGCCGCTTAATTTGCCGGCGGGAGTGAAATTAAAAACAGTTTGGCGTGTTCCGCTCTCAACTTTTTATCCTGGGTGCTGAACACACCCGGACACAGAGAGAAGTGGAAGAGTTCCGGATCGATATACGCAAAAAAGATTTTCCCACGATTAGTCCTAATTTTCTCGCACTTTGAGCTTGATCGTGATCTTTATATCCAAGGTCGAGGAGGGATTTCTTTTGCCTTCTCTGTCTCTTTGGCATGCGTGATTTATGGAAATTATTTTTTTTCTTGCAGCACTGCGAAGAATCGTTGCCTGAACAGGAGCAGCACATCGAGGAGCTGCTGAGGCTCTCCGAGCAGATCACGCAGCTTCTTGGTCTCGAAGAATCGACATCCGCAGGGCTGGCTCTGGTAAAGGACGTCGAGACGCTCAACAAGCGTCTCGGCAATGTCCGCTCGGCCATCATCCAACTGGCGGAAGCCGCCGAAAAGCGCGCGCTCGAGGGAGAAGTGTGCAGTGACGACCTGAAAAACACAAGGAACTTCCTAGACAATGTCCAGGAGGTCAGTTTACACTTTCAATTAAGGGCAAAAATTTTCAATATTTATGAATAAATTTCCAGAATAATTGGATTTGCACTCTTTTTGTAAGATTTTATTTGTCTGAAAATTGTTTTGACTTTTTTTTAATAAAAATGCTATTTTTCCTGTTTTTGCAGTCTCTCTCTGCTGTTGAGGACCTGAACATGAAAGACGCTGAAAAGCAGTTAGAATCGCTGCGAGCACAACTGCTTTCCCTGAGCAAAGCCGAAAGTCAAATTCACGCGATTAGAGAAAAGTCTGTTGAAATTAATCCTTCCTCAGACACCGAAAACAGTCTTTGCATAGTGGAGATTCTGCAGGTAAATAAATGTTTTGTATAGATTTTTTACTAAGGAATTATTATCTCATTAATAAACAACTTCATGTATAGATATATATTTTATAAATAATATTTTGACATGACATGCCATATTTTAGATCAGAACGTTATAACCATAGTATTTTCTGTTTGTTTGTGAAGCTTTGGCAACAAGTGTTCCGAGAAACATTCCAACAGTACCACCGCCTGTCTGCTCGCCTTGTCCGCAGCCAAGATGGTGCGGAGGCTTTGCGTTTGTGGCAAGAGTACCTGCAACATGTACAGTCCTTTTTGTCCACCTCCATTCCCAAAGACTACCATAGTTTAACCGAGCATCAGCATCTTTGTGAGGTTGGTTTGAGCAATTAAATATTAACCCTTGCTCTTTGTTTGAAAAATTTGTCAATTTTACAGTATCGAATTAAAAAATTAAAATTTCCAGGTCCATCAAAACCTTCTCTCTAGTCAACAGTCACTGCTGCAGTCTAAGCAAATCGAAGCGAAAAATGACAACACCATTGACCTGGACCAGAATCTGGTCGTCCAATTCAGCACACTGACCAACCAGCACAACGAAACTTTGTCCAGAATAATGGACAGACATGCACAGGTGAAGAGCCGCATCTCTGCCTGGGACAAGTACCGGACAGATCAAACCACCCTGCTGGCTTGGTTGAAGGAGATGGAGAAAGATCGATACAATCTGCAACTGCAATATGTGCACATTCAGCTCATCCCTAAGTCACTGACCCTCATCAAAAACCTCCTGGATAAAATCCCAGAAGGACTGGCGCAACTCGACAATCTGAAGCAGCAGCAGCTGCACTTGTTGGAGTTCTCAGACAGGACTTTAGCAGCTTCGATTCAGATGGAGCACGCTGCCATCACCCAGCGCATCAACAACTTGCAGGCCGGTCTTGAGACCTGGAGAGACTTCCTTTTGAGAGTCCTAGACTTGCATACCAAGTTCGATCAGCAGGCCACCGAGATCCAAGGAACACTTAATGAAGTAAAAACCGTCACATGCAGGCCTTGTCCAACATCAAACGCTGAAATCATAGCAACCATTGATGTTTTGAGAGTATGGAATATCAAAAGAAAAAAAATCATTAATTTTTTTGTAATTAATTTTATTTTATTTTCAGGGGCAAAGAACTGTTTTGACTGAAGTCATTCCAAACCTCGAAGAACTGAATGTAGTGCATGAGCAGCTTAAAGAATGTGTGAGTCCTTCTGATGCAAAAATGTTAAGCCAGCGAATGTGGCTGCTTTGGCAGCAACACGGAGACCTCGACCACCAACTATCTCTTCTGATCCTCCACCTAGAAGAGAAATTGGCTCTGAAAAATGTCTTTGATGCTAGGTTAGTTACATTAAGACGTAAAAAATACAAAAAAATTAAACCACAAATGTTTTGTTTTTATTAAAATTTGTGAAGCAATGAAAATATTATTTACATTAGTAAAATAAAATTTATATTTCAGACAAGTAAGGTTCCTCACATGGGTTGAGGACATTGAATCGAGGGTGCAACTAACAAGGAGTGTCTACCCAAGCAGTCTAATCGAAGACACAGGCCACATGGAGAGAGAGGTCGAGAACGAAATCACCCTCAAGGAAAGGGAACTTAACTGGCTGAATTCCACTGGTGCCGATTTGCTAACGGCTGAAAATGACGAGGAGCGGAGACTGAAAATTGCGGAGCAGATTCAGCAGGTGCAGGACTCCTGGAATCAGCTGCAGCTGGCCAAAAAGACAAAGACCACTAAATTGAGCAGTTTACAACAGACGTTCACTCAGCTGGAATTGCAAATTTCTGATCTCAGGACGTGGCTTTACAACATGGAGGCTCATCTTCTTACGCCACTCGTCTTCAAATCCACCAAGGAGCAAGACATTCAGGAGAAATTAAAAGAGGCAGAGGTAAATGGGAATAATTTTTTTTTTTATATATATAATTTTCTTTTGACAAAAATAGGAGATCAAAAAGAGCATTGAAAAGCAGAGCAGTAATTTGGCTGCAACCCTGAACTTGTTCGAAATGTTCCTGGTGGACTGTGACACAAACAAAATGCTGATAGACACCAACCCCTTGCAGCTGGCTGTGGATTCCCTTGAAAAGCGTTGGGCGAATGTCTGTGACCTTTCGGAAGAGCGAAAAGAGAAGATTTCGACAGTCTGGGCCCACTTGCAGGAGCTTGAGCGCCTCTGCAGTGAGCAGGAAGAGTGGCTGACCGCTCATGAACAAAGCCTCAAGCACATCGAGGAGAGGAGTAAGGGAGTGCCAAAGGAGGAAGTGCAGCCCTTGGTTGGCGAGGTTGAGGGGCTGCTCGAACAGGTGGCGGCCAGGAACTCAACCCTGCAGCAGTTGGAGCAACAGTACTCAAAGATGGTCATGGAAAGTAGTGGCTCATTCGACAATCTGTGCGAAATCACCTCGGCCATGAGACAATCGTTGGCTCGATGGATCCGTCTGCCTCAGATTGCTTCCCTGTTGCTTTCAAAACTGAGGAATTTGCAGCAGCACAACAGCCAGTTCATCACGGCACACAACAATGCTGTCATGGCTCTGACCAATGTCGACGTCAAATTGACTCAGCTGCAGCATCTCAAGTCCGAAAATGAACCACCACAGCAAACGCTAAAAACCTTGAAGGTAAAATTTTGCAATTGAAATAATTCTAAAGAGTTCATCACATACTTTTAAATTTGTTGAAATTGAAATTAATTAAAGTTTTGCTCTTGAATAAATTTTAATTACATAAATATATTTTATAGGATCTTGAGGCAGAGCTGGACTCGCACAACGATACATTTGAAAATGCAGACAGGCTGGGCTTAGCTGTGATGCAGTCGATGGATGGGGAGGACTTTTCGTCAATTCAGTCCATGATTGACGAGTATCAAGATCTGTGGAAATCCATTCAAAAGCGTATTGGTGAATTCCGCGCTTCCCTCGAAGCTGTTAAAGACAAACCTTCAAAAAAGAGCAAGAAGAAACAGCGGACCGAACAACAACAGGCAGAGTCTAAACCGGAGCTTAACCAAGAGCCTGCCCTGGTAAATGAGAGCGTCCAGGTGTCTACGTTGGAATTTGAGACTGACCAGGCGGTCCAGGTGGACACCCTGCCACCCCTGTTGAGACTGACCTCAAAGGAAGGTTACCAGATGGAGCTTGACTCTGCGCTGAAGGAGTGTGCGGAAAATCTCGACACCCTGCAGAACGCCATCCACTGCACCACTCCCCAGATTGCTGAGGCCACAATTGCTGCAAATAACTTGGTAAAAATAATTTGAACAAAAGAATTATGGGATTATTAAAGAATTAAGTTAAGAAATAATTTTTATAATTAAATTAAATGGGTAAGTTGGGGTCATTTGATTGCATTAGGGCATACTTTCTCAGACTCTTCCAGCAAATAATGCTATCAAGTGAATCATCTTTCTGTAATTTTATATATTTTCTTAATTATTAGCAATCTCTTCAATCTTTTTTTTATAAAATTAAATAACCCTCTATGAAACTTGGAAATTAAGTCACTTTTAATGAAATAAAATTAGCGTTTTTAAATATATATTTTTTAATTTTAAAACATAACTTTTTTCAGATCCGTCTGATTGGAATGTGCCAGTCGTCAGTGGACTTTGTGAAGCATCTAAGTTCAGTCCTGACAAACCAAAACCAAGCCACTCTGGAACTGGATAAGCAGACAGAAATTCAGTATTTGATCGAACGATTCAACAAACTACTGGCAGATGCACACAGCCGTGAGCAGCATTTCAGAGATGTCAGGTATGGGCACCCATTTCATTTAATACGTGTTGTATTATTTTATGGCCAGTGCTATTTTGCGAAAAAAGAACAGTTGCTATACATACAGGAGTATTAAATTTGCATGCCATAAACATAAAATATAATAATCCCACTAAGCGTGACAGCCGAGCCGTTTTTTGTGTGTGGTTTTGCTCTGCCAGTGCTAACCTGTTTTACCCTCTCGTCTGTTGCCACAGGTCCACTCACGATGAAGCTTTTGCCATTCAATGTGAACAGTTGAGTAAACCTTGTTTATCCTTCGAGCTCATAGTTCAGATTTCTCATAATTGCTATCCATGTTTTGTTGACTTAATTACTAATGTAGTTGATGAGAATTTAAATTGTTTTCTTCCTCAGTTTCTTAAGATTTGCAGTCGATATTAATTTGTCTCTCATTTTTCTGTCCCCTTTCTAACATGCTCTGTCCTTCCCACAGTGGCAACGCCAAATTGACGTGTCCTCTTTGTACCAACAAAAACTGGCAGCAGCTGGACAACGACATTTGGAGACTGGAAAAATGGCTGCAGTACGCTGAAGGAACACAAAAGAGCCAGAAAACCCCACCGTCCAATATCGAGCAGCTCGAGGATGTCATTCAGGACAATAGAGTAAGTGTGCTTTATTGTTAAAATTTAATTTCAACTGCTTCAAATTTTGTTACAATTAAGGGATAAATTTAATTTTTAAATAAAATTTACAGATTAAAGGTGGTTTTAAAACAAGTCTTTAAATTCCGTCCTTCTTAATTAATTTCAAATTTGTTTTATCAAAAAGTAATTAACAATTAATTTTAAACCAATTTTCCCAGGAATTCTTGTTGGACCTGGATAGCCACAAAAGTATTGTAGTTTCCTTGAACATTGTGGGCACTCACTTGGCAGACAACACTGAGGATAAGGGCAAAGCAGAAGCCCTGCGAGCGAGACTAGCAACCATGAACTCGAGGTGGGAAACCGTGTGCCAAAGAGCTGCCCAGTGGCAGACACAACTGCAAACCACCCTTCTTGAGGTTAGATACATTCTTTAAAATCCATTTGAAGGAATTCAAAATCCATATTTTCCTTTAGAGCCGAGAATTCCACAGCACAATAGACGAGCTCAATCTGTGGATCGACAGAACCGAAAACTGCATTCGACAAACCGAACCAATCGACCTGACTGAAGACATTTCGGTCATAGAAAATAAATTTGACAAGTTTAGGGTGAGCTATTTTTTAATTTAAAAAATACTTTGGTGTTAACGTTTTAAATTACTTTTAATAATAGGAGCTGAAGTGCGAGCTGGAGCGGTGTGAGCCTAGAGTAATTTCTCTGCAAGAGGCGGCAGAGCAATTGCTGCGCCACTGTGACGCCCCTCGGGGCTCCAACACGTGGAGTAGGCTCACCGACCTGCGGCTCCGACTGCAGTCCCTGCGTCGCCTGTGCGGCGTCTACATTGTCAAACTGGGCGCTGTGTTGGGCCGAGATCCTGCCGAATTCAGCTCAATCCGACCAACCAATCTTGCTTCCACATCTCTCTACAGCCTTCCCCCTGTAAGTGTTTCGAAATTTTTGTTTCGACTTGTGTCTCACATGTTAGCACTGTAATTGGCTTTTAAAGTTTAAACAAAAACAATTAGGCATGATTCTAAAATTGGTAAAAAGAAAGTAGAACAAAAATAATTCTGCAAATGCACAAACTTGAACAAATTTCCGTTTCTCTACAGCTTGTGGACCAAGCAGGTGCTTCCAGACTGTCAGCGAGTGCAGATGAGCTGCGTCACAAGTAAATATTATTGCTTTTTATTTTGTTTTGCATTTCATACACATCTTGCACTTATCAACACTATTTTTATCCTTTTCATTTGCTCATTATTGATATAACATTGATGGAGATGATTAAAATTTCAACCAAATTTATTTTCTCGGATGTGTTCCTAGTCTCTCTTGACTATGTTAAAATAGGTTTATGGATTTGGAGTACACAATACATTACATCAATCAATAAATTAGAAGTTATAGTTGAATAAGTTTAAAATAAAAGAATGGATATTTTTGTTTGTAAATCCAAAATTATGAAAGCTCTAATTTTTTAAAACAAAATTTCCAGCAGACCCGGCGAAAGCGGCGATGAAGTTGACACAACAGTCCTAAGCCGCAGCTGTCAGTTCCTGGGACGCGTGGTTCGCGCTTCGTTGCCCATCCAGGCGCTCATGCTGCTCCTGCTTGGGGTGGCGGCCCTGGTGCCCTCGACACAGGAGGACTTCTCTTGCACGATGGCCAATACTTTTGCCAGGAGTTTCGAACCCATGCTCAGATACCCCAATGGTCCACCGCCTATCTAAAAGATGAGAGGGGCTTCTGTCAAACCAATACTTTGCATTTAGACGACAACTTTGGATAGAGACATTTGGTCAAAAAGAAAAGTTTCCATCCCACACTCGCAAGTTGGATATTGAGTCGATTTTTTGCCTAAATTACAGCTCTGAAGGAACTAAATTTTGTTAAGACAAACTTCCCTAAATTATGTCGCTTTACTCTCATTACTGTTGTTTGTGAATTTTTATTGAGACGTTGAATTTGATGAATATATTTTTAAAAGAATCAGATCAATTTTTCACGTCTGATTTTGTAAGGAGTGTTGCAGCTAATCAAACAATTGACTATCCACACATACTGTAATATTCGTAAAACCTGCGCTTTCTACATTTACCCGAGTAATCTAATGAAAGAAAATAAAAAATTGAGAGAGGCATTTTGGCATCTTTTTACAGGCTAATTACGGTCCAATTAGCCTGTGAAACTTTTCAACAAAAACGCCTCTGCGTCCCTTAAATTACATCTTCCCTTCAGTCAAGGTTTTACTAGTCCTAACCAAGGGTATGGAATTTTTGATTAACAACCGAAGTAATATATTGAAATGCAATGAGAAAAGAAACTGTGAAAATATTATAAAGATGAATGTGTAAATTGTGTTATTGTAATTGGACGAAAATTTTGAGCGCCTCTATGTGAATTTAAATTTGAATAAAATTCTGTGTATAATTAGTGATATTTCCATATTTATTGACTGAGGCGCCGAGTAACTAAGTGGTTGGTGATTTTTGTAACAAGTACTTCATTAATTAATAAATACACAATATTAAGATAAATCAGTGCCTATTATTTTCATATTATTAACTCCACTATATTCACAATTCGGGAATATTTCAATTATCTCTAAATACCGCCTCCGACCATTATTAACTTTACATAATAGCCATTGCAGTTTTTTTACTCGCATCTATCCTCCCAACTTTCCAAGTTGATTTTCACTTTAATGAGTATTTTCAAAAGCAGTAGTTGCAGAATTTGGACAATTTTGTCAGTACTTATGAACCACGAAAAATTAATTTTCAACCCTATACAATCATGTTGATGAGGCTTCGGTGGGGTATGCATGGGTAAGGTATAAAAATTTAATTGGCCCAAATATATGTCCATCTGTATAATTGAAGGCAGCTGTGCCTAAAAGGCGCAAAAGGACTGGTCTAGCCCAGCCTCTTGATGCTCCCTGGTCATCACCCAATAAGTCATGGGTTTTCATTCTCTTCCTGATGGTAATGGTAATGACGATTTCCACTTACATCAAGCATTACTTGATTGACAAACAAATAAATTATTTGGGTTTGAATTAAAGAAATAAATAAACTCCTTTTTTCGTATAATAGGCACATAATAATATTTTATTTATTCGATCGATCATCTAATATATGTAGCGGTCAGCGGTTTCCCGCTGCCCACTACAAATCGTTTAGTCAAGACTAAACCACTCCACCACCCTGTGCTGCACCCTGCAGCACTCCCATGCAATGTGAGCCCCGCCCAACCACGTTTATTCTCGCGCCCCAAGCCAGCCATGGAGCGCGCGTCTCAATCGCTCACTCAACAAACCTTCGCCTGAACCCAAACTTATGGGGTAAGAACCTTTCTGTGCAATTTCCCTTGACGGCAAAATGACCCGCCCAGTGAATAAGTGCATAATCACCGGCCCCGCCAGTGAATTTAACCCAAAACGCCGAACCTAAAACTGTTCGCCGGCCGAGCAATGCCGGCGCCTCCACTCAAATTACCAATACTCAAATAACATGTTTGTAATTCATTGTACTGATTGTATTATGTTTTTACAGTTCAATTCGAATTTCAACTTCCGATTCTAATACCAACACATCCTGAATGTACAACACCGCCTTACTACAATATACGAATTAAAAGAATCTTCTGGAGTTTAATTTAATTATTATTCTCCCTTTGTGTTGGCCAACCTGGCCCGCACAAAATGGTGACCCCGAACAAGATACCGAACGCGATGCTTCAACGCAGAATCGCCTTCAACAAATCAAGCCATCGAGTGACAGAACTAACATACACATTCGGCAGACCGCCGAACGACGAGCTTTCGCCATGATGCCGTCACAACACCGCCAACACCAATGCTGTCAGCAGCCACGCCTCCTCACATGCAAGCAACCGTGGCCACCGCCAAGGCCAAATCTTTGGACAGCAGCGTAAATATCATAAACGCAACACAAACACAGGGCATAAACCTTTCAAAATCAATTTGTCCTGAAAACCTCTTAAACGAGCATTACATCATTCCAGTGTCCTTCGAACCTACACTTACCAAGGATCGAACCTCTCCTCAGAAGCCGTCAGACAACACTGCACCGCGCTTCCAAACTGTCGCTGCACCTACTCACAATTTTGCTCCACACGAGTTTTATGCAGAACTCTCGTCTGAATCAGAGCATACATCAGCGACGCCGACACGAGCCTTCAAACTCGGACCGACACGGCAAGTATATGTGACCTGCAACCCACCGCGCAAACGAGACATAGCTATTTCTCGTCACCTTTGGGGACACACCCTGTCGGACACACCTGAAAGAGCTGATCGGACCAACGACCTTCCAGCACGCCAAGTTCCCCCGGCTGGAATCAACCAACATACAGAGCTTCCAAGTTCTCCTGTTTTTGGACTCAGCAAAAGTCCAACGCCTCAAATTCCTCGTTCACTCCAGCCTATACAAGAGTGACCTTCTCGCCAAGAGACAACTTCTCGCCAAGAGACACCTTCTCGCCAAGAGACACCTTCTCGCCAAGAGACACCTCACCGAGAGAAACATACTGAGAGTGACCTCCGGTCTCCAAGTGGGGGCCTATGTAGCGGTCAGCGGTTTCCCGCTGCCCACTACAAATCGTTTAGTCAAGACTAAACCACTCCACCACCCTGTGCTGCACCCTGCAGCACTCCCATGCAATGTGAGCCCCGCCCAACCACGTTTATTCTCGCGCCCCAAGCCAGCCATGGAGCGCGCGTCTCAATCGCTCACTCAACAAACCTTCGCCTGAACCCAAACTTATGGGGTAAGAACCTTTCTGTGCAATTTCCCTTGACGGCAAAATGACCCGCCCAGTGAATAAGTGCATAATCACCGGCCCCGCCAGTGAATTTAACCCAAAACGCCGAACCTAAAACTGTTCGCCGGCCGAGCAATGCCGGCGCCTCCACTCAAATTACCAATACTCAAATAACATGTTTGTAATTCATTGTACTGATTGTATTATGTTTTTACAGTTCAATTCGAATTTCAACTTCCGATTCTAATACCAACACATCCTGAATGTACAACACCGCCTTACTACAATATACGAATTAAAAGAATCTTCTGGAGTTTAATTTAATTATTATTCTCCCTTTGTGTTGGCCAACCTGGCCCGCACATATATTTTTAAAACGGTCATCTCTTCAAGTAAAAATAAATAACTAATACATGCAATGCACATGAAAGAAAACACATCATCATATTCCTTGAAGTGAAGTTATTATCACAGCTCATATATTATATTTTTTTACATAAAAATTTCCTTTTTCCATGAACACCTCTTCAATCAGTTTTTACTTTTAAATTTCAAAATAATCACATGCGGCCGACAAGAAACATTTTACTACACAGTTTTCTATGATAAAACAGTATTTGAAAAACCCAATTTAATTTTTAATTATTGCCAGCACTGAAACATTTCAGGTTTCATCAGCACCAAATGCTAAAGACAAATTATTATGATCAAAAACTTCTACATATTAATTCCTCACACAGTGATGGCAGTGCATTCGACCTTTTGATATACAAAACAACATTTTATTTATTCAGGAGATGAGAAACAGTAAAAGAAAGCCAAATTCAACTAGACATGATCATTGCCACTAAAATTTTCCCATCACAAAACTGCAAAAATCTCACTCGTTATTTTAATATATATTCAAAAGTAAAAGAGTTATTTTTTTGTGACAGCAAATCAACACGCATAATTTGTTAAAAGTGGCCCTCTCAATTTGAGCCGTTTGAACAAAGTCTCTTCAGTGCTACGTGGTTTTGAGGACGGTTTCTTTCGAGGACTCTCCTTGTTACTGGGACGGCGAGAGGGGCTCCTGTTTGAAGGCCTGCCCCAGGCCGAGCAGCTGCAGCGGACTGTTGGACTGGCGCACCGCTTTGGCCTCTTCCTCCAGCATGGCTGGGGACATGGACAGGGCGGGATTGGCCACCGCAATGATGTTGGTGCCACTTGCAGATATCACCTGAAACGCAAACCCCACCTGATTTTACACTAGGGATATTTTTTCGAAATGGTTTTCAATTTTTTTCATCTCAGCGGAAAACTGAATTTTTCCGAAGGTACGAACCTGAACTTTGTTTTCATCGTAGAAATTTTCAAAGGCATGGGGCAGGCGGTGGTTGGATCTGCTGGAGGGTGGACGGTGGTGGTGGTTGGTGTGAGCGTGGGGAGGCGACGTCCGGTCACCGCAGTCATCAAAGCGGCCACCCTTGTTGTGGTTGGCGACCATCTCTTTGACCACTCGAAGTCCCTCGTCCAACAAGGTTTCCTGCACCAACTGTGAAAATTTTTATTTTAATTTGTGATTGCTGCATTTAATTATATGTAAAACCGATTTCAAGTAAGATAAAAATCCCATGCTAAACCAAAAAAAGAGCAGGAAAATAGATAAAAGCGTGGCTAAAAAGCAAAGAAGCACTACCAACAAAGTTTTTTTTTTATTTATACTTACTTTTGTAAATGATTTAATGCTTGGGCTTAGTTAAAGTGGAACTTTTAGAGTGAGCTCAGGTAAGGGCCTGGGAAGATTACAATTTTTAAGTTTAAGCAAAAATAAAAATAATAATCTATTATAATATCTATATTTTTCAAGGTGAAAGATTTTTTTATCTTTTAAGCATGGGAAATTCAAATGACGACTTAAACTTCTTGCATTTATAGAAACAAATATGGTTTATACCTCTCTAAACAAAAATATTTTTTGAATAGCAGAAGATATGATTTCCTCTAAATCTTCATATGGAAATTCTATTAAAGAAAGGTTGTGTGTTTTTTAATGGAAAACTGCTGCTAATTTTTAAATAACCCCTAAGATTTAAAGACAAAAATCAAATAATTTCTACTCTATGTGGACTGAAACATAAGTTAAAGTAATACACTACTTCGTATTAAAAATATTCAAATAAAAATTGTTTTAAAAATTAATAATTTTTTGTACTTTGTTTTACCTGTTTGATGTCTCTTTGACTTTCCACTACTTTCTTACTTGCTGGCATTATTATTATTTTTTAATTTTACTTACCAACCTCCTCTGCTTCTCATTTTCCTTAGAGGTACGCTAAGAACCTTCAACGCAAAAAGCGAAACTCAGGAGCCAAATGAATGTTTAAAAGCATTTTATGATATATGAGCCATGCAGTGCGTTAATAAATGATTAGTGAAAATTGAATAAAAAATCACTCCAAAATGAAATTAGCAGCTCGGTGCGCAGGTCTGTCTGCAAAAGGCGGCGTCAGTTTTCCTCGTGTCCTGGACAGACCTGGGTACCGAGCGCGCTACTCACTGTGGGTTGCGAGTGTTAATCAAATGATTGCGAGTGCATGCCTGGTTAGCGGATATTGCAGTGTAAGCGAGTTAAGGTGGACCTTTAGTTCGTGGCTGCGGTGTCGGTCGGACGCAATTTACGACTGAATTTCAACAATTTTAATGTGAGAATAATTATTTTTCCAATTTAAGCCAATTTTTGCGTCACAAGTCCTCACCTGGAGCCACAAATTCGCAAATCGCGAGATCCACAGTTAGTTAGGCCTCGACCTTTTTGGCCTCCTTCTTCACCTCAATTACCTGTTTGCTGATGCCCTTCCTTAACCTATTCTCCTCGCCCTCCTTGGTGCTTGAATCTCGAGAGTCGCCAACATCCTAAAAATCAAAAAATTTATGTTACTTGACAATTTTTACATTAAAATATTTCAAATTGAGGAAATTAATTTTAATCTAAATTTTCACTTCAGGAAAGCTGTTTTAAATGACAAAAACGTGATTATTTTTCATATTGTGATTCTAATTACGATTAAATTTGTGTAATTGTTTGATTCTTTTTTGTCTTTGAACTTACTTTTTGTACTATAATTAACCCCTTAATAACGAAAAGCAATAAAAATGAATCAATTTTCAGGATTTCCAAGTAAATCTCTTGGCAGGTTCCATTCCTTTGATATCACAAAATTTTAAATCTTTGTTTAGGATTTGAAAAGAAGCAATTAGATTTATTACTTCCATAAATAGCAACAATTTTGTATTCCATTTAAAAAGTAAAGAAATATTTAAGTTTTCGCTTTTCTGATTTTTCTAGATCTTTACTGAACAAAACTCATTCTTTTCATAGAAATTCATGCTGGAAAGAACAATTTTTTTCGTTTTGCTAATTAGTGAAGAATTTAATCTTACTTGTGATGGCGAACTGGCATTGCTGTAGGAGAGCTGCGAGTCAGTGTCGTCGGTGTGTTCGTCACCATAACTGGCACCGGAAATTCGAGCGCTCCGCCTGTATGTGGAAAGAGAATGGGGACTTTAGAAAAAACCGCTCGCAAAATTTAAAGCACTTCTTGCGAGCTAATCTAATGTGGGGGCGTTAGTTACCTAGGCATGGAGGAGCGAGCCGTCGAAGGAGCGTGGCGGCCGAGCTCGGCCTGTTCGACGGCCAGTTGGGCCTGCCGGGTCTGCAGGGCCTCGAGTTGGCTCTGCCAAGTGTCGTTGCCGCCGCCGTTGGCCAACTGGCGCAGTTCTTCTTGCCGCTCGGCCATCGCTCGCAACTCCTCCGAAATCTGCTCAAGGCGCTCCTGAACCATTTTTTTTGCATAAGATTACTACAAGATTGCATTTATCAAAATTTGATTATTTTAAGCTAATTTGAAATTAAAGAAGCTAAATATATTCAAATTGATCAAAAATTATAAACGAAACTTTCTAGTGAAGCTGATGGCAACTTTTAAACTAAAGATGTTCATTAATTTTTCTTTTATATTGCAGCCAGTAAAAGTTCTTTTTCCCATAAATATTTCAAATTTCTGACAAGCAGACTGAAATAAATTATGTTATATTATAAAGTATGATGAAAATATTCACATGTATGCAACCCGCATTATGTAGAAGTCTCACAGGTTGCATATCTCAGTATAGCCGTTTAATTATTAATTCAAATTCTCTTTGCAACTTTCAGAATTATCCCCTCTTGTTATTTTCTCCTTTCAAATTAAATAATTAAAAGAAAATCACCCCCCCCCCCCCTAATTAAAACGCGTCAAATATTGATCTTATTTTTTGAGACAATTTTTTCTACCTGTCTGCGGAAGTCGGAGAGTTCAATGCTCTCTGCGAGTCTCAGTCTTTTGCTGCTGCTGGACGACGAGATGAGGTCGTCCGCTCCATTGCCGCGCGGCTGGTATAGGCTCGGACACCCAGGCATGAAGCTGTCGAAACTGAGAAGATGTTTCTCTGCGTGTCGACAAAATTTAATTGCAAAATTACCTGACGTGCGTCTTCGAGTACTGGTAGCCCGAGTCGCGCACCACCTGCCTGGCCAGCGGAAACAACTCGTCCCTGCGGGTCAGAAGGGCGGGCACCAACTTACAGATTTGCGCAGCAGCCTCGTTCACTGAAACCTGCAATCAAAAGCATAATATTTTTTTTTTAATAAAAAAGAAACATAACAAATAATTGTCAAAATCTGAACTTCTTGTATTGATACAAAAATTAGCAACATATTATTATTACTATTTTAAATTCATTGTGTAGTAGGATTTGCTTGATTTTACCAACCTCGTGGAGCGTGAGAGGCTTTTCAGGTTTTCTTTTGCAGTCAAATCTCCCGTAAATAGCAGCGTATTTTCTGATTTCATCCATTCGGCGGGGATCATCCTCGGCCATGTTCATCACAAACTAATGGGTTAAAATGGAATTAAACAATAGTTTTTAGAAAACAAAAAAATCTCAAAACAAAATGTTATAATTGATTGTAATTATGAAATTTTTTTAAGCAATATTCAATATGTATGTAGTGAAAAGTAATGATGTGATTTATGCGTAATGTATGTAATATAAATTTTATATAATATTTTTTTTTACAATTTAAAAATCCAAATAATATACATAAAAATGAGCAAAATTTGTGAAAATAAATAGCAAAAATATTCTTTAAAAAAATTTATTACTGAATAAATTCAAAAATGAAAATGAATTTTATTTATTTAGCTTTGAAGTATTAAATAAATGAATTTAAATAAACTTACCTCCAAGTCTTTGCAAATTCTCTTCTTGCTGTTTTGCGGCTTGGGTTCATAGGTAGGGAGGGAGTTGGCCAAGACCTTGGCCGCATCGGCCAGTCTGCTGATCTGCACGTCGCCCAAGGAGGGCGTCAGCTGCAGCGGGGGTGGCGAGCCCGGACTCATGGACTCGGGTCCTGCGCCGACCTGCAACACCTGCGGCGTGAGGAAAAAAGCGGCTCCGCGCGGCTCGGGACTCACGTTCAGGCCCGGCGAGGGCGCGCCGTTTGACGAGCCGCCCCCGACGCTGCCCGTCGAGCCCCCCGATTCCTTCGGCAGCTGCGGGCTTGGACTGCCGCGCACCGCACGCACCACCTGCACCGGCGACGTTTGAGGCGGCGCCGGCGACGGCGTCACGGGAGGCGCCACCGCCGCTGGGGGTGGCACGGGGGCGGCGTGCGTCGAGGACAGGTTCATCGGACGCGACGGTGAGTGGGCAGACTCGTGGGACAGGGGGCTGCTGCTGGTGCTGAGCCCGGGGGTGGGCAGCTGCGGCAGCAGCGGTGTTTGGAACAGGGCTGCAACAATAAAAAGAAAGGCAATTTTTATTTTCAGTTGAAAGTTTGGTGGTGAAAATAAAACGTTTATCGCCATATTGGATGGAAAAGTATAATTATTTATCCAAGTGACACTTTTTTTAATAAAATATTATTTTTTAAAGTTTAGGGCGGTTTAGGGGCTTATATAATCCTCTTACTTAGTCCGCTCAAAAGAAGATAATAATTGATAAGTTGGGCTAATCAATAATCAATTAATTTATTCAACCGTAATAGGAGATGAAAATCAGATGAAATTTTAAGTGAAAAATTTGCATTTTTTGAAATTTATAAGAGAAATCCACCCTCAATTGGATTAATTTTTTAGAACAGGTGATTTTGGTTGAAATTTCGTATTTCAAAATGAGGGAAAATTGAGGGAAAAATCTTAAATATAGTTATAATAAAACAGGTTGTTATGTTATTTAAAATACAAAATGTAAAAGGTGATTTTTTTTTATATTTCTCTAAGGTGATGTAAGGCTGAATGATAACATATGAAAGGAAAATGTAAGCATAATTATGTAGTACTTTTTAGTTTTTCAAAATATTATTCTTCTATTAAATAGTATTCCCTTATTTGCAAAAAGTTGGCGTCCTCTATATTTTCTTTTTTTAATGAATAGTATTATAAAAATTTATTAATTTTCCTTTGTGTTAATCCATATAAATAATTTAGGTTTCAATAAATAAATGATCTTAAGAACATAACAATATATTTCATTTTCAATACAGAAAAGTTCCAATACTAAAGAAAATATTTGCTTAGGGCATATTTTTTTTTTCAATGTTCAGCAATTTATAAATGTACGTCTCAGGAGTTCGCTGTTGGACGGCTCAATATTCTTCAGCTCAAACGGCATTTGTGCTTTTGTGAGTGGCAAAAAGAGGCGACATTTCAATTTCCAGCGTCGCGTCTCGCTGGACAATTTGCGCTTCTTCCCGTCGCGTGTGCATATCTGGGTCACACACACACGACGTGTCTCTTTCTTTCTTTCCTGCACTGCAGCTGATACAGGAAAGAAAACACAGCAAAAGAAAGAATGGTACTAATAACAAGTGCACCGGGGTCGATATAATATGCAACGATCAAACTTGCTTCCACGTCCGTCCGGTTAGTGGCAAAAAGCAGCTCCGACAACAATGGGAAAAAGCGGCATTGTTGTGCCAGCGAATCGAGAGTTGGCGGGCGCGAGATGTGTAACCCAGATATGAGCAGCTGAAATAAAAAGGTCGAATTTATCTTTTCCAGTTTGTTGCTGCAGCGAAAAACGCCGCCGCCGCTTCTCTCTTGGCTCTTTTCTATATGTATGTATATGTGATATATGCTATTGCAGTCTCTCGGTGCTACACAAGAAATATTTCAGCACTTTTTGCCGAAGCTGTTATTGCGCCCGACGTGTACTTATTTCCAGCGGCGCCACCAGACTTCGCAGACTTCTTCTTTCTTTGCTGCTGCTGGAGAGAGAGAGAGAGATGCAATGCACCAAGCGAGTGCATCTCAGAGTCAGCATCTCGCAGTCGCTTTGCTCTTTTTGCAACGCCGCGTTGAGATTTATGCTGCGCGCGGCCGTGCGATCCGCTCCTCTTTTGTGGCACCGGTTTTATATCTATACAGCTGGGAAGAGAACCTGATGAGTAATTTGCTGAATTTGCCACGATAATGTTTATTCTTGCATTTCATTTTAATTGCTATTAATTTTGGAGACATCGATCTTCAGATTATTTTTATTTTTGTTCTTTCTGGCATGGAAAAATTTATATCGTTTGAGACTTTGAGAGAAAATGCATTTCTCTAACTGAAGTGGATTTTAGCAAACATAAAGATTTTCGTAATAAAAAATAATAATAAAATTCACTGACATTTTCATAAAAAGGAGTATTTATGTTAATTAATTGTTAATGTGAGTGATTTTTTTTTTGAAACTTTTTGTGTAGAGTTTTGTCCTGCTACCCTTGTTAAAGTATTCCAGTTTCAGTTATAATTTTTTTTAAAAACGTGATTTCAGGAATTGTGAATTTAATTCTTTTACCAACATTAGTTTTCTCGCTCAGTGTCTGAATCCACCTTAAATTTCTTTCAGAAAATTGCATATTATTTTTGTTTGGAATATTTTCATTCATTATGGTATAAATTTAAAAATTGTTTATATGTTTGTTATGCTACTTTTTATTTCCATTATTTGATGGTTCCCTTAAGTAAGTATTGTTGTACTTTCATGGTTTAATTAAATTAAATTTTACAATTTTTCATTTATTTTAATTTGGAAGCAAGTTTTTTTTTAAAAAACTTTACTCGTTAAAGCATAGCCCTTGTTTTACAAATATCAATACACAATTTTAAAAATCCTATTTTAAGAATCCTCAGGAGGATTCTTTAGTTAAGCATAAAAAAATCTTATTTGATCAAATTTAAGAACTGGCATTTTTTCCTTCAAATTTTGCTGATTATTGTATTGCAATATTTTCATTTTCCATGAAATAAGGTCTCAGATCGTGATCAAAATTGATGCAGCCATTTGTTTTTTTTAATAAATAAAAGTTTTCGACAATGCTAAAGCCTGTTTTTTATCTTCACTCCACTGACTCGTCTTTAAATTCCTCGGCCCACGCTAGTAACCAAAAGTTTGCAAATAAATGGAGCAAAAATATCTCGTTACGGAAGTTTGGGTTATTTCGCTATACACAAAACAGGTTTTCTTTTCTAAAAATACCTGCAAGCAATATGCGTGAAATCATTAGTTAGTTCTATTCCATCGCAACGCCTCCATCCTCACTCTCATGCAAGTACAAAAAAAGAGTCCATCGCACATGACCCATTAAAAAAACGGGGAAAAACAAGCGCGTCATTTGCCAGCAACAGACTGCTGATGTAATTCCCAAATCGAGAGGCCCTGCTGTCTGTGCGAATTAATTTATAGCGTGTATGTGCACATACATCGCACTCATCTTTCTGCGTATATATGTGTGTAGAGAGTATATGTGAGAGACGAGCAAAAAAATCGGAGCAACTGCACCGAGCGAGACAAAGCACACAGCATTCACAGAGCAGCGTCTGGATTGAAACAAAGAGGCAAAAAACGCTGCAGACGCGAAGGGCGGCCGACGCCAAAAAAGCGGCCGAAACGGCAAAAATGCTCGCCAGAAACGTTTCCCAGAAGCGAAATTTTTTGTCCGGCTCGTTTTTCGATTATTCCCTCGAAAGCAGCAGCGACGAGAAACAAAGGAGTGTGTTTTTTTTTTGCATTCCACTTTTTTGCAGCGCGGCTTCGTTTCGAGGCTCGGCCGGAAATTTAATTAGCCACTTGTCAGGTGAATATTTTCAGCCTTTCAACGATTGTTTTTGGTTCGTTCACTCCGTCAGACTGAAAAGTAAGACGGACGAACTCCCGCCGCCGTTTCTATTTTTTTGCCTCCGGGCAAAAAATCGCACGACTTGCGCGACGAGAATGAGAAGAAATTCTGTTCAGGGCCGCTCGAACAAATTTTCTTCAACGGATTGAAATCTATTAGCTTTTGCAAATTGGAGAGCTCAATCATTACGTATAGAAAGAATGAGACGTTTCTGGTCACATGATTGATTTACGAGTCTATTAGCAGAAACAGCAGCTGTAAAACCATGAAATATTCCTCCGGCATGTGGACGTGTTAATGGGCACTTTTGCGACTCAAATTGATTTATATGCACCAATATATGTCAGAAATAAGCATGATGCTTTGTATACCCTCTTATTTCCCATTTGCAATTCATTAGCATTAATTCTTTTTTTTTTTTTGAAAAAATAAACATATTATAGATTGGAATGATACTTTCATTTTTTTTAAGTGACGTCTATCTTAAAAATTAGTGCCGCCATATATTATAGAACAACAATATGAACCTCAATGTAATATTAATAATTGAAGAATTTTATATGAAGAATAACACGATCGAGGGTTGATTTATGGCTTTAAGTGTTTTAACACCATAAATCAACCTCATACAATTTTTGCAGGATATTATTTTTTCTAAAAAACAATAAATGACTAAAAAAAAAACCCATCAAGGAAAAGACGATTTTAAAATATGAAGTGTCGAAACACCACAATACGCATTTTCTTTGAGTCACCATTTGTATAGGGTAAAATAGAAATTTTTATGAAAAATGGTGAGGATGGGGAGATTTTTAAAAAGAAACTGTCAAGAGGCATTTAAATTTTATGTCTCATCCAAGTGGCTATTGAAAAAAATTTACATGATTGAATTTTTTTTGTATACTTTAATCGCTTTTATTATTACTGTTGCACATCAAATTTACGATTTTGTTTCACATTAGTGATCTCCATAATATAAATTTAAGTATAAAATTTCAAAAGTACTCTAAATAATAAATTATCGCGTTTATAACATGAAAAGGCATATTATGAGACACATGCACTACATTTCACGAGATTATTCAAATAATAAAAATCACACGCTACTGATAGCCGATCTTTATGGTAAAAGCAATAAAAAGTTTTGCACAAGAGCCGATTAGTCACATTTCGATAAATTCGCAAATCAAAATGACGGCCTTTTTAAACAGGTGAAGCAAAAAATTGGCGAAATAAATTATGGTGCCATAAAATCTCTTCAATCGATACAAGTGTAATAAAAAATAATACATACAGCAAGAAGCAATATCAGCCGACACACTTTTTTGCAGCCGAAAAGCAAAAAGGAGACCAACCCTGACACACTTTAATTAAAAAATAGTATTTCGGCCCCTCTGAGGGCAACGCATGGTGGCGATCGGGTGGGAGGAAATCAACCGGCCGCTCATTATTATATTCAATCGTCTGGGCAAAAAAATGCTTTTCCTGTATGCACATTATAATAATTTTGAGCCGGAAGTGAGTTAAGTGTAAAAAACTCACAGTTTTTGTCAAGTTGTGTGTTGTGATGAGAGAGCATTGTTTCATGTGTCCGCCTCGGCACAGGCCACTCGGCAACAAGCTCAAAT